ATAATTATAAACATGAATATTTTGGGGTTTTTTTTCATTTCAAGGAACTTTGATACACATTAACAAACACCTGGAGAAATCAGCACAATCAACCTTCATCAAATAAAACTAAAAGACAAAAAATATAAGTTATGACAGAGTCAACATCATGATCAGTACAGTATTAAAAATATATTATTCATAAATCATGAGCACCAAATGTACCTTGCCTACGAAGCGCTAATTTTTTGTCTTCAAAAACTTGAAAAAGTGTCATGGTGGTGGGTGTGAAAAACCTGAAAAAGTATCATATCGGCAGGTGTGCGCGTGGGACGAACAGTCCAATTCGGTGACGTCTAATGAGGTAAAGTGATGTTATATATTAAGATGATCTCGCCACAACGACATGGATTAAAACAAAATTGATGTTCTGTTTGTAAGTTTTGTTTGTTTATAAGTGCTGTTAGTTGATAATTCAAACCAAGCCCCCAGACTAGCTTCTTATCAACTCGCGCATACAGTGTCCTGTACGCTTATGTCATGTCGAGAATTCCGTAAAATATATTGTTCAAAATTTATCAATAGTTCAACCACACTGTGCTTCTTTTTTGAAATATATAGTAATTGTATCGTTATTAAAAAAATAAACTAATTCTGGATGCTTTTAAAATAAATAGCGATTTGAGAAAATTGCCGCTAGAGGGCTCAAACTATTATTTCAGCCAATGAGAAGGCCAGGCTGTAAAGAAAAAATTGCTAAGGAGAAAGAACATCTTTTTAGAAGTGAGTGGGGCAGAATGTTTTTTTAACGGAGGGAGAGTCAATTTTGATAAATAACAATTTTGAGTTTAAAGTTCATAAAGAAAAAGAGGGTTAACACAGGAAATTTTTAGCTCTGGAGATTACCATTGAAAAGACAAGACTGACTCTTATTACTATGCATGGTCCGAACCAGGATAACCCAGACTTTTATAATATCTTTTCCGATACTATTGATGATTTTGAAAACAGTTCTATTGTATTATGTGGTGATTTTAATTTAGTGTTAAACCCAGAGGTTGATTATGATAATAACTATAAAAATATAAATAACCCAAAAGCTAGGGACAAGGTATGTGAAATTGTTGAAAATTACGGTCTCATTGATATTTTTCGAGAACAGCACGAGAATAGTAGAAGATATACCTGGAGAAGGAGCAACCCAGTAAAACAAGCCAGGCTTATTTCAGAAGATCTGCTTTCTTCTATTAAGAATTCTTTTATAGACCCAGGATATTAATCAGACCACTCTTTTCCTAAAATTGAAATAGAATTCAACAAGTTTGAGAGAGGGAGGGGGCTTTGGAAAATTAATAACTCGTTGCTTCAAGATAAAGAATATCTCAATACTATAAATTCTCATATTAATAAAGTTAAAATGCAGTACCGTTTACCTGTGTATAACTTTGATAATCTTCTGGAAATATCAGACGCTGACTTACAATTTACTGTTAATGACCAGTTATTTTTGGAAGTTCTTTTAATGGAAATAAGGGGGAAAAGGATAGCATAATCTAAGGGATGAAAACCTTAAGAAAACTATAAAAGAATTAGAAGATAGGGATAATGTTGATTTAAATGATTTAGAAGATAAGAAAAAAAAGAACTTGAAGCAATGAGATTTCATAATATAAGAGGCAATATTATTAAATCAAGGGCAAAATGGCTAGAAGAAGGAGAGAAACCCACAAAATATTTTTTAGGCTTAGAAAATAGAAATTTCACCTCCAAAATTATTCCTAAGTTACAAAAACCAAATAACGAGATATCTGATCAGGAAGAAATTTTAAACAATGTTAAAGATTTTTATGAAAAGTTATATGATGACTCAGATGATATAGAAGATGTTAATTTGAATGATTTTAATCTCATTGTCATGTTCCCAAATTGAATGTTATTGAGTCTGATAAGTTAGAAGGTATTATTAAGTTAGAGGAAGCTGGAAAAACTTTAAGTAAAATGAAAAATAATAAAAGTCCAGGCTCAGACGGATTTTCTACAGAATTTTTTAAGTGTTTTTGGAAATAGCTTGGTACTTTCATGATTAGATCTTTAAATTTTGGCTATCATAATAATGAACTCTCTATTACACAAATACAAGGTATTATTACATGCGTTCCAAAAAGTGACAAGCCAAGACACTTTATTAAAACTGGCGACCAATACCTCTCTTAAATATTGTTTACAAAATTGCTTCTGGGGTTATCGCGGGTAGGTTAAAAACTGTTCTAGGAAGACTTATAGATCATGATCAAACTGGATTTTTAGAAGAACGTTACATTGGTGTAAACACTAGGCTCATATATGATATCATGAATTATACAGAAGATAATAACATTCCTGGAATGCTCCTCATGGTTGACTTTCAAAACACTTTTGACTCTGTTTCATGGAAATTTATAGACAAAACTCTTTCTTTTTTTGGCTTTGGGAACAGCATTAAAAAATGGATAAGAACACTGCGTAATAATGCTAATTCGGCAATAATTCAGGGTGGAAATCTTTCTTCTTTCTTCAGGGTGAAGCGCGGCCGCCTTCAAGGGGACCCGGTCGCCCCATATATTTTTATCTCATGTACAGAAATATTATCAGTCAGGTTAAGAAACAATAATAACATAACAGGTATAAATGTCAATAACTATCCAATACTTCTCTCTCAATATACAGACGACACCTCACTCATTCTTGATGGGTCAGAAAAATCTTTATGTGAATCAATCTTAGAACTAAATCGTTTTGCCCACATATCTGGATTAAAAATCAACACAAACAAAGCTCAGGTTATATGGATAGGGAACAAAAAAATATAGCAATGACACTTTTTTACCTGAATTAGGCTTACAGTGGGGTACGGACAAATTTACTCTCTTGGGGTTGGAATTTAGTGTTAATTTACATGAAATTCCAAAATTAAATTTTGACAAAAAACTAATTACGCTAAAATCTTTAATCAAGTCCTGGAGTAGAAGAAGGCTAACACCTATTTGGTAAAATTCATATAATTAAATCATTATTAATATCACAATTTAATCACCTGTTTATATCATTACCAAACCCAAGTATTTCATATCTTAATAAGTTAAATACAATCCTGTATAATTTTTTATGGAATGGTAAAACAGACAAAGTGAAAAAAATGTTATAACTAAAGAATACTTAGAGGGGGGTTTGAAAATGCTAAATATTAATTCTTTTATAGATGCTCTAAAAGTAGGATGGATGAAGATATCTTTTTAAGTTCACAATTTAGAAAGTGGCAAGTTATACTGAAGAGTTTTTTTAATGTTGACTATATTATAAATTGTGGAACTGATTATGTACATTTGTGTCAAAGATCGTGCAAAAATTTCTTTTGGTGTGATGTCTTAAAACCATGGAAAAGACTATTGAACTCTGACTCTCTAAAGGGCAGACAACTCTCTTTGTTGAAAACACCTGTTTGGTATAATCCTAATATAACTAATGGTGGAAAGTCTGCTTTTTACCATAATTGGTTCGTTAAGGGCAATAGAGCAGTTAACGATTTGCTGAAAACTACAAATCCTGTCACTTTTTACTCTTATCAGGAATTTTCACAGAAATACAGTTGATTTACAAATTTTCTTCATTTCCAAGGTATTGTCAACTCTGTGAAATTATCTGGCAAACCTATTGATCAGGACACACATCTTTTATTCCCCTTCATTTCTTTGAACATAGAACCTTTCTTCAATAAAGTTCAAGGAACAAAACATTTATATAAAATTTTTATCAAAGAATGATGAAATTCCAACTGGGAGAAAAAAATGGGCTAATGATTTTCACTTTGATCATTCTGACTGGGCAAATATTTTTTCATTACCTTTTAAAATAACAAAAGATTCAAAACTTCAGTGGTTCCAGTATAGGATTTTACATAATATTCTGACAACTAATTCAATACTTTTCAAGGCAAACATAGTGTTAAGCCCTCTTTGTACATTTTGCAAATTAAGAGTCCGAGACCATATCTCACATATTCTGGGAATGTCAAAAAGTTCAAAACTTACTACAGAGTCTTAAGACACTTTTAGATGCTTTTTTAATTCCTTTTACTATTAATAAACAATCTTTAATATTTGGTTTTTGGCCAATTAGACACAAATTTAGTAGAATAGATAATTAAATTAACATCATCATTAAACACTATATTTATAAAACTAGATGTTTTGATACCACATTAAACATACATTCACTAATAAACTCTTTCATGGACCACCATAATGTCCAAAAGTATATAGCAATAAAAAAGGGTGGTACTTTTCTTGACAATTTTAACAAAGAATGGGGAAAATGGAAAAAGATTCTAATTTTTTAATAAGAATAGAAATATATTAGTTATCAACCTAACTCTGACAGTTGGGCTCACTTTGATTTTCTTATTAAGTAAAGCTGTAGTCAATTTTGATCTCAATTAGTTTCTACTTTTGTTTCTGGAAGGTCTGTCTATCTGTCTCTACCTTACCCTAACTGATGACTCTTACACATGTTTGATATTTCTCTTTATACTTCAGGGTGTTTGTTTTGTCTTTGTACATGTCTTTGTCGTCTGTCTTGTCAATATATCTCCCTCCCGCTGTCTATCTGTCTGTCTGTCTTGTCTTGTTTTGTCTTGTCTGTGTCTGCTATTTGTAACTGTCCGCGTATGTCTCTATTCTTTTATTTCATATAACATGACACATGAAACTATGGAATATTCACTTCACTTTAATTTCATTAAAACATGTATGATCATCGCGGTGTGAACTTATGTACGCAAGGAATATATACGCTAACTAGTATGAATGTGGCTGATTAATATAAAATGTCTATGCATGTTTAGAAAACTGGAATGAATGATCTTTTTTCTGTACCTCATGTGCGCATGTCCTTTGAAAAAAATGAATAAAATATGAATTAAAAAAAAAAAAGGAATGATAATTGTTATATTTACATAGGATGAGAATGATAATTGTTATATTTACCTGAGCCAGTAGAGTGTTATCGCTTGTGTACAACATCATCCCACTGATCGCCTGGATAAGCTGCTTCATTTGCAGCTCAAATAACTGTTTACCTCTCCCTTCATTTAATCTAAAAGACAACACACTGTAAGGATGAGTTTTCAATAACTTAAACACATTTTCTTAATATCAGTAACCTAAGGGACCATTGGAAGTACAACATACATCTGTGACAGTTTTATTTTTATAAAACTTTGCCTTCAGATGTCCCACACACTACAAAGACAGTAGGAAGTCTTTACACCATTAGTAGTCCCGCACGTCTTACAGTTTGCCTCAACATGCATTAAGTCTGATAATAAAAAAAATGTCAGACTACACAGGCTGTCTCACTACAATTATGTCAGATTACACAGGTTGTCTGCCTAAATATCTCAGAAAACACAGGTTGTATGACTACATATGTTTGACTACACAGATGATATAACTACAAGTGTGTTTGATTACACAGGTTGTCTTAATTTAAATCTGTCAGACTACACAGGTTCAGACAGGACAGGATAACGTACAGAGAAAAGTGATTCCTAGATTGCACAATAAACTTGAAGAGGTATTCCAGTGACTTCATGGCTCGTATCAAGACCTTCTGATTCACCTCCATAGCTCGGTCTACGTAGTCTCGAAGGATCAACATCAACTTCCTGTTAACATAATTCATAACTTACCAAGATTATCATGTTAATTACACAACCAAGAAATATCATAATCAATTATCATCTAATGTTTAAATCAGTGTACAATTACAGGCGCACCAATGTATGTCTGTTATATACCTGGAATGTACAATTACAGGCGCACCAATGTATGTCTGTTATATACCTGGAATGTACAATTACAGGTGCACCAATGTATGTCTGTTATATACCTGGTATGTACAATTACAGGTGCACCAATGTATGTCTGTTATATACCTGGAATGTACAATTACAGGCGCACCAATGTATGTCTGTTATATACCTGGAATGTACAATTACAGGCACAACAATGTATGTCTGTTATATACCTGGAATGTACAATTACAGGCACACCAATGTATGTCTGTTATATACCTGGAATGTACAATTACAGGCACACCAATGTATGTCTGTTATATACCTGGAATGTACAATTACAGGCGCACCAATGTATGTCTGTTATATACCTGGAATGTACAATTACAGGCGCACCAATGTATGTCTGTTATATACCTGGAATGTACAATTACAGGCACACCAATGTATGTCTGTTATATACCTGGAATGTACAATTACAGGCACACCAATGTATGTCTGTTATATACCTGGAATGTCTGTTATATACCTGGAATGTACAATTACAGGCACACCAATGTATGTCTGTTATATACCTGGAATGTACAATTACAGGTGCACCAATGTATGTCTGTTATATACCTGGAATGTACAATTACAGGTGCACCAATGTATGTCTGTTATATACCTGGAATGTACAATTACAGGTGCACCAATGTATGTCTGTTATATACCTGGAATGTACAATTACAGGCACACCAATGTATGTCTGTTATATACCTGGAATGTACAATTACAGGCACACCAATGTATGTCTGTTATATACCTGGAATGTACAATTACAGGCACACCAATGTATGTCTGTTATATACCTGGAATGTACAATTACAGGCACACCAATGTATGTCTGTTATATACCTGGAATGTCTGTTATATACCTGGAATGTACAATTACAGGCACACCAATGTATGTCTGTTATATACCTGGAATGTACAATTACAGGCACACCAATGTATGTCTGTTATATACCTGGAATGTACAATTACAGGCACACCAATGTATGTCTGTTATATACCTGGAATGTACAATTACAGGCACACCAATGTATGTCTGTTATATACCTGGAATGTACAATTACAGGCACACCAATGTATGTCTGTTATATACCTGGAATGTACAATTACAGGCACACCAATGTATGTCTGTTATATACCTGGAATGTACAATTACAGGCACACCAATGTATGTCTGTTATATACCTGGAATGTACAATTACAGGCACACCAATGTATGTCTGTTATATACCTGGAATGTACAATTACAGGCGCACCAATGTATGTCTGTTATATACCTGGAATGTACAATTACAGGCGCACCAATGTATGTCTGTTATATACCTGGAATGTACAATTACAGGCGCACCAATGTATGTCTGTTATATACCTGGAATGTACAATTACAGGCGCACCAATGTATGTCTGTTATATACCTGGAATGTACAATTACAGGCACACCAATGTATGTCTGTTATATACCTGGAATGTACAATTACAGGCACACCAATGTATGTCTGTTATATACCTGGAATGTACAATTACAGGCACACCAATGTATGTCTGTTATATACCTGGAATGTACAATTACAGGCACACCAATGTATGTCTGTTATATACCTGGAATGTACAATTACAGGCACACCAATGTATGTCTGTTATATACCTGGAATGTACAATTACAGGCACACCAATGTATGTCTGTTATATACCTGGAATGTACAATTACAGGCACACCAATGTATGTCTGTTATATACCTGGAATGTACAATTACAGGCACACCAATGTATGTCTGTTATATACCTGGAATGTACAATTACAGGCACACCAATGTATGTCTGTTATATACCTGGAATGTACAATTACAGGCACACCAATGTATGTCTGTTATATACCTGGAATGTACAATTACAGGCACACCAATGTATGTCTGTTATATACCTGGAATGTACAATTACAGGCACACCAATGTATGTCTGTTATATACCTGGAATGTACAATTACAGGCACACCAATGTATGTCTGTTATATACCTGGAATGTACAATTACAGGCACACCAATGTATGTCTGTTATATACCTGGAATGTACAATTACAGGCACACCAATGTATGTCTGTTATATACCTGGAATGTACAATTACAGGCACACCAATGTATGTCTGTTATATACCTGGAATGTACAATTACAGGCACACCAATGTATGTCTGTTATATACCTGGAATGTACAATTACAGGCACACCAATGTATGTCTGTTATATACCTGGAATGTACAATTACAGGCACACCAATGTATGTCTGTTATATACCTGGAATGTACAATTACAGGCACACCAATGTATGTCTGTTATATACCTGGAATGTACAATTACAGGTGCACCAATGTATGTCTGTTATATACCTGGAATGTACAATTACAGGCACACCAATGTATGTCTGTTATATACCTGGAATGTACAATTACAGGCACACCAATGTATGTCTGTTATATACCTGGAATGTACAATTACAGGCACACCAATGTATGTCTGTTATATACCTGGAATGTACAATTACAGGCACACCAATGTATGTCTGTTATATACCTGGAATGTACAATTACAGGCACACCAATGTATGTCTGTTATATACCTGGAATGTACAATTACAGGCACACCAATGTATGTCTGTTATATACCTGGAATGTACAATTACAGGCACACCAATGTATGTCTGTTATATACCTGGAATGTACAATTACAGGCACACCAATGTATGTCTGTTATATACCTGGAATGTACAATTACAGGCGCACCAATGTATGTCTGTTATATACCTGGAATGTACAATTACAGGCGCACCAATGTATGTCTGTTATATACCTGGTATGTCTGTTATATACCTGGTATGTACAATTACAGGCGCACCAATGTATGTCTGTTATATACCTGGAATGTACAATTACAGGCGCACCAATGTATGTCTGTTATATACCTGGAATGTACAATTACAGGCGCACCAATGTATGTCTGTTATATACCTGGAATGTACAATTACAGGCGCACCAATGTATGTCTGTTATATACCTGGAATGTACAATTACAGGCGCACCAATGTATGTCTGTTATATACCTGGAATGTACAATTACAGGCGCACCAATGTATGTCTGTTATATACCTGGAATGTACAATTACAGGCGCACCAATGTATGTCTGTTATATACCTGGAATGTACAATTACGGGCAGGCACCAATGTATGTCTGTTATATACCTGAATGTATATACAGGCACACCAATGTATGTCTGTTATATACCTGGAATGTCTGTTATATAATGTACGAGTACAGGCACACCAATGTATGTCTGTTATATACCTGGAATGTACAATTACAGGCACACCAATGTATGTCTGTTATATACCTGGAATGTCTGTTATATACCTGGTATGTACAATTACAGGCACACCAATGTATGTCTGTTATATACCTGGAATGTACAATTACAGGCGCACCAATGTATGTCTGTTATATACCTGGAATGTACAATTACAGGCGCACCAATGTATGTCTGTTATATACCTGGAATGTACAATTACAGGCGCACCAATGTATGTCTGTTATATACCTGGAATGTACAATTACAGGCGCTCCAACTTATGTATTTTATATACCTGGTATGTCTGTTATATACCTGGAATGTACAATTACAGGCACACCAATGTATGTCTGTTATATACCTGGAATGTACAATTACGGGCGCACCAATGTATGTCTGTTATATACCTGGAATGTACAATTACGGGCGCACCAATGTATGTCTGTTATATACCTGGAATGTACAATTACAGGCGCACCAATGTATGTCTGTTATATACCTGGAATGTACAATTACAGGCGCACCAATGTATGTCTGTTATATACCTGGAATGTACAATTACAGGCGCACCAATGTATGTCTGTTATATACCCTGGAATGTCTGTTATATACCAATTACAATTTATATACAGGCACACCAATGTATGTCTGTTATATACCTGGAATGTACAATTACAGGCGCACCAATGTATGTCTGTTATATACCTGGAATGTACAATTACAGGCGCACCAATGTATGTCTGTTATATACCTGGAATGTATAATTACAGGTGCACCAATGTATGTCTGTTATATACCTGGAATGTACAATTACAGGCGCACCAATGTATGTCTGTTATATACCTGGAATGTACAATTACAGGCGCACCAATGTATGTCTGTTATATACCTGGAATGTACAATTACGGGCACACCAATGTATGTCTGTTATATACCTGGAATGTCTGTTATATACCTGGTATGTACAATTACAGGCACACCAATGTATGTCTGTTATATACCTGGAATGTACAATTACAGGTGCACCAATGTATGTCTGTTATATACCTGGAATGTACAATTACAGGCGTAACAATGTTTGTCTGTTATATACCTGGAATGTACAATTACAGGCACACCAATGTATGTCTGTTATATACCTGGAATGTACAATTACAGGCGCACCAATGTATGTCTGTTATATACCTGGAATGTACAATTACAGGCACACCAATGTATGTCTGTTATATACCTGGAATGTACAATTACAGGCGCACCAATGTATGTCTGTTATATACCTGGAATGTACAATTACGGGCACACCAATGTATGTCTGTTATATACCTGGAATGTACAATTACAGGCGCACCAATGTATGTCTGTTATATACCTGGAATGTACAATTACAGGTGCACCAATGTATGTCTGTTATATACCTGGAATGTACAATTACAGGCGCACCAATGTATGTCTGTTATATACCTGGTATGTACTGTTACAGGTGTAAATAGCTGTGATATATGTACTGTTACATGTGTACTAATGTATGGCTGTGATATATGAACTGTTACAAGTGTACCAATGCATGGCTGTGATATATGTACTGTTACAGGTGTAACAAGTTATGGCTGTGATATATGTACTGTTACAGGTGTACCAATGTGTGGTTTTGATATATGTACTGTTACAGGTGTAACAAGTTATGGCTGTGATATATATACTGTTACAGGTGTACCAATGTGTGGCTGTGATATATGTACTGTTACAGGTGTACCAAGTTATGGCTGTGATATATGTACTGTTACAGGTGTACCAATGTGTGGTTGTGATATATGTACTGTTACAGGTGTAACAAGTTATGGCAGTGATATATGTACTGTTACAGGTGTACCAATGTGTGGCTGTGATATATATATACTGTTACAGGTGTACCAATGTGTGGCTGTGATAAATGTACTATCACAGGTGTACCAAGTTATGGATGTGATATATGTACTGTTACAGGTGTACCAATGTGTGGCTGTGATATATATACTGTTACAGGTGTAACAAGTTATGGCAATAATATATGTACTGTAACAGGTGTACCAATGTGTGGCTGTGATATATGTACTGTTACAGGTGTACCAATGTGTGCCTGTGATATATGTACTGTTACAGGTGTACCAATGTGTGCCTGTGATATATGTACTGTTACAGGTGTACCATTGTGTGGCTGTGATATATATACTGTTACAGGTGTAACAAGTTATGGCAGTGATATATGTACTGTTACAGGTGCCAATGTATGGCTGTGATGTAAGTAAAATATGCTTACAATCCCCTTTATATTAAACATACATCTTTTTATGAAATTCAAATGAAATTTGAATGGATAGGAGAGGTACTGTTAGAATTAAAAGTAGTTCCTTTCAAATGTTATTTCATGTCAATTTAGAGAGTTTGTAAACGGAAAAAAAACAATCTTTAATATGTACAACAACTGTACACTAAACAAAATGTGACTTTCATCACACAAACATTGAAGTTGATATGTTTAATACACAATAAATACATACTCATAGGCCATGGCGAAACTGAAGGAAGTGGTCACATAGGCATCCAGGACAGGCCGGAACTGATGGTACTTCCTGTCTGATATCAGGCCAATAATGTGTACCTACGAGGTCATAAGGTCATAGAAGTCAAGCTCATCAACCGATACTGTATCATTTTTTGTACTTAATGAAACAGACATGTGAAGTATACAGATTGATAGTAACAACTTGTAAAAATATACTTTCTTCAATATAAACTAATTTTGAATTTTACTCCAATAATAAATGTTCAGGGAAGAGGTAGACAAAGTGAGTGTGGACATAATAATTATATTGAAAAATCACATGGTCTTACCAATGCCTCAAACACTAAGTTATCATACATCTCGGAAATGTTTGTCTCAATCAGAATATTAAACAAAGAATCCAGAAGATCTTGTAGAAACTGCAATGTAAAATACAGGTAATTAAAGTGACAAACAAACATATTCAACTGGTTTTTATCTCACCAATCAACACATACACAAAAACAAAAATAAAACATATAAACACATATCTAAGATCAATTATAAATGTGAAATTTTTTTTAATAAATAATTGCAGTACAATTATTGGTATTATTAATAATATATTCTTATAACTTATTTGGATTAACCTGATACAGTCATCTTGCTATTAACAAATGACTTTGATACTGACCTTGACAATCTCTTCTCCATCTACATGCATTAGCTTGTCTAGGTGATTTCTCAATACAGTTGTGTCATTCAACATGTCCTGCCATTTTAACAATCCCAGGAGGTCAACTAAATGGAAAAAAAAAGAACTTATACAGTAATTTCCTGAGTCTACAATTTTCACACCTAAGGTGCCTTTCACAGGCTATCTGGTGCTTTATCTGTCTTAATATGCAGACCTAGCAATAATTCCCAAGGTGACCTACCATTATGTGTTAACTTAGTGGAGCAAACAAATGTATTGATCATGAAACTGTCCCTCTGGTTGAGTGTGAAGGGTCCGGAGAACAGTGGTATTCTGCTTCCCTTGTGAATATCCTGAGAATCAAGCACATCTCGTGTGGATGGCAGGTCAAGATACGGGTCACTGTTATCATGCTTTCTCTCAATCTGAAATTATTTTGAAAAGTTGATTAATCATAGTAGAAAAGTTTGGGTCTCTCTTTTTACATAGTTGAGGGGGTCGGGATTCAAGGGGAAGAGCTAATTTTTACAATGGCTAAGACTTAAACATTCTCTGATATAAAGTTGTTAAAATAATTTGTATACAATATAGGTCATCAGAATTGGGTTCACTGAGGTATAAAGTTCAATGAATACATTGACAGGATATCAGGTTTTAGTTCACTGAGTGATGAACTGCAATAGAAACACTATCAGGTTGTCAGGTTTAAGTTCACTGAAAGATAAACTCTAATAAATACACTGACAGGTTATCAGGTTTAGTTCACTAAGTGAAAACCTTTAGTAGATATACTGACAGGTTGTCAGGTTTAAGTTCAGCAAGTGAAAACCTTTAGTAGATATACTGACATGATATCAGGTTTTAGTTCACTAAGTGAAAACCTTTAGTAGATATACTGACAGGTTGTCAGGTTTAAGTTCACTAAGTGATAAACTTCAGTAGAAAGCCTTACCTTATACACTAGTAGGTTATGATCAGTATCAGCCAGTGTCGTGCTGTTCTTATTCATCAGTTTCACAAATGACATGGCAAATGGTCGCTCTGATCTGTCTTTGCCTGTCAAAATACCCAATAGTTAGGTCTTCATCACAAAATATGACGCAAACAAATTTCTTCTAGTACTCATCATGTCTATTTTTTTTACAAAAATTTCTAAGTTTGATCAGAAAAACTTCCTTAAATCAATCGGAAAGTTCATGAAATGTACAGGTAGAAATGGACTGGGAAAGACAGTTTACACACAAAACCATTCTTCATACTGGTACCTTCATGAAAGCTAAAAAACCTTAAATCAATTTTGAATATTCAATCTTGAAAAGAGTTTGTGTCACCCAATTAAATGAAAAAACCAAGGAGAGAAATTAATTATCGACATAAAACTACCTCAGACAGAGGTTATCATATCATTCTAGCTGTAACATTTTATAGAGTTAATTATCGACATAAAACTACCTCAGACAGAGGTTATCATATCATTCTAGCTGTAACATTTTATAGTTATTAGTGTAATTCATACTTTCACTTGTTGATCTGTGTTTAAACAAAAACTTGAGATGTAATCCTCTAAACTCCTCTTCTGTGGATATGGCCACCTGGAAATTAGAAGAACAAAAACTCTTTTCTAAAACATAACACAAATAGTAATTAAAATGTAGGGACGTTCCTGATTATATTTGTTGTACATTTGACAAAGTTTGACCCGGTATCTATTGACGAACTTCGCAAGATTATCATCAGTGCGCCTTCCAAATCCTATGAACTTGACCCTATTCCTACATACCTTTTGAAACAGTGTGTGGAACACCTGCTCCCACTGATTTCTGCTATCATTAACAAGTCTCTGGTTGAGCAAAAGGTACCGATTTGATTTAAAACAGTCATCATTCGGCCATTGCTAAAAAAACATGGTTTGGACAAGGAGGTGATGAAAAACTACCGGCCGGTATCAAACCTGCCATTCCTGTCTAAAATTCTGGAGAAGGTAGTGGCAAAGCGTCTAGAAGCACATCTTGATGTAAACCATCTTAACGACAGCCATCAGTCAGCTTACCGTCCATTCCATCAAAAGAGACTGCTCTTTTGAGGGTACACCATGACATAGCAATTGTTCAGATGTTCTTGTACTGTTGGACTTATCCTCCATGTTTGATGTTATTGATCATGGTATACTGTTTAAGCGGTTGGAACATACATATGGTGTGTCCAACGATGCACTCTCCTGGATACAGTCTTACTTAACTGACAGGAAGCAAAGTGTGGCTATAGGCAGTACTACTTCCAAGGATAGAACACTGTCTTTTGGTGTACCCCAAGGATCAGTACTTGGGCCAAGAAAGTACTGTCTTTACTCCAAACCGATCGGAGATATTTGTCACCGTCACAACCTGTCCTATCAATGCTATGCGGATGATACCCAATTGTATATGGTTATAAGACCCACTGACAATTTGGTTGACCTATCTGCATGGATGGAAGCATGTCTATCAGACATTAGTTCATGGACAGTTTCGAATATGTTAAAACTGAATCAAGACAAAACGGAGGTCATTGTGTTCACTCCAAAACACAAAATGAAAAACAATCCAGCATTCCAGGTTCAAGTTGGCAACAACTCTATCAGGGCTGTCCCATTTGTAAAGAACCTTGGAGTTTTCATGGATAGCTCTCTGAGTATGGAAAAACAAGTGACTTCTGTAACAAAGTCATGCCACTTTCAAATAAGGAATATCGGGTGTATTGGGCAATTTCTGTCCACTGATACCTGCAAGACTCTAGTGCATTCACTCGTAACATCCAGACTGGACTATGGGAACGCTTTGTTATATGGCATTCCAGGTACATTGGCTAAGCGTCTCCAGAGAGTGCAAAATACTGCGGCGCGACTCATTACACAAACTAAAAAAAGGGACCATATAACACCTGTGCTGGAGTCCTTACATTGGCTTCCGTTTGAATATCGCTGTCAGTATAAGCTGCTCATGACTGTGTTTAAGGCTCTCCATGGGAACTCACCAGAGTACCTCAAGGAACTTGTACGTCCCTATAAACCAACTCGGACACTAAGGTCACAGTCTGGTGCATTGCTTATTTCCCCCAAAGCAAGGGCTGCCACATATGGACACCGCTGCTTTGATACAGCAGCAGCACACTTGTGGAATAATCTTCCATTTTCCATGAGGAACATAGAATCTCTGTCTGCTTTTAAATCCGCACTGAAAACACATCTTTTTAAAACAGCCTTTAAATTGTGATAGGATTTCTATTGATAGACAGTGTATGACATAGTTTTAATGTTTTAGGTTTTTTGTGATGGACATTTTACATTGATGGATAATGAACGATATACTTTTATGCTTAATTTTTTATGTTATTTTATGTAAAGCGCTTTAGTGTAATCCTGACGAATTAGATAAGGCGCTATATAAATTTAGTATATTATTATTATATTACATTTTATATCCAATATCAATTCACATAATTGACATGATAAAGTAGGCCTAAATTTATGTCATTAAATCAAAGTTATAAATTAGCAAAACTTAAAGATAAACAATATTCCCCTATGATTCTGGATCCTTTATACACGACCAATTTGAATATAGGTAAATTTAATTAGTTTTTGCAATATTTGACATTATCTCAGGAATCTAGCAGCCAATCATCATGTTTTTTGGCTTTTGAGTTGAATAGAAGTCATGGGAATGTTTTAACAAATTTACTGCCTCTGACTTTGAATTAAGGTCAAGGTGATTTTTTTTTGCAAACTGTCTAGCTTCATCCAAGGAATATACCTGCCAAATATGATCACTCTTGGCATCTTAATTGTCGAGACTAAGGAAAGGAAAATGTTGACATAATGAGATGTTAAAGATTAAAGGGCTATGTAAACCATTACTTTTGCAGATTACCTTAATTGTTTCATACCACTTAGGTTTGTCCTCATGGTAGTACACCATTGATTTGTACTCAGTCATCAGCTCTCCTCCACAGCCGTGACTAATCACACCCTATAATGGCAAAATGCAACTTTTATCCATACTGTATTAGATTATGTTAATATCCACAGGTGTTCAACCTTACCTGTATACGTTATACCTGTATCTATGATATTAACACTACAGGGATTTAACTTTACTCCTATATCATACATGTATCTATTTAATTAACTCTACAGGTGTTCAACCTTACCTATATATTATACCTGTATGTAATAAACTCTGTATGTGTTTAACTTGACAATGTTACCTTCAATTTTTCCAGGTTTTTGTTACAGACCACCATAGTAACCTCCACATTTTTATCAGCTGTTTTTGTTGGTCCACGAGTAAATTCTCCCTGCTTGATTGTGATATATATATCATTTCGTACATCACCTGTGTGTAAACAAGTATGATTTATGTACATCACCCACAAAGCAGCTGTACAGAGTGAACACCATAAGATTTATATACAAATACTGACCAATATATAGGCAACTATATACATATACATCTTCTGTAGCTTTCTTTATAAAGGATTAATTTCATACTTATGTTATACCTTAATTACAAATTAAATATAAAGGAAAATTAATGTGTCAATATTAATATAACAGATTGGACAACTTTTTTCTCTGAACTGGGGAAAAACTGAACTTTATAAAATCATCTATAATGGGAAAAAATCAATATGTTCAAGTGAATATGTTTTTATAACATGTACCAACTCACCAAAATCATCTGTCCTTCACAAAATATTACAAAAATTACACACAGTTACAAAAGCTGTAAGTGTTTATGCAAAAGCAGAAATTGTTTTTGCTCACCTGATTTTTTCTAAATAACTAAATAACACACGCTCCTGATTATTTTTGTTTAAATCCATTTTCTGATGAAGGATTTGAAATAGTTATTGTAATTTCCACTAATGGGCCTTAACCCTTGGCCAAAGTATTATACAGCATGGTGTCCTTTCTCAAACAATATGCCAGAAAAATCGGCTAAATTTCTCATAGCTTAATTGACAATTTAAGTGCCATTTGATACGCAAGTTGAAAGATAAATGCCAAACAAGGGCACAAGCTCACTTTTCCTTGAATCAAAATAAATAACACTGTTTAAGCATTCCTCCATTTCCTTCCATTTCAATTCAAATCCATGACACTTAAATCGCTAACACTGTTTAAGCATTCCTCCATTTCCTTCCGTTTCAAACCAAATCCATGACACTTAAATCGAAACACAAGAGAAACTGCTCCCTACCCTGACTTGGCTGGTACACATCAAACATATATTGATAATATGAATTTTTCCAGGATTTTTACCTTATTAATGTTACCATTGTCTTTATGAAGTTGTGGGTATTTTGGTTAAGAACTACTTTTTATAGATACCAGATGTGTTCAATCTTAAGTGTCTTGAGGTCATACAAGGTCTCCGTGGCAGTAACAACACAGAACAACAAAATACAATCAAAGCTAAAAGCATACATTAAAATACATTACATCACCGAAAGGTCAATTCCATCACTGTTTTCTTAAAAATCACTAAAAGTTGCATACAAAAATACATGTTTAACCAACTACATTAATATTCTTCATCTTTCAGTTTTGCTAAAGTTGCTAAAGTAGCTCATAACAAGATCATTATGATATTGTATTGACACAAGTCATAGATAAGGAATAAAAGGTGATAAAGTGTTTTTATAAATAAGTAAAAAAAAAAAAAAATTGAAAAAATAAAACATTTATTTCAACACAACTAAATAAGGTGCAATGCTACAACATGTAGGTTAATTAAACGTGGACATGTAGAGCTTACCTCCTAGCATGAATCAACAGATAAACAAACACATGTAAATTACGCAGGCATTAGACAGGTGTATCACACAGGTATATCACACAGGTGGAAAAAATACAGAAGATCATTCAGCATATTTATCCCTCAGTTTGGCATGCAGTCTGTGTAAGTATACACAGATAAAAACAAACCTGATTCACACAAAAATATCGTCAAATCTACAGGTTAATACATTCTCTTATTTATGTATCAGACAAAAAAAAGCAACATTTATCTGGAGCAATGTTCCTTTTGAGAGTGGTGTTTTGTTGCTGTTGGTAAGATGCTTACTACCCACTTATTCAGCATTTTCTCATTGAAATCTCTAACAGGCAATTCAGCTTTGATAAATGGCATTCTTTGGTTGGTGGAGATTATATAACTGGCATGATAACTTCTGGAAGCACCATCTTACAAATCACAGAAAACTTTAAGGTATTGTCTGGAGATTAAGGTTCCTGACATGAAGATATCATCATCTTACAAGACACAAAAAAACTTTCAGACATTATCTGGAGATTGGATACCTGACATGACAATATCCTCATCTTACGAGACACTGAGCATGTAATGATGCTGGCTTGAGGTTACATACCTGGCATGATGACTTCTGGAAACCCCATTTTACGAGACACTGGTGTATTCTGGCCCACAAGGTGAGGGAAGTCTTCTCGCACCTACAACCCCAAAAAAAGTTTGGTCAAATCTCTTTCTTGTTAGACAGGCATTTCTGTCACATAGGAAACAATCAGGTAGAATTTAACAGAGGAAACAAATTTATTAAATCTTATCAAAGATAGAATTTTCATCACATCACACGGAATATCATTATAAAACACAGTTAACAGAGAATCTACTCCCAAATAAAAAAAAGGTCCAATATTGACAAGAGGAATTCTCATCACACAAGTCACAAGTCACATTGTATTTTCCAGGTATAAGCCTCACTAATATATAAGCTGCAAATAGCCAATTTTTAGTGATTTTTTTCGATTTGATCCACATACAAGCCGCACCCTTTCTTATGATAGAGTGAGCACTATTGTTGAAGTTTGATATACCGGAGCAGATAACTGAAGGCAGTTTATCAAGATTGTCAGTGTAACACTTAATAAGGATTACTGATGAAGAAGTTTGCACAAATGATCCTTTATTTTATTGATGTTTTATTAAATCATGCATGTCATTTAATATACTTAAAATATCAAACTTGTTTAGGGCCATCAATGATTGCCAACGCACATGTAGGACCTGACAATATACAGAATATTACAACCTCTTCACCAGTGTCTGTACTGTTAAATATTCATAAAGGCTATTGCTTGTTGATAAAATTCCTATAATCCTGTAATATATTTTTGTAAGCTGTATCAAAACTGCCAACATCGTAAACAAACATGGCGGCCCTTCTAGAATTCGACTTCTTCACCCTATGACGGTGATGATGACCTAGTGATGAATTTTTTGTTATATAGTGTTGATATAGTGTTGAACATGTCCTTATCTCTCATGTAAGTTAAACAGTTTATCAATGAAATAAAGGAACTAGTGCATATGTTCAAACATTCATAGATGGTGTACGTGTCTGTTGTTGTTACCATACACACATTTATGATATTTATGTTGCCCCTGTCGGGCCCTCGACCTATAAATCCCAGGGTGCAATACTCTCCTGTAAACATCCATTACACTTTCTTGCATATACTGCTGTAAAGAAACCATGTAAGGCAATAGTATATTATCGTGTTTCATATCAACACGGATGATTAATCAAATCCACAGGAATGTTATTTGATTGCAATCTTCAAATCATTTAGTATACAATTGCAATTGGTTTCTTTCAGTCACAAACGCATGGTACTCGTAAAAACAGGTTTATGATGTCTTGTACTGGTACCTTGGGACTTATGGTTTATACAATGAAGGACAGATGATTATAAGCTATCAATCTTCTTCTCAAAGACATTTATCTGTGGCTGGAGATTTCATAATAAAATTATTAAGTCCACACTGTCAAAGCACTGTTGAAATAAAAAGGACAACAAATATAACTGTGTTAAATAGAATACACACTTGTTTGGGGTCACCAGAAAGGATTTTCATGGACACCCATACTCCCTGGCCTTTGTGGTTGATTTCCTTGGCAGTGACTACCTTCCGGATCAAGCTTTCCATCGCTTCCTTTTCCCCACATCTGTTAAACACATAGGTATGGAATTAAATAAGGCAGCAGACGTTATCTTCTATAACATATCATTTATATCAACTGCCTGAAAACGATCATGTGCTTACTCAACTGATTTAGTTCTCAGACTTACTGTTGAAATGGTATAAAATGTTGTGTCTCCTCGGAACACTCTTGTTTGCCGTTCATGATTTCTGTGATATCAAGGGCTGAAACAGATCACAAAGGCATGTTGTAGGACTCACTAGAATACAAATCACCATGATAATTGTCAATTTGCATGCCTCATTATCAACACAACAATAATTCAAAAACATGTTTCATTACATGAATAGAGTTCCTTATCAGATCCACTGACCCCATCATTACTTTGCAAAATACCAACCTGCACCTGCTTTTACATGGTGATAAAATTTTCACAGATTTCACAGTATATGTCACATCCATCAACTCATAATTTACACAATTGCCATTGACTCACAGTATATACCATGTCCTTTGACTCCCAGTATATACCATGTCCACTGACTCCCAGTATATACCATGTCCATTGACTCCCAGTATATACCATGTCCATTGACTCCCAGTATATACCATGTCCATTGACTCCCAGTATATACCATGTCCACTGACTCACATTATGTACCATGTCTATTGACTCACAGTATATACCATGTCCTTTGACTCCCAGTATATACCATGTCCATTGACTCCCAGTATATACCATGTCCATTGACTCCCAGTATATACCATGTCCATTGACTCCCAGTATATACCATGTCCACTGACTCACATTATGTACCATGTCTATTGACTCACAGTATATATGTCCATCACAGTATATACCATGTCCTTTGACTCCCAGTATATACCATGTCCATTGACTCCCAGTATATACCATGTCCATTGACTCCCAGTATATACCATGTCCACTGACTCACATTATGTACCATGTCTATTGACTCACAGTATATACCATGTCCTTTGACTCACAGTATATACCATGTCCTTTGACTCCCAGTATATACCATGTCCATTGACTCCCAGTATATACCATGTCCATTGACTCCCAGTATATATGTCCACTGACTCACATTATGTACCATGTCTCTCACAGTATATACCATGTCCAGTATATACCATGACTACCATGTCCATTATGTATATACCATGTCCATTGACTCACAGTATATACCATGTCCTTTGACTCACAGTATATACCATGTCCTTTGACTCCCAGTATATACCATGTCCATTGACTCCCAGTATATACCATGTCCATTGACTCCCAGTATATACCATGTCCACTGACTCACATTATGTACCATGTCTATTGACTCACAGTATATACCATGTCCTTTGACTCACAGTATATACCATGTCCTTTGACTCCCAGTATATACCATGTCCATTGACTCCCAGTATATACCATGTCCATTGACTCCCAGTATATACCATGTCCACTGACTCACATTATGTACCATGTCTATTGACTCACAGTATATACCATGTCCTTTGACTCCCAGTATATACCATGTCCATTGACCCCCAGTATATACCATGTCCATTGACTCCCAGTATATACCATGTCCATTGACTCCCAGTATATACCATGTCCATTGACTCCCAGTATATACCATGTCCATTGACTCCCAGTATATACCATGTCCATTGACTCCCAGTATATACCATGTCCATCGACTCACAATGGTGACAATAAAGTTCTATTCCATTGCTATATACTGTGAGTCAATGGACATGGTATATACTGTGAGTCAATGGACATGGTATATACTGTGAGTCAATTGACATGGCACATAATGTGAGTCAGTGGACATGGTATATGATGGGAGTCAATGAACATGGCGTATACTTGCACCTGCTTTCACATAGTGATTAATTCATTTGTTGTGATCACAGTGCCCTCCAGAGAGAACTGGTTATGATCACAGTGCCCTCCAGAGAGAACTGGTTATGATTACAGTGCCCTCCAGAGAGAACTGGTTATGATCACAGTGCCCTCCAGAGAGAACTGGTTATGATCACAGGGCCCTATAGAGAGAACTGGTTATGATTACAGCACCATCGACAAAGAACTTGTTGTGATCACAGTGCCCCAACCCACCCCACAGAGGAATTGTTGTGATCAAGTGCCCTCCATAGAGGACTTGTTGTGGTCACAGTGCTCACCACAGTGAACTTGTTGTGGTCACATAGCCTTCCAGAGGTCTTGTTTTGGTCACATTGCCCTCCAGAGGTCTTATTTTGGTCATGTTGCCCTCCAGAGGTCTTGTTGTGATCACAGTGCCCTCCACACATGACTTGTTGTAGTTACAGTGCCCACCACAGTGAACTTGTTGTGGTCACATAGCCTTCCAGAGGTCTTGTTTTGGACACATTGCCCTCCAGAGGTCTTATTTTGGTCATGTTGCCCTCCAGAGGTCTTGTTGTGATCAAGTGCCCTCCACAGAGGACTTGTTGTGGTCACAGTGCTCACCACAGTGAACTTGTTGTGGTCACATAGCCTTCCAGAGGTCTTGTTTTGGTCACATTGCCCTCCAGAGGTCTTATTTTGGTCATGTTGCCCTCAAGAGGTCTTGTTGTGATCACAGTGCCCTCCACAGAGGACTTGTTGTGGTCATGGCGCCCACATTAGACATCAGATACTTTGACTGGGCCATCAATCTTTTGTTGTTCTAACACAGATTTTACTGGGATTTTTTAGGATTTACCTGCTACTCCAAATGGTCGCTTTAGCCCTTTTGTCTGTTTCTTGTCGTCTACATCTTTAGTGTCCATGACCCCTGTAACAAACATAAGTAAGATCTCATAAAAAACATTCTTCTTTTATAGCTCAAATGAAATGTAACACACCAGCAGGAATGAAGTGTTTAAGTACTCTGACTTCCTTGCCATTATTTCTATAGTCCTTTTACAATATCATGTCTTATTTGCTCACTGATAATTTTCCATAATCTATCCAAAGAATCATAAGTGAAGATCAGGAATATTGGTAGCTAAAAAGAATGCTATTTAATAAATAGATTATCTTCAAATACAGCAACAGAGATATCTACCTTATAAAATAACATCTTATCTTCAGAAATAGTAGCAGAAATATCTTATCTTCAGAAAAGTAACATAAATAACTTATCCCTTGAAAAACCAACAGAAATATCTTGTTGTCAGAAATAGTAATAGCAATATCTCATCTTCAAAAAAAGTAACAGAAATGCAGACAGGGAAGAGTAAAACAGAATGATTCATCTCACCTATTCTCACAATTTGAAAAACTAAATGCACTTTTTCTCGTTGTCGATCTTTAGCACCTAAGTCCTGTAAACAGAAACCAGCATACACTTTACCAGTAGTGTTGTTTATATATATATATACCCGGTATATATCAAAACTACTGACATTAAAAAACAAAGAATATGAAAAGAGTTTGAAGTGCATATTATAGTAATTACACAATACAATGATCCGGGTATTAATCTCATTACAACCTCCCATATTTATTACTCCACAAGCTACCTGAAACCTGTGATCACCTACCTCTAATTGGTTGTATACATACCGTGAACACCACTTTATAATTGTTCAGCATTTCTAAGTTCTTTGGTACCCCACCTCCTTTGGCCCATTTCACAACATAATTTTCACTGAAAAGTCAATAATACAACAAGGTCATCCTATATTACATTTCTCTATTGTTTTAGTGCTTCCTTTCAGAGGTTACAAACCATCACATGTTCTGTACAATTTCTCCATCATATAACTAAGTAATCTAAATAATTACATATGCTCCATACAATTTACTGACAATGCTGATATAAAGAATTTGACTGCTACACCAAATCTCACCTTATAAATTTTCCAAATTTGGCATCGTAAAGGCTCATCAGAATATCTGCATCTTCACCGATCCGACAAACAAAATTTCTAAGCTTGACAAAAAGATTAAAAGTGTGTGGCCATGTGAGATTGACTCCATCCTCCTTTCCAGCATTCACCTGCGAATTTGTAAAGAGTATTATTGATGAATGCGGATTGTCTTATCTATGGCAAAATCCTATTAATATCAATAGTACTTGGTTAAGAAATGTTTTGCGCTCTGTTTTATATAGTTAGTTTCTACAATCCTGGGAAAGTAAGATTATGAATATTTCTAAATGTATAAACTACAGAATGTTTAAAAATGTACTGAAACTTGAAAGTTATCTAATCAAACTACCTATTAAAACAGAAGTATCTTAACAAAATTTTGAACATGTAACTTCAATCTCCCATTAGAAACTGGAAGACGGAGAAATGTACCCAGAGAAGACAGGAAACGTTTGAAAAAAAAACCAAATTCAACTCGTCCCCACCCAAACAATGACCAAATCACCCCGATCCCCATCCAAACAATAACCAAATCACCCCGATCCCCATCCAAACAATAACCAAATCACCCCGATCCCCATCCAAACAATAACCAAATCACCCAGATCCCCACCCAAACAATAACCAAATCACCCCGATCCCCACCCAAACAATGACCAAATCACCCCGATCCCCATCCAAACAATGACCAAATCACCCCGATCCCCACCCAAACAATGACCAAATCACCCCGATCCCCATCCAAACAATAACCAAATCACCCCGATCCCCACCCAAACAATAACCAAATCACCCCGATCCCCATCCAAACAATAACCAAATCACCCCGATCCCCACCCAAACAATAACCAAATCACCCCGATTCCCACCCAAACAATAACCAAATCACCCCGATCCCCACCCAAACAATAACCAAATCACCCCGATCCCCATCCAAACAATGACCAAATCACCCCGATCCCCACCCAAACAATAACCAAATCACCCCGATCCCCATCCAAACAATGACCAAATCACCCCGATCCCCACCCAAACAATAACCAAATCACCCCGATCCCCATCCAAACAATAACCAAATCACCCCGATCCCCATCCTAACAATGACCAAATCACCCCGATCCCCACCCAAACAATAACCAAATCACCCCGATCCCCATCCAAACAATGACCAAATCACCCCGATCCCCACCCAAACAATAACCAAATCACCCCGATCCCCATCCAAACAATGACCAAATCACCCCGATCCCCACCCAAACAATAACCAAATCACCCCGATCCCCATCCAAACAATGACCAAATCACCCCGATCCCCACCCAAACAATAACCAAATCACCCCGATCCCCACCCAAACAATAACCAAATCACCCCGATCCCCATCCAAACAATGACCAAATCACCCCGATCCCCACCCAAACAATAACCAAATCACCCCGATCCCCATCCAAACAATGACCAAATCACCCCGATCCCCACCCAAACAATAACCAAATCACCCCGATCCCCATCCAAACAATGACCAAATCACCCCGATCCCCACCCAAACAATAACCAAATCACCCTGATCCCCATCCAAACAATGACCAAATCACCCCGATCCCCACCCAAACAATAACCAAATCACCCCGATCCCCATCCAAACAATGACCAAATCACCCCGATCTCCACCCAAACAATAACCAAATCACCCCGATCCCCATCCAAACAATGACCAATCAATTTTTTTCTTTTTAACCAAACATTTATCAGTGATTCAAGAACATGTACCTGTAAATCAGCCATCAGTTGAGACATTTACCTGTTAATTATAACCAACAGGTAAATCTGACCATCTTGTTTAAAAGGGCCCTTCCACATCAATACAATAAAGTTTAGAGAGGAGAAAAGTGTAGTATAATTAATATTTTGTTACTATATGCATGCTAACTGACAGGAAGGTCATACACACAAAATAAAATTAATTTATTCCGTTTCCTTTTTCGGGAATCATTCAGATTGTATCAATCACATGAATAATAATGTATTTTATATTGTTCTCACCTTTTCTGCTTTGATTCGATCTGCAGCTAGTTCATGCTGAAAGTAAATAATGCACATCTATTGTGAGTACATACATCTACAGTAGAGTGTCACAGCTTCCACTTGACTGAAACTATGTAATGCTTCACTTATTAGAAGCAAATCTGTGATTTTATATGTGATATCTTTGTAAAACAAAACAAAGCCATACTAAGATGAAGAAGTTGAAACAAACATAAGCTGTTTTATCATTATATAAATATAAAATCAAAAATTGATTACCCTGTAACCATGTGTACACACACTCCTGACTTAATACCTCTGTATATTCCTTATGTCAGGTAATACTTGTTACCTGAGATGTTATAAAGTGAATACTTACCTGTTTGAAGAGGTTAATAGCACTTGTTGACTCAGGATCAAGGACATTTCCCTGCTCATCTCGGACAACCAGGTCAAGGTCAAGCATGCTAATAAACAAAACAAACTAATGAAAGTTAAAAATAGAATCAATCTTAATGTTCTTTTTGTCAATAATAATGGAGATTGTACTTCAATCAAAATCCAAAGTTTAAGATTTATAATTTAGGTTTTATTTAATCTTTTTATAGATTTGTCTATGGATTTCCTCACTATTGTCAGATTTTACAATTATGAATACTTCATGTTCCTTAAGAGTAATGAAATGACAATTTAAGCCTTGATATCACAATGTTTTTACTCTGAATTCCTCTTTTGGTGTCCCTAACCTCACATAATATGTCAGATCAAGGTACAGATACTTACTCATTTCCAATATCAATTCTAGACGATATCCTCTGCTGTAAATCTCGTAGTTCCTCCTGAAATAACAACACACAGGAAATGATTGTTGTTAATGCTTTCATTGTATAACATTAATCTTAAGCTTTCCCTTTGATCAAGATAATGATAATAATGAACCCTCCCTAAAGATAATAATGAACCCTCCCTAAAGATAATAATGAACCCTCCCTAAAGATAATAATGCACCCTCCCTAAAGGTAATAATGCACCCTCCCTAAAGATAATAATGAACCCTCCCTAAAGATAATAATGTACCCTCCCTAAAGATAATAATGAACCCTCCCTAAAGATATTAATGAACCCTCCCTAAAGATAATAATGCACCCTCCCTAAAGATAATAATGCACCCTCCCTAAAGATAATAATGAACCCTCCCTAAAGATATTAATGCACCCTCCCTAAAGATAATAATGAACCCTTCCTCACCGCTGTCAGTTTCCTTGACATAATTTTTCTCCGCCAGTGAATCAGCTCTTGCATCATGTCCATGATCGTCCCAAAATCTTGATTTCTTTCCTGGAAAATGAGAAGTAAACAATATAAGATAACATTTATATCAAGACTATTAGTAAAGGCCTGCATCTCACTATAAATGTTTTTCATGAGGACAAAGAATTTGAAAAAAAAAGTGAAAAAAGAATGAAATTACAAGTATACCAAATTTCAAGTACACAATACAAAAAAGATTATTTCTATGCCATATTGATTTATATAATAAAAGTATTTTCCCAAACTCTTAAATAGATTTATGGACAGTAAATATCAAATTTTAAGATGTACATACTACGAAGTATTGTTTCCACATGCCGTGCCATTCTCTTAATACAGAGTTGATCTCCTGAGACAATGGTAGCTCCTTGGGTGCAATAGTTTCTAGTGAGCTTGAAATAATATTTTTTAAAAAATTACTTAAATGATTAAAAAGTTGACTCCACATAGCAATAATACCACTACATTTCAGTTTATGTATACTTAAAGCCTAGTATATACCACAATCATATCTTAGCAAAAAATTTTCAGCAGGAAAAGTGATCAAATAAGATTATAGGTCAACAATATATCACTTAGAATGTTGCTATCAGCAGAATTACTGACAACTAAGGTTTAATTGTCATGTAATAAGCCCATCCCTTTCCAAGATAAGATTGTCTTTATTCAATCTCAGAAACACAATCAGGGGTTATATGCAAGTGTTAGCCCCCTGGCATATAGCTAGGTTATCATAAAAAAAAATGTGTTTAGTTCACAAACTGTTAAACTTCCCTAACATACAGAAATAATATTCCATTTAAGCATAAAAAGCAATCATCAAACACATTTTCATTTTATTGAGCTACTGTATATTTAGAATAAATAAAAAATATACTTTCTAATAAAGTTACATACTGATATCTGATAGTGTATATATGTAGTGAAAGGTTTTCTTGTTTGAGAAAACCCCTTACCCAGTAGTAAATACAGCTGCTTCCTTTATATGTACATAAGTTTTTGGGAAGACCCCTCTCTGGTTTTTGTTCCGTGTGGTGTAACCCCAGTACCATCCTAAAAATGGAAACATGTACAATCAACATTTCTGAGATGACCCAGATGTACTTTATAACTACAAAAACAGAGCACACATCTGCTGTCAAGTACTTAATGTATGTAAGTTACACAAAACACCAGGAAGTTCACACCATCCTGATCCAAGTTCTATTTAAGTTAAGAGCATATATACTTCTCAGAAACTGAAAGAAGACAATAGGAAATTTTATTTCTAAAGTCTAAATTAGAAAACACCTTAATATTTAACTTTAATGAGTTGAATCTCAAACAACTTACACAAAGAGAAATACAGAAACTTGTTTTGTAATACATAAGGTTTACTATAATATTTGAGTATGTCATAATGAATTAAGTGAAAAAAGTTGGTAACACCAAGCCTGTTTCAGTTACTGTTCAAGAATTCTTCCATGCATTTTTGAATCAGTCAACTTTATCCCTTTCTTTTCTTTCCTTTTTAATTTCGGGTCCTTTCAGGTGCAGGGTAATTTAATTTGGAGGCAGCACCTCCACTAGGTACAAGTAAAAGTAGCTGGTGACTGCTTTACTGAATAACATGTGGGAAATCTGTCACAATTATATCCAGAACAATTTGGATAAAGTACCTTACCCGTGAACAAACCCACAACAGTACAGGACAATTCATGTGATTTCAGCTCCTTGAAAACCTTTTTGCTTAAAGCTGAAAATATGATCTGTCCAAAACTTTTTTAAATGGTTTAATTCTGTAAAATTAAAATAGGCAATAATTGACAGATAACTAAGTGTTGAATAAGAGGTATTCACTCTGTATCACCCACTTAAGATATCAGTTAACAGTTATATATAATTACAATCTTTGGCATTATCCTGCACATATACTGTCTCAACCAAACAGAGGGCCCAGCAGCCATCTTGAGCCAGAGAACTTTAAAAATGACCACTTCTGATAAAGAATACCAGGTATCACTATATGAGAGTTTGGTTGTAGTCAATAACATATAGTGCAGAAAAAGTGGTGTGGACAAAGCTTAAACAGACAAAGTTTGTAAATAGATTTTGTAGTTTAGAAAGAAATTTCCAGACAAGATTTTACTACAGATTGACAGGTACATGAGTCTATGGCAGACAAGAAAAACATTATAAACTCCACTATTGTGCTTATCGTTTGATATGTATGCAACACTTGATCATTTGAAGGCTGTCAGGTCTTCAGATCTGTAGACAAATACTCTTAAAAAAGGGAGATTAGGATAAAACAGAAAATGTATAATTATATAGTAGTTCTGAAGTTGCCCCCCCCCCCCCCCCACCCCCCTTGAACTCCTCCCATTCCTCCCAATAATATCAAGATATAAACAAGGAAGTGATCCTGGTGTATTCCTAGCCTGTCTTGCCTCTAACAACATCACATGCATTTTATCTCTACATTTCAATTGCCTAATTTACATGTCCTGGATGTGAGGCAGACTGTGTATGGTCCGTGTCCTTCTGTAGACCCAGACTAGTGGTTAGGTGACAGATCAACAGAGCATGTAAGATTGAGGATGACACTAGATCTACTGATCACCACTGTCAACAGAAACATACATACAGTAATATAAAACCTACTCAGTTATATGGCTAGTCTCCAAAAAACCATCCAACATGTTACCAGGGAAATCCGACACACACACTTTCCTAATGTGTATTTGTCAGGAAATCATCATGAAATACTACTGATTCAGAGAAAACAACACTTATTCCTAAAATCACGTTCTTTTCAAAACACAGACTTGATTACTTAGAGACGATTTAAAACTGGATCAAGAAACCAAACTCCAATTATACTCTCTAGATTTCCCATTGCTTGTATTCACTACATGAAGCACTCTACTTATGTTTGCAAGTTGGTATTCTTAAGTTGCATACAATGTCATGTAATGTCATTAGAAGCCATATAAATCAATGTGTCATGTGTCTATTGTCTTCCTTTTTCATGTTTCTATACATATTGTCATCTAATGTCATATGACAATTTTGTCCTCTAATGCCATGTAACCATATTGTCCTCTAATTTCATATGTTTATATTATCCTTTAATGTCATGTGTCTATTTTATTCTTTAATGTCTGGTGTCAATAATGTCCCTTAATATCTTGATTATGTGTATATATTGTTGTTTAATGTCATGTGACTATATTGTCCTTTTATGTCATGTGTCTATTTTATCTTTTAATGTCATGTTTCTATATTGTCCTTTAATGTCATTTGGCCTTGTATTTATTGTCCTCGTTTGTCATGTTAACATATTGTTTCTCAATGCATATGTAAGAATTTCTTATATAAATATAAGCACAAATATTTTAATTGTTAAATTTGATGCTAGTATTACATATGTCAGTATCATTTTTGTTACATCTGTGAAGCAGAGCTGCTACTGAGGTGCTCAAAAGATAATTCTTTCCGTATGTTCAATGCTACATAAATTATTACCTCTGCATGAAAATTCATTTAAGTCTATATTACCCTTTCTTTTTCTAAATTTTTAACTAATGTACATGTAAGTAAATTGGCTTGAAAAAAAATCATCATGTGTTGTGAATTTAAAACTTGGTAAAAAGCTTTCTTTTATAAAATGTTCTGACTGGGTACAGTCTAGAACAAGACTATTGCCTCTCACACATGTTTGTAATCTAACAAATCACCATGTAAAAAGGAAAACAAGCAATTTTCTCAACACATTGATAAAGGAATAAAGGTTACCATAGAAACATGAATAACAGATCTGACTAATGGGCTGTTCCGGGACATCAGCCCCACTTTAACTCCCATAGGACACTGGGATCAATCTGGGATTCTTTTTTCACCTTAAATTTTAAATTAAGATTACATCTTACTGAACTAGAAATCAATAAATGACAATAAGGTATCTGGGCATACTGATAACACCTCTAGGGCTATATAAAGATCATTCTCGTCGATATCATTAATTTATACAAATAACCTTACTGATATAAATCAGCGGGCGTAATATGTCATCCATACTACACTGAAATTCATTGGAGATGTACAGTATTAGGCTTGTTAAAAAGAATGTCTGTGTCACTGTTTAAGGTTTCTATTGGATATTTTAGGGAACAGCTAATTTCAATTAACAATCGAATATACATCAACCTAGAGTCAATCATTTGTTATTTCTGTCATTGCTTCTTGTATCTTATTTCTTGTTGAATAGAGGTATGGCATGTAACCATCTGATTTGACTTAATGAAGTGAAAAAAATTATTTTCTATTTTGACTAAACTCAAACAGATAATTTCAATGAATTGCCAAAGTTGTTTATCTTAAGTGATACACACTAAAACATGTGGGTTTCCCCAACAATTTTGACATCCAATGTACACATATACCAACTTTGAAACAGTTGAACCTTATTCAGTGTGATCAGATATAACTTCAATCCTACCTTAAAATTTGGTACAAGCTTACAATGATACCTACAAATCAAATCGGACCGAACATTTTGTGTCTATGCTTTCTGTGTTAACTTTACGATTAAAAATGTTGATTTCTATATCAGTGCCTGTAGAACAAACAGTGAGTTATAACTCCAGTATCAGTAATATTTTCATGGGGTCACACGTTCAATCTCAGCTACTGATATTATAGCTTTATGATTTTCAATTTTTGTTTTCAATACAACTTTCAGATTAACTGATTCTATGCATTATACCAATTACTGGCCAAAACCTGACCTATTATCTCAGGTGATGATAGCACTACTTAAGAGTTGGTGTTGTGGTAAAATTCATCTCAATGTTCAATATATTCAAATACATAGCTTTAGGATTAACTTTCACATATTAATAAGCAGTGATTCGACCATTGAATGAATCTTTTGTTTTGTCTTTTCTTGTATAGTTCTCAGCATTTAATCATAATATTGCCATTGACACACCACTTTCAGGATCTATACATATTCTATACTTAGACTGCACTTTCACCTGTCGAATGCATGTTACCTGAGGTCATTACTTAAGTATTTTTGGAACAACCAAGGCAATCAACTGAGCAATCAACATCAGGTCAACCTACAGCCTTATCATAAAGATGTTTACTGAAATACCAGGTAGTTTAAAACTGTTTTGTTCCTTTATCATTCATATTGTACATGAAGATACATAAATATTGATATACAAGTTTCTAGTTTATCAATACCGTTATCTATTTCCTGTTTGATAATGCCTACTTTCAGTTTACTAGTTAACAATTTTTGTCCTGTTAAAGCTTTACAGTTACCAGTATAAGTGCAGTAGATACCGGCTGATGTACTACCATATTGATTCCAGAAACTATGAAATTTTATTGCTTTGTACTACATCACTATGAGGAACCTTTTCAATAATTAATCACCCATTACATACATCTGAGTCTTTACACATGCTCACTTTTTTACATGTCTATTTACATGAAACATGGCAAATTATCAAGAACGATCTTAAAGAGGAAATCCCCTCCAGACAAATGCCGCCATTAAACTATATCAAACAGTTGTAACTTCATGTATAAAGAATGTGTTTTTGTGTTAATGTTGTCTCTGTCACTTGACAACTGATTGTAGAGCAGTGTATTATCACATCAGAGATCTAGACTTGGCTGTGACTTCTTTTTTGGTGTCCAAAATGTTTTTCTTCTATATTTTCACTTCCACAGTAAATTTCAGTGGGTGACACTGCCATCCTGTTTGGTATTCATACATAAACTTGGTTAGTTGTACATGCTCCTGACAAAGTGACACATAACTGATCAACTGATGGTTATTACTAGTGGACAAACCAATAGTATAGAGAGAAATAAATTACTTTGTATGCTGGCTGATCTCATGATGATTTTTTATGTTATTGTAATCAAGTATTCAATTCAAGTAAGTTCAAATGTTTTTTGTAAAGTCAGCAAGGGACCAATGAAATGCTTTAAATTAAACCAAGTCTTTGAATTATATGAGTTCAAGATAACAAGGTTTGACTGTATGCACAATGCATTTAAACCAACTCTCTTTAATTTACTTTCATGAATTTCTCTATCAAAACACTGGTTCAATAGCATAGTATGGTGTTTTAAAATTAGATACAACATACAAACTATATCATAAGGCTGTTTTATCATGAGAGGTTTCCTCGTGATCAATGATAGTAATGCCTTATAATATTTATAGCATAGTATTTGAGAAAGTTAATTAATGGTCATGAATTTGTTACGATAAAGATATCATAATTATAGTAACCATGAAAGAAAGTTGGTCTATTGTACAAATATGTAATATTATACAAATATGTAATATTTGTGACCTTTTCTCTTAAAACAGACTTTGCAATGGAGTATTATGAAAATAGTAACCAATGTGTCATAATTTTAAGATTGAGTCTGTCTTAAATATTCCAATACATGTACATAACCTAGCAATTTACAGTTAGTATTAGAGTATAGGGCTCAAGTGCTTACATTAGATTCCTTACAGTCAAAACATTAGCCTAATATAGAATGAAGTATTCAAAGGACAAAACTACTACAAACTAATGGAAATTATCAGATCAGTGTACACCCAACAGTTACGGACAATGATACTAACTTATACTTCATACCAAACTGACAATGATCACACAAAATGGCAAAAACCAGGACAAAAGGTCAATCACAACATTTTACATTTTACCTTAAAACATCAAGCTGAAATTTATTTTTGGGGATATGTCTTTTATCAATGGTATCAGGTAAATTTTAATTTAATGAACATCGTTCAGTGACACGTACTGTAAGTGTGATCAAAGTAATTTGTTCAGGTCATATGACACATACATGTACGTTTACCAGCCTAACACTGATCATCAGTAACTTAAATATAAATACTGATATCCCAAACAGTGTTCACGTCATAAAAGGATTGGACAGATGGCTGTATGCAGGTCGAAATCTCCAAAACATCTATGAAATGATGATGCAGTGCATGCATTTAACAAATCCTTAAACATAATGATAATTGTAATTCTTGCAGGTCTTGGATAACACTGACACTTTCCCTGAATATAGGGAGTTGATATCTACACTAGTGGCCTGCTTATACTTCCTGTGACCCATACATACATGTTAATACATAGATAATGTACTTGGTGTGTAATTACTGCCCATTTCCTGTGTTTGGTATACAGGCTGAGAGGATGGGTTTACAACAGTATATACAAGAGATGAGTCCACTTCCTCTGTGTTATATACCTATAAAATGTCTGATTGTAGAAATTGTAAACAACTATATAAGTACCTTCAGTTTCTTCTAAGATGTGTACAGATTCACCGACACTCAGTTTCAGGCAGGGCGGCCGATCTAAGTGGAAGTTGTAGACCGCTGAAACATACAAATGTACTGTCAAACAAGATCTAGATTTACCTGATAATGTGTATTTATTATCAAAACATTAAACAGAGACATCACGTAATATTCATGGTGAGACTTACTGAAACATTGATCCCATAATAAAATAATATAAACACTGCAGGATCCTTTCCTCTCCATCCAATGCAATTTAATTTTCAAAATGTCTATGAGTCTCATTACTCCCGGATTTAATTATAGAGACTCACAGGAAAAGCACGAGTTTCAGGATATTCTCTCTGTGTTCCACAAATTTAATACACTACTGCACTAATAATAAATCACTGCTTATTAATCATAAATCACTGCTTATTAATCATAAATCACTGCTTATTAATAATAAATCATTGCTTATTAATCATAAATCATTAATGTACAAAGTATAAATCATTGCCTATATATAAACTATAATACATACATCTTAGGGATAAACCGGCTAAACAGAACTAGGTTCATTGTTCAAGTTTCCAGCATCATTCATTGCTTATTTGAAAGACTATACAGTGCAACTTCCCCAAACCAATCCTTTTCAAAACCCAACACCTGTTGAAACCTAACGAAATGGTCACATACCGAATAATATCCTGTTTATTATAGTAATAAAAACCTTTCCAATACCGGTCACTCTCCATTCCTAGTATGGAACCAATTTTGTGTCGGAAATGATTGAAATATGCCAAAAATCACTTCTGAAAACCGACCTTCCCTGAATAGTAAGGACCCAAATTCTGACCAGTGGACTGTAAAATCAAAACCTAGCGTGACGCGCGTTCACCTGTCAAAGGTAGCCATCGTACACAATGCCCACCCTAATCAGGAGGATTATAATAAACATAATGTATAGGTATCTCCAATGACAAATTGTAAATATCTCAAACAAGTCCATTGTTTCACTACAGCAAGAAACAGCTACAGACAAAATGAACGTAAGTACTGATGCAGAGTTAGAAAGCTGCAGCTTCGCACCTGAATCTTGAGGATTAGAATAATGTTATCTTACCATATATAGGATGGAAATATTAATCAAATGTTGTTTTGGAAGATGAGTTTTTAAACTGATCATCAAAAATCATATTCATCCAACGTATCAGTTAGTAACACTTTCAGAAAAGCAGACAATCTAATCAGGGCTACATTGGGCCGTATGTAGCGTTACATTACTTCCAAGATCGCTTGTCAATGGAAAGATTTCTTTTCAACTAAAGTCATGTATCGAATACAAGTATTATTGTTTTTTCTTCTAAAAATAATTTTCTCTGTATTCTGACAAACATGCTGAATGGTAAATGTAATGTACAGAACAGAATTGGTTCAATTATATCAGAGATTGAACCAGTCAACTTACTTAACTTCTATAAACCAAACCCTCCTTGAACTAGCCAAATATTCAAATCGCACCCATTGTTAGTTTGGAGAACTTCCACTGTATCTGTACAAGTATGTCATCCATATCACATTATCAATCATTATTTACTATAAATTGGTCAAGGTAATCAAGTTTCCTTGATGTACATGTATCTTGTAATCAACATATAAAATCTTTAAGAAACAGTGTCAAATGTTTACAAATCAAAAGTCTTTGTGACCATGACCAGGATCCAACTAAAATCTATATACAGAATTTTGTGTATAAACAAGTTTACAAGCTGCTGTTTACTGACGTACAATTGATACAACTAAAACACATAATGTGCAGTGCATGTGTATCAGTATGAAAATTAACGACCACTAGAATAAGATACTTAAATATTTAACTGTAACAGACACATTTATAATCAAATGTCAGCTGCCACTATCACACTCAAGCCAGCTGTCATCTTGATTGGCACAACACAAGCGATGTCTGTATGTAGTCGTAACAGATAAACAGTGTTTATTCTGAATTATTGCTGTATGTAGTAACACAAGCATGAAGCCTAGTAAAGTAGCACATGCAACACTAATTGTATAAGGCCACTATATATAGAGGGGCAGGGTGTATACCTTAAACTATAAAAACACAGTCAATTAATGTTTATGATACATCACAGATTTACCATTACAAGTTCTTCAAAAGAATTACAGCAACTTTGTCAGAAAACATATTCACACGGTCAACTATACAACACATATTAAAGACCTTCAAGACATGAAACACAAGACTGTAGGAAATGCAGGCACTGACAACACATACTGACAATATAAACACATATAGACAGTGGCTCGTAAGCCGAATCGCACTGGACATCATTGTGTTTTATTGTAAACTATGATGTGTAACACAGTAATGAAATATTATTATATGGTATTGTATTAATAAAACCAACAATTAAAACACACTGACTGTACATACAAACACAAGCACAGACAGCACATACTTACAATATAAACACATATAGTCAATACCAACAGTTAAAATATGCTGACTGTAGTAGTCTTCATTCTTTGCATTGTGTCATGTAATATGTATGTAATATGCACTGATGGGCCTACTGCCTAAAGTTGTAATAAAACTTGAAACTAGACTATAAGTACAGCCACAGACATACAACACACACTATATATCCAAAAACGTAAGTCATGTGGCCAGTTAACACACACTGACTACACATACAAAGACACTTTAATGTACTGCCAAAACAATGACAAAGTCACCACACACACAATCAACACACAATGGCAATACAAACACAAGGACAGTCAACACACAATGACTTCACAAACACACAGTCATCACATAGACAGTTAAGTCAGGACTATATACAAACACAGAAACAGTCAACACACATTAACTGTATAAACACAGGAACAGTCAACACTTATTGACAACACAAACACACAGTCATCACACAGACAATCAAGTCAGGACTACGAACAAATACAGGAACAGTCAACACACAATAATTCACACTGACTATCCAAGTACTGAAACCATCAACACAGATTGACAGTTAAAACACAATCATCACACAACAGTAAACACTTAGCTGTTCAAATATATATATATATATCAACAGTCATAACACATACCAAAAGTCAAAACATACTAACTTTTAACAGTGACTGTAAAAACACACAGCAGCCAACAAGTAATCACAGAAAAAACACAAGAGTCAACATACTGACTCATTGATATTTGAAGACTTTTTTTCAAGTTAGTCCAGGCAAGAACACATTTCAAACAATTAAGATTATGCTGATGTTTCAATGATAAAGGGAGACAACCCCTTACGACATTGAAGCTATAATGTGAAATGTAGTTGAAAACATTACTGTACAATCATACTGTAAAAAAATATCAATTTAAAACTTTAAAGAGAAAAATGGGTAATGGACCTAGATATTATTGATATTTTGCTGGTAAGTCAGTCTTTGTCGCTGTTATATCAATTGTTATCAATTTAAAACTTTAAAGAGAAAAATGGATAAAGGACCTAGATATTATTGATATTTTGCTGGTAAGTCAGTCTTTGTCGCTGTTATACAACAGTAATTAATTTAACAACATTCGATCATAATATACTCCTCATGCGCGGCGTTAGTAAACGGCTTAAATTAGCCTTATTGCCTATTGCTACAACTATTATTCAATCATTCAGTTTGACCCAAAATTCAAAACTTAAAAAAAGAAACATAGTCAATGGTAACCAACACAATAAACAAGTTTACATCAATTGAATTAAACAGAAACAACGAGGCTAAATTTACGTCTGTGTAGTTTGCATTGTGATCTATCAGCATCACTTTCTCTGTGTACCGAGATCACTTCCTCCTTTTAAAAAAAGTAAGTTTAATTCATACTATCCATTAAAAATGCACATAAATGATATCTTACCGACACCATATCTACGGCTCCTATCGGCTTTGTGCCACTGCATCATGTTTACACAATGTTTAAGCCATATATCCGTAAAACTAATCTAGGGCAACGTTTCGAGGATTACTTTGATGAAGCTGACGGCCATTGATATCACGTGGTATAATTTTGTTTCCGGAATATGTGCGCGCATAACGTATCCATGGACATAAACAATATGGAGTACACCAGTGGAAGTTGACTTCCTCACAAACTTTCGGGATTTTGTTGTGACTGGAATTGACTATTTTCCAAGTATTTATTTAAGGTAGGCTCAAGAACTTACATCTTTAAGCAGATCCTTGTGTTGATAAAATGCACGGGTCCATTATTATGGTGAAAAAGTGCGTCTGTATTACATGTTAATGTGCACGTTCTTAATAATTGCTGTTTTCTTTCCGAAAGCAACATCAGCGTCAGGTAAATCAGCTACTAATTCCTGTTTCTCATTTTAATCATCCGTTGAATGATCAAATGAACGGGAATTCTATGGTGTTCCGTTATCATGTATCATCTTCCTTCTCTCCCTCGATATAAAAAACTGCATTTTTGTAATTAGGACTACACTAGTAAAAGCTTATACAACAACTCATAACGGGAGAATACATGATGGTAAGGGATTGAATGCTTGATAAAGATGATACAAAGATACGATGATGGTGGAACAATATTAGTTCCCCTCTCTTGCTTATTGTTTTTCTCTGGCATCATACTAGTGTAGAAGTTGAGAGTACATGTTGCCTTGCTAGCCTTGGCAAGTGAGAATTTCCCTTTAATCAAGCTGTTGAGTGCCTGGCTAGAGACCAAAGACCGCTAGTTCGAATTCCAACTGAGGGAGATTGTCTTTACTCCTTCCAATTACACATATATGTATGTTTTTCCTTCATTGCTTTATTTTTTTGTTTTGGTTGAAGAAGTGAAAGCATTATATTACTTTTGCTCCTTCGCCATTGTGTTTTCATCCTGTCATATTAAATCAAGGGAGTAAAAAAGCAATTACATGCAAATTTCAATTTTCACTACCACTCTCCCTCAATGTAAGACCTTTGCAGTATACACATATACAGCTTAGGACTCCTACACACACGACAATAACAACTGCCATGAACAGAAACCAGCAATGCAATATGTCCCCTATCCCCATAGAGACTTTTTAATATGAAAATCTCTCAGCACAAGACACCATAAGACTCACCACACAAAGCAATGTGTGGCCGAATTGTCAACCTGTTGAAGGAGACTGTTAACAGGAAGAAGTAGAAAACCCTATGGTGAGGGAACAGAATATAATAATGAAGAAGTGAAACGAATGATGCTCCTACAGCATTATATTTTTGTCCTCATGCTCCCTTGTTATCATGTATTTGATCCACATATATGGATGGTAATGCTCCTTCACTCCTTCTTTATTGTTTTCTCCTCCATACTCCTTTGTGGCTAGGTCAAGGGAGAGAAGGAGCTTTGAAATTTACTTTTGAATAGTTCTGCTATTTCATTTTGTTACTATCTGTTAGTTTTGTAGGGTTAGAACTTCCAAGAAAAGTTGAGAATGTCTCAGTTTTGGATGACTTCTTCATATTTTTAAGCTGAGTGTGCCCTGTAGAGATAAAATATTTGGAACATGTTTTGTTTGTGACACCCTAAATTTTTCGAGGGACTTTGAAACCTTTTTTGTTGTGAGCATATCATTTATGAAGTTTTTGGAATCCACATTTTGAAAATATTGCTTATAACAGATATATATATATTGAAAACAATGAATATATTAATGATTGTACAAAAGATACACATTAACAGTATAACTGTATAACCAAATAATGAATTAAACTGCTTCATTTGTCCTTCTAGGACTTTATGGTGATGTGTCTTCTAGGACTTGTTGGTGATGCAAGCAGCTTAAAGTTTTGAAACCTGGGCTGTTACTGAAAAACTTAAAATTGTTCGAAATGAATTCCAAAATATACGTCTTTGGGAGCAGATATAAGTTTCTTTTCATATTGACTCTAAAATGAAGTCTCCTATCTTTTAGCATGATTACAACACAATTTAACAACTGGGTCTGAGTTAGTCAATTCATGTTCTTATTGACTTTTCTTCTTTTTCATATATTTAGGTATTAGGATTTAAAGACAAAATGTCACGGGCTCAAGCAGAAAGTGTCATTAAAAACATCATCAGGGAAATTGCACAAGAATGTGCTAGCAAAGGGCAAGCTGTGTCAGAGACACTTGTAGCATTCATGGTATGTATATATTCACAAACTCCTACATTTGCAGTAAGAAGAAATATCTTTAAGGTGACAATGTTTTTAATCAAATTAATTAAGAGAAACTGTGCATTAAACATGTTAAATGAAATATTTCATAATTATTCTAGGTAAAAGCTGTTGTGCTGGAGCCATCAAATGAGTTTAATGTAGATCGAACATTAACAAAGGACGATGTGCAGAAACTCATCAAGGTACTGTTAGAGGTTTTTTCTGCAGTGTCAGTTTGAATCCCCATCTCCAGTTTTCAGGATATCAAATATATCACATAAAGGTTCTCATTCTCCAATAACAGTCATCTTCATAATTGTTATCTAGACACTGTCAACACATTTTAACCGTTATGATCAATGCCAAAAATAAATCACCTCATAGACTATGACTTGAAAACAATAGACACAACTTTGCTGTAAACTTTACATGGAGATTGAAATTCAGTTGTTTAACTTTTATGCTGGTATGAAGTTAAAGCCTGTAAACAGACGTAAGTGATTCATAATGGGGCCATTTTGCCAAAATGTATTCATATTTTATATATATTAAATATTTTACAATTAATTTCAGTTATGTGTGGAGCGACTTATGGACTCGAGGTCTCCAGCTCTTGATACAGTTAAAATGCAGGTGTACTTTGACATGAATTACACAACTAGATGTGAGTAAAATTTAGTTTTTTTAATTTATGACTAATTGCCATAGTTATCAATAAAACTATTTATGAGATATTGACATACTAATGGTGTGACAGTATGTAATAACTGGTAATATATATGTATGGGTTTAAAAAATTAGGTTTTCAAACATTACATTCTTATGCAATTGCAAGCAAAACACAGAAAAAAAGCCTGTATAGACATCATTGTTGCTGCCTATTGTGAAAACACTAAATGATTTTACATTTTATCTATAATCTGCTTTCTTTTTTGTTTGTTCAGCTGATTTTCTAGAAGAGCACAGACGAGTCTTGGAATCTCGTCTCCAACCTGTTATTCGTGAAATCACAGACAGCAGGGCCAGAACTCGTGAGGAGCTGGAAAGTCTCTACCGAAAAATTGTTTCTGCAGTGCTGCTGAGGTCTGGTTTAGGAAGCCCCACAGATATTGCAGTGGTCAGGGAAGCAACAGGTGCAGTTATAAATATCTAATAAGCATCAAGAGACATATATCTGGTCTGCTTCAGCCAACAGCTTATTAATGATGAAGCCTTGGTGTCTTTTCTTCTGTCATTTCAATTACTGCCAAAATTTACTCTCTACAAATGGTGGCAGTTCATTGATAGTTTTGGTCACTCAACACAAATGTTAACAGTGTAATAATAGTTTCAGTAACTGAAAACAAATGTTAGAAGTGTATTTTTTTTTTTTTGTAACTCAATACAAATGTAACTCAACAGAAAGAGTTGACAAACAGCTCTGATTCAACTGTAAACAAATGACTTCATATACTAATATATTATTTTTGAAATTCTTTTATTTTTTAAATGGCACCGTCATGGCCAAAACACATCTGTCTGTCATTTGCTTTCTCACAATGTGCAATGAAACAAAGTAGTTATGGGTAATTTATCATTATCCATTTGTATGGTTTACAGTAAGCTACAGTTTTGCAGCAACTTATTTAGAAAATAGTCACATATAGCTTATTTACTCCCTACTGCTTCAACCAAATTCATTATTTCACTGTACTCAAAAAGAGTATCTTCAGAAATTGGTTTGTTGGCACATTAAATGTTACATTTTGGACATAATCAGGATGGACTTACAGATATTAATATAGGCCTTGAAATGCTAAGTTGAGGTTTGTCTGAAAGCAAAATAATAGTACATAAATGCGCAACCCTGGTCTGACTCATTATACTGATAAAAAAACACAACACACCTCTATATTATTCTCTTCCTGTCTTCACAGCGGCCCTCCAGAGTGTGTTTCCACAGACAGAACTTGGCACGTTTATGTCACTCACCAAACGAGACAAGGAAAGACAACTACTGGAGCTCACCATGATTGTCACTGGTATCCGATTGTTCAACAAAGAATGTGGCAAAGGAGGAGAGGGAATAGACGATTGTAAGTTACCAACAGTCAGTCATGACACTGTAACAGTGTAACAGATCAACAACTCATGAAATAAAGATCATTTTAGGGTAATCCGGTAAATTTTCTTGTAAGGCCTTTTTAAGTTCCCTTTTCTCTTTTTTCTCTAGGTGTTTTGTGTATTTACCAGCATGTAGTCCTATATGGTCTGTTATTAGTTGTCATGCCATCGATGCCAAAATGATTCTTTAGTAATGTGTTCAACAACATGGTATCTCACACAGAATGTGCGTCTCTCATTTCAGTACCAGCCATTTTAAATGAGGCAGTGCCAGCAACAACACAGAATGTTGACTCTGAGGTGCAGGCTACACTGAGATGTGCTGCCAATTATACAGGTACAATTGACTGATTACTGATTGCGTGGATCTATATTTCATTATATGATATGACACTCTGATAGTTAAATGCAAAGTCATCCAAATTTATGTTTATTCTGGCATTCTTTATTGTCATAACTCTGTAGAAGTAGAGAGTATTGGAATTTCCCTCTAGTCAAGCGGAAGAGTGTTTGGCTAAAGACTAAAGGGTCACTAGTTTGAGCACTGGCCATGTCAGAGTATTTTTCATTATGCGTTCCTATAACAACGGTAAGATTATCTTCCATCTTAATTGAACATCCATGAATCTGACAATGTTCCATTATTTAGTGCTTTATACAAGTTTATGTGTTAGGCACAATGTTGAGGTGAAGATCAAGGTGCTATTATTACAAATTCAAAATATATACAAAAACTAAGGTCTGCAATACACCTTAAAAGAGTGTACATATTATTGTGTCAAGGCCACTATTTCTTTAAATGAAAAAAATTTTGTCCTTGCTCTAATGTTTGCATCTTCCTGCTATGTGGTTCTGTCTTTTGTTGCTGATGAGTCTTATAGTGCTAATGTAAAGTGCTTTTTATTTCCATGGCTGTCTACAGCTTTGATAGAGAAGATGCAGAATAGTGACAATCAAGAAGGTCCTTCAACACAGCTCCTCAAGGATTCTCTCATCAATACCCGACAACATGAGGCTTTTCTCAGGGTCATCCTAGTAAGTAAGCTGTGAGGGAGAATGTTACAGAGTCCTTGTGATATCAATTGTCTCATGTTCTTTTATCCTCTGCTTTAGAAATCTAGTAATTCACAATTGTTGAACAAGGTAACACGTTATTGAAAATATTTTCTTAAATGAATTATCTCCCCTTTTAGAATGATGTGATCAGCTGTGCCCAGCAGGTGGAGCAGCTAGAACAACAGCTGGCTACAAGGATGGAACAGCTTCAGGCAACTGTCCAGTCTAAAACAGCTGTTCCTACGGCCCAGGTTTACGTAAGTATATTTAGTAAGTCTATATAATTCCTTTCCTTATACCTTGTACACATGCTGGTGTAACTGACTTCTGTGTGAGTCTTCAGTTATTAAACTCAGCGAATATCTTTATTGTCAGAATAAATGTCTTTTGATTAAAGATTCTGAGCTAGTGTCTACAACACTTGTTACACTAGATTAAATTGTGCATTATTTTGTTGTACCTCAGCACAAAGAATAGGGTGCCATGATCTTCCATCTTTCTTCCTAATCTGAGGAAAGGATCTACACTCAACATTTAATCACTTGTTTTACTGCAGCCTCAGTTTATCCACCTGTCACAGCTCTGGAGCTGTTTCCAGGATGAAATGGTCCTTCTAAGTGTCCTGAGTAATATCCTTGCCAGTTTGGAGCCATTCTCCAGGGTAAGTCTTTTCTAGATAGCAAAAGCCTTATTTCAGTGTATGTATGCATTTGTCAGAGATCACACACATGTACAAATGCATTAGGCATTTTGCTATTAGATGTTCTATGTAAATATTTGGATACATCTTACAAATATATGCCATCTTGATAATGCAGGTCACTTGACCCTTTTTTTGTTTTTAACCAATGTCCTTATAAGCAAATCTTTGGTAGGGAGGGGAAAACATAAACATAAAAAGGATGACAGAAAGTCTTAACCCTCCTAGTAAGATTTGAGAATGATCATCCCTTGTCACAGACTCAAACTTATTATTGAATATGTTTAGTCATCGACCCAGCAATGAGCAATTACTCCAGTATTTCTGAATTCTGTAATATCACGCTGACCAGAATATCTGTGGTGTTATTCCTCAGTCTTTTTAACAAGTAGTAGTATGTCACTAGCATGTAAGGTTTCAATGTCTTTTCTTTCCAGGGACACAGAGAACTTTTCAGTGACGAGGTTCTAGCTCCTTTCCTAGAGGGGGCAGTTATCAAGACAGACGATCAACGACTACAGGAGGTTAGTGGGAGAAAAGAGTGTTTATTATAACCTTTTAGTTGAATAAATTGTCAAATTTTTGGATGCTTTCTGTAAAGTTATAAGGTAGTATGCTTGTTTGTTTTTGTTTTGTCTGCATTTACTGGAGTTTAGATAATGGATTTTGGTTTTAACAGGAAACAAACAAATGCAAAAATAAAACCCATGTGATTTATAGTGCATGACATGATTGATGAAGTAAGTTGTGTTTGTTGTAGACGAGTGGACCTGAAAACAGAATTAACCCAAAAGAACTGAAAGATTTTGACTGGCTGTATCCAGAAACAACAAAGAACTTCAACAAATTACCCATTCAATACAGAGTAAGCTACACCATTTCTTACCTGTCTAACATGTGAAGTCATTCTGTACAAGGAAAGATTTATCACATGCCAGAACTACCAAGAAAATTCATGGTAGAAACATTTGATTAGTGTAGAAAATGACTTGTAACTGGAGATGGTGATAAGCATTTTTATTTCATTCTCCTGCTTTATCTAATTCAGAAATAATTGTATACTTGCAGAGTTTCTGTGCATGGGCGTTAGGAAACTTTGACCGTCTGCTTATCCCTAGTAATCCAGAAATAGGTGTACTGAGGTATAAAGACCACTATTATGCATTCTCATCTAAACAAGCAGCATATGAGTTCACTCAAAATCCAGATGGGTAAGTTTTTTCTGTATTATTTGTATGTCCATCGTCTATTTAAAACTTTACAGCAGCTTGGTCATCAGTTTAGCATTCATTGATCATTGTTGTACAATATTCAATATTCGATATCTTTGTTTTTTACTTTAATAATACTACTAAAACCCCTTCTCTGTTTTTCACTATTCTTCAATGACAACCCTTCAAGGTATCCAAGCATAGGAAAACGGAACCATTTGACAATAAGAAAATATATATTGGCATTGACTCCTGCTGGGTCTGTGATGATAGTTCAATTTAAGCTGGCATTACATGAAAGATCTTTTTACATCCTCAATAATGTAACTTGTACTTTACTTTTTAAATTTTTTCTGTGATAGATACTTATCTTTTCATACAATGATTATAACCGATGTAATTTTTATACACAGGTATATAAGATTGGTGGCCGAAGGAGCTAAGAAGAGTCCTGAGTTAATACAACTTTTAGAACTACATACACAATTTGCCTCTATTACTCCATATTCACAGGTCAGAATCAACTTTTATAACCGTATACACAATTTGCCTCTATTACACCATATTCACAGGTCAGCATCAACAACTTAAATTTAACATGAAACATTTTGTTATTTAATAGGGTAAGGACCAAGGGCGTATGATAGAGAAACCTGTGACAAAATGTGATAGCGGTACACAGACAGATACACATCTCCTGGAGGCCAACATTGTTAAATCGTACGAGTGGAATGAGTGGGAGCTGCGACGGAAGGCCATCAAATTGGTGAGTAGGAAATCACTGGAGACTAAACTTTACTAAAAACATGTGATCTTTAGTCAGACTCTCTTACTTGTATGAATTGTTAAAATTATTGTACACAATGAATTGGAGTACATACATGTACAGCCCTATATAAGCTTATGTCCTTGAAACTTGGCCTGTAAAGTGATTTTATTGTTTAACAATAAAATGTGTGTTTCTTTGATCATTATTACTATAAACTTCTTTGTCTTGTTTCCAGGCTAACTTAAGAACACGAATAACACATTCTGTACAAACCAACCTAAGCAACATGAGGCGGGACACTGCCATCCAAGTTTGGCCTCCCAAGTATGTCATGTTTCTTCTGACAGTCAATAATATTTGTAAATAATGAAAATATGTCACATTACTAAGTGGGAGACTTTTTAACTTTAATATATCAATTTTGAATGATGTTTTACTATGTGTAATTCTGATCATGATTTTCATTGAATCTGTATTATAATCAATCTTCATGTGTGTATTTGAGACAGAACACAGTTAGGCATACTTACTGAATATATCCTGGTGTTTTTACAGAGAAAATACAACCCAGACCAAAACCGATGCCTACACCAATGTGCCACGCCCTCAGGTGTTCCTGGCAGGCTTAAGAGGAGGCGGCATGACAACTGCTACAGAAATGGAAAAAGTCGACCTTACAATAGACGTCGACCAGACGTAACTCAGTCAAACAGAACAACTCTACTAGATATCTTTAGAAAGCATCTTGCTAGAACATTCCTTGGGATTTCTCTGTGATAATTAATGACAATATTTATGTGATTTGAAAAAAAAACAACATTCTTTTTTGTATGCTGGGCTTACTTTGTACAATATGCAAACTACATTGAATAAATACTTATAATGTTTATTTTTTTTTTTGTATTTCCCTGTTAACAACAAAGTATTTTTACCTTATTTCATTCGTTGGTTATCTAGAGTTAAGATGTGTTTTTATATCCAGAGTGTAATGATCACAGGGAATCAACAGTTCTGCAGGTGCCCTATAGTAATCACCTTGTCCGTCTGTCCGTCTGTCTGTCTGTCTGTCTGTCTGTCTGTCTGTCCGTTTCGCTTTCCGCACGATATCTTGAGAAGGAATGATGAGATTTCAATGAAACTTGCTTATGATACTTGGTACATAAGTCCCTCGCTCAAGTTCGATGTTCGCCAAATTCCGCACATATTTAATGAGGCTGCTGCAATCTGATTGGCTGAATGTTTTACATGTCTGTTGGTTTCGCTTTCCGCGCGATATCTTGAGAAGGAATGATGGGATTTCGATGAAACATGCTTATGATACTTGGTACATAAGTCCCTTGCTCAAGTTCGATGTTCGCCAAATTCCGCGCATATTTAATGAGGCTGCTGCAATCTGATTGGCTGAATGTTTTACATGTCTGTCGGTTTCGCTTTCCACGCGATATCTTGAGAAGGAATGATGGGATTTCGATGAAACTTGCTTATGATACTTGGTACATAAGTCCCTCGCTCAAGTTCGATGTTTGCCGAATTCCGCGCATATTTAATGAGGCTGCTGCAATCTGATTGGCTGAATGTTTTACAGAGAATATCTTCTGAAGGAATGATTTGGGATTTCTTTAAAACTTGCTTTGTGATACTTGGTACATAAGCCCCTCATTCGAGTTCAATGTTCACCCTGTCCGTCTGTCTGTCCGTTTCCCTGTCCGTCGATCCATATATCTGTCCATCTGTCCATTTTCATTGGATTTTGATGAAAGTTGCTTTCAATACTTGACACCTGTCCATATATTTCTTAATATTAAGAAACTCAATCATAAGGGGTAGGTATTATGCGGGGCCCTTCCTCGACATTGGTCTAGTTTTCACTTCCTAATGGGCTTAAAGTTCTCTTTGTCCATCAAACTTGCTATTTGATATCAATTTGTATTTACATGATATTATATATGTTATAAACAGGTAAGCTATGTTGTTCTCAAAAAGTCCTTAAGCAATCTAATATCCAATTTGACTTACTCTCTACATCTCTATAGATTCATTGTCGTTCAAGACTTTTCCCATCTCCTTCCAGTGGGATGAACACCTGTCCTTTGGAATTCCTCAGGTCTTTGAGGCTTGGCCAAAACACACAAATGAGTTGTACTTTTCAATACACAACAAATAAATTGAATGCTATGCTGATTTGTTATTTATATGGACCCTCTTCAATGACATGACATTTCACGTTAATCAAACTATCTTTAATTAATTTATTGCCTTCTATACACATATATATACAATTTGTCTCTTTTAATTCCCATTTCTGTTAAAATTAATTGAGGATGCCAACTGTACGAGTATGACCCAATATTTTTCACTCCTTGGTAAAAATAATTACGAATGAACATGTGTTGATAAATGATGTCATCATGGTGATACTATTAGAAAAGTATATTGGTGCAATTGAGATTATACAAATGTGACTTAAATAAAATTATCAGGTATATCGCGTGGCCAGGACACTATGAGACAACACCTAGAGACAGGACGTGTCAAGGAGACGAAAACCTGTATCAAACCAACCAACCAGAGATAAACAGATAAATAGATATATATGAAAATTACAGAATTTGTGGATTTATGAGTGCACCCCAAATCTAGATTTCGATCACTTGGGTTTTCCTCAGTCACCTCCAAGATTTCAAAATTTAAGTCCTTAGCATCACTGGTGAGTTCTAGAAGGACAAAACAGCTGTATGATACAGCTTAGTTCATTGTTTGGCTTTAGGAAGGTGTTATTCACTCAAGTGTGTCTTTTGTAAAGTCTTCAATGAAGCTAGAAGCATTATGGTCGCTGCCAGTGTCAGTTCCATGAGAACTGTGTGTGCTGGAAGTGTAAAACACTGTAATGAAAGTACATTCCTCTACATAATGATAGAGTGACATGTACACTTCCAGCACATGTAAGCATCTCAACTTAGCATTCCAACAGGGACGTCATTGATTGTTGAAATCTTCCGTTTCTTTATAGTCATAGATAGAAGTACGGACAAGTACATGTGTTTAATGGTGATGTTCAAGGGGCTGCTCTTAAACTGGCTGAGAACCCCCGACATTACACGTAGTTCTTACAGACATGACACCCTAAGCCCTTTTCCTGTCTGTCCTTATTCCACTAAATGTACTTCTCCGATGTTTTGCGACAGTGTGTATGGAATAGTACTGTACCTGCAGAGATTTTGGAGGAGGACGCTCATATTATGAGCAGCTCTGGTGTCTCTTCAAAGGCTTTACGGAAAGAGCTGATTCAACACGGTGCGGCAGCAAGACATTTGATGTGGGTGTTCGTGAATTACATCATATGATATACAACAAGAGGATGTGTAAGTGATATATGAAAAGAAAAAAATAGTTATTACTGAACATCAGCTTAATGTGATGCTAACTTGTACGATAATTCATAACTCGATATCTTACTCTCTGCTCAAGATTACAAACGCTTCTATCTTGCTCGATAAACAAAATCATATACCGTACAGCCGCTTAATTTTAACAAGGACGATACTTTGGCTAATTCACGGTATTTTAACGTTAGTGAAAAAAATAAATAAATGAATAAAATAATCAGACAAGTGTATATTCAATATCCTTTTAAATTCAGGTCTCGATTTTCTTAATTCGTTGAAACATGATTCGATCGTCTTAAAGAATATCGCGGTAATTTTGACCTGTGAAAATAATCCGCTATACTAATTCATATTTGACCGTAAGGGCTTTGTTCTCTTCAGCTTTCGGGACGAGTGATTCACCAATGTATTGATCAAAACAACAATAAATATTACTGGAGTTATATTACAAAAGTTTTATTTTTCGACCTCAATAGAAACAATGATCGAACTTTTAGTTTACGATATCTTGGTCGAGTTTGATGATAAGAACTTCTCTCTTGCTGACTTGTTATCGAAGAGCATATCAATGAGGTAGCAAAGTCCGTCAATTTCATTAATGACGTCTCGTCTTTAAATAACGAGATATCCAGTGACCATGTCCATCATATATACCAAAATCAAAGTACTGAAAGTACTGAGAGGCTAAACGTATTGAAAAATGTTCACAAATAACCGCTAAGATATATTACTTTCCCCATACTCCTACACTTTGGAATGCAAAAATTACTTAAATAAGAGAACCAGAGGCTATTTTTCTTAATTTTAAGCGATTTTATATCTTCTTTAATTTTTATTTCAAATTTGACGACAATAATGTGAATAAATAAAAATAGGTAAAAAAAAAATAACAAAATACACACAACCATATATTTATCGCTAACACGCCAAATGACAAATAGCTCTATGATGAAGTTGACTAAATAAAACCTTTGAAATTCCCAAGATGTTGCAATTACTATCCTATCAATATGAGGATTTAAACAAATTGAAAGGATTTTATACCTACTTCTTTATTTTGAATGTATTGCAAAGTAATAGTCCTTACTTATTATAATCATATTTGTAGTTGAGGAAAGTAGATAAGGTATACACAGCATTTCAGATAGATAAAAGTGTAAGTAATTACATTAAATGTATTTACATGCCTATCTTCCTTGAAGTATCATGGTTAGACTTTTCTTCCAGTAATTACGTCTATAAAGGCATAGTTCTATGAGATTAAACCAGACTTCAATATATATATACAAAATTTACAATATTTTCACTATAGCTACTATTATTTCTCATCTCAAATGCATTAGGTAATGCCACCATGACACGCTAAATGAATAAATATGTTATGGAAATATTTCGTTTTAGTTAATTGATAATTATAAACATGAATATTTTGGGTTTTTTTATACGCGCTTTGTTTAAAGGAATATTTTCATTTCAAGGAACTTTGATACACATTAACAAACATTGAAAAATCAGCACAATCAACCTTCATCAAATAAAACTAAAAGACAAAAAATATAGGTTATAACAAAGTCAACATCATGATCAGTACAGTATTAAAAATATATCATTCATAAATCATGAGCACCAAATGTACCTTGCCTACGAAGCTCAAACTTTTTATCTTCAAAAACTTGAAAAAGTGTCATGGCGGTGGATGTGAAAATCCTGAAAAAGTGTCATATCGGCGAGTGTGCGCGTAGGACGAACAGTCCAATTTTGTGACGTCTAATGAGGTAAAGTGATGTTATATATTAAGACGATCTTGCCACAACGACAAGGATTAAAGCAAAATTGATGTTCTGTTTGTAAGTTTTGTTTGTTTATAAGTGCTGTTAGTTGATAATTCAAACCAAGCCCCCAGACTAGCTTCTTATCATGGCGCCAACTCGCACGTACAGTGTTCTGTACGCTTACGTCATGTCGAGAATTCCGTAAATATATTGTTCAAAATTTATCAATAGTTCAACCACACTGTGCTTCTTTTTTGAAATATATAGTAATCGTATTGTTATTAAAAAATAAACTAATTTTGGATGCTTTTAAAATAGCGATTTGAAAGATCGCGGCATTATTTACGCAGAAAATTGCCGCAAGATGGCTCTAACTCTTTTCGATATTTCAACCAATGAGAAGGCCAGGATCGGTAAATTTTGTCTGAAAGGCCGTCGCAATAGGCTATGCGTACTGAGTACGTTTAGCCTAATTAGAAATTGAGGACACTACGGACTATTCCACTTGAGCCGTTTACCTTGACCGAAACCAACAGGGAAAGCTTCCCACGAAACTGTTTAATAAACGTGATGACTTTTTTTCCTATTGTGAATTTTCAGCGATTCTCGTGAAAATGTCGGCACCTGGCAGACAGTTTTAACCCATGACTATGAGAGATGTAGGTTGATAAAGATCACGATGAAGTTTTAAGGTCGTCATTTCTTTAACGATATTCTATATCCATGTGTGATATGAAGTTGTACGTGTTTGGTGCTAGTTCAATTAATGATTTTCACAGCGGGTGTTGTGGATGTAGCAGAAGACCTCTACTCTGGAGCACCAGGTATCATTCTCTTTGAACTTTTCAGGAATCGCTGTTTTCTCTTTTGTCCGTATTTTAGTTTAAATTATGATTTTTTGACTTGTCGGTATTTTTGGGTTTTTTTTCCTGTTGATTTTTAAAAATGATTTTAGTCGATGACCTGATCAAATTTTATGCTTGAATTTTTGTTTTGGTTTTGTCACCACGGAAAATGTCGATAGCTTTCCACAGTGAATGCATAATTTAGTGTGCTTGTCAATTCATACAAGTGAAAACAACGCTTATTTCACGTTGACTTAAGTTAACGTTTTTATTTCTATTATTACACTAAGTCGTTAAACACAAGGTTTACTACCCTTTTCAGGTGTAAGACCGGTCATCGCGGTATACGTGATGATACCGACTGTCGAGAACAGTTAAGAAGAATGTTGTCCTCTTTTCACTAATCAATACCGGCGATACCTACTCAATTGTCCAACAGAGAAACTAGTAGAGAAAACGTTTTGTCGGTGTTAACTAGTACGACTGTGATTTGAGATTCACTTTCTACTGACGAGGAGACAGTACCTTATAGTGGTCACGTGATTCAAATGATTAGCACTTTTTCACATAACGATAATTTACTTACAAGATAAACAGTAATAACACTCGAAGATTATAAAGTTTACACAAGTCTAATTATATAAAGCCACTTTTGGTGATATTTATCTGTATGGACACGAGACTTGGAACATCCATTTTGTTATATATATACATAATGCGGATATCACAACAAGCCAACTAACCCTCTAGCACAGATAAATCGTCACTATAGGGGTTCATACTGATGATATTCTGTCATGGTGTTTTAGTGAACAGTGTTACTGCACAGTTCCTCATAATCCTTTGTTGAAGTAAACCTTATCTGGTGGATTTGGAAGTGCTCCCAACTTGGCACGAACATCTGTTTCTAGGCTGGTTACGTCCATCGAGCTACAAACATAAAGGTCGTAAATGTACATTGATATTCTCTCTAATGGGAAGGATATCAATCAACAGCTTGTTATTGTTTACAACATTTCGGTAAGTTCTATCCTTCAACATTCCAACACCACATCTACAAAACAAGACCCCCCCCCCCCACCAAAAAAAAAAAAAAAAAAACATGAACAAACGGAACCGAAAACTGAACTCATATCATTAACATATTTCTTTAGTGTTCAAAATTGGTTTTGGTAAGTTACAAACCTTTTCTGCGGAAACAACGCGCAACACAGAGGTGTAGCAAATGCTAAACTGCAAAAATAAAAACATAGGTATCTTAACATTGTCTTTGTAAATGTGCTCATCGCATTAATTGATACAACTTATAAAAATCTTGATATCATAAATCTTTTTTTATACCATCTACTTCAATGTTACGCGTAAATGGCAGAAAAACAAGATCAGTTTTGGGAATGGAATTGATAAGAGCCCTAAGCTTGTTTTCCCACCCCATAAGTATCATATGTATGTGTTTTATTGTTGAATATTGAATAACAATATTGTTTAAACTAAGATTTTACTTTTGCATTTCCATAAACTACGAATTACGGAAAGTATTGCTATACATACAAGGTGACAACTTGCGTTCCGGTACCTCATGTATCTCTAAATTCATTTATTTATTAACACAGTTCAAAATATACACATGTACATATACATGGCGTTCTTTCTCAACTACACTGGAACTTTTTGCCTGTCAGTTTTCACTCCCTAACCCGGTCTCTAATTAGCACGTTCTAGGCGTCTAGCATCACTTAGGAGTCCTAGATAGCCCACACAACTGTAGATGTTGTTGTGTTATTATGCGTTACTTTCTACAAAATTTATATTTATAATATAGGTTAATGTGTCCTCTGTACAATCCGCTTAATAGATATCATCAAAAAATCTACCGAAATATTCGCGATATGCTGTTAAAATGATCAAAGTATATTTCAATGAAATGAAAAAAAAAATCGCGATATGAATTTAAAAGGACATTTAATACACACGTGGCTTATTATTTCAATGATTATTGTTTCGCGATCACGTTAATGTACCGCGAAAAAGCGAAAATAAACGGCAATACGGACTCGGTATACAATTACCACTTGGCAAAGGCTCGCCATCCTTGTCTTTCTTCACCCTCGCCAATATACAGCATATATTTTAAGACACTGACCATGCATTCTCTATGTATGATACATAAAAAAGTAAAACGATATGAATTAGTTCTATCCGTAAACTTTCATTAAATATTTATACATACATGAAACCAACCAACAGCACTTGAATGGGCGCATTCAACCAAGGTGCTCTCTACAAGTGAATATGTATATAATTACAATTTACAAATGTACATTTAATTACAACGGCAGCTATATCTTAATATAACACATTCTTTAATCTTGACAAATACATCTAAACTTACAAAACCGTTTTTAGACACATTTCTAAAACGATTGCGGAGAAGGCGTGGTGAAATGTTACCAGATCATCAAACCAATGAAAGATTTTAATTTTCTTTCCAGTGACAACCCCTGGTAATATTGGCATCAGCCTAATATGCATAGTTCCAATATATCATTATCCCTATTCAGGTGAGTAAACTGTTTTATGTAATAATACTTGTATATGTATATACCTTCATTAACGCTTTCTTGTCCAGCTGGTTCATGACGAGTGGCGGTAAAACTGGAACAGCAAATTAACCAGTCAGTGATACTATCAGATCAAATATAACACTGAAAGGTTTAAAGGCCGTATTAGTGGACGTAAATCCGGTTAAATAGATAAATAAATACAACGTTTTATTAGAAATACAAATTGAAAACGTCATAAACCAACGCTACTCATCTGACGTTAGAGATACCATGATAGACATTATTCGGATCACAACTACTCAACCGTAACAAATGTGGTTATGAATATTCCAGAATGAGACCACTCACCTTTGACAAGTGCTGTAATAAGTAATATATAGAGATATCAATCGCTAATAACAGGCGCTTCTACATGTATCCTAAAGAGAGATCACTTATCAATAACAGTCGTGCTTTAAGCATCCTTAAGAGATTTCGTTCACTCATAATATATGTTGCTTTAAGCATACTAAAATAAGATTACTCACCCATAAAATATGTTGTTTTAAGCATCCTAAAATGTTGCTTGAAGCATCCTAAAGAAAATTCGCTCACCCATAACAGATGTTGTTTTAAGTATCCTTAAGAGAGATCACTCACCCATAACATATGTTGCTTTAAGCATCCTAAAGAAATGTCTCTTACCCACAATATATGTTGCTTTAAGCATCCTAAAGAGAATTCGCTCACCCATAATAGGTGTTGTTTTAAGTATCCTTAAGAAAGATCACTCGCCCATAACAGATGTTGCTTTAAGCATCCTAAAGAGGGATGACTCACCCATAACCGGTGTTGCTATGAGTATCCTGGATATTACCACCATTCCAATAGCCTTCCTGGCCGCTCTCTTGGATGCCACGTCCAGGTCGGTTCTGTTTTCGTCCATCAGTGGTATTCCTTCTATTAGTTCCCTGTAGGAACAGACCATCTTGTACGTCAACCATCACTTAAAGAGTGCTTTTTCGATCGTTTATTTTAATCAACAGGGGAAATGCTTACACGGAGGACAGTACAGGAGACATATGTTCTGGACGAGTTACTTTATACATATTATCAACAACACCCATCACGTAAATCTATGTCAACCAAGAAGTGTAACGTTCTCCAAGTGAAAACTGAGTTAATAGCAACGAAATCAGAAGGCTTTCCCGAAATCTTTCTTAACCTGCGTTTCTTATAACACGCCTTTGTAAGGTTTCCTACAGTTGTCTGCATGTATCAAGGAATTGTGATTTTCGCAATAAGCTCAAAGTCGCGGAAGTCGTGATGTTTCTATACAGTAATGGAAAATTCACGTAACGAAAATTCGAATCATCACGTTTATCATACAGCTTGAAGGAAATCTACCAAAAAGTAAACTGCTGGTATAGAAAAATCTGTCGATTATGTAATCCGGCTCGGACATTCCATTAACGAAAACATGAAGAACAAATGTTTCCAATGTACTGGAACTATTTTTCAAACGATTGACCTGTATATCTCACCTGCTCCTCATACACGGTATGTTGATACAATTGGCGGCAGCTACAGCGGCAAACGGCACAAATCTGGCTACCATAGGCCCAAGGTTCTGAAATAGTTTGTCTCCTGTTTAACGAATGGCAACACAGACGCTTTTGGTATAGTGCACTTTAGTAACACAGAAGAGAACACAATCAGAATAAAATAAAACTGAAAGTAAAGTGCAATAACTATTCTTATATCGGCCAATCGATAAATTCATTCAAGCAATAGGATATTACCTTCACCAGACTTTTAATCCCCAGAGCCGTGCCGACGGCCCCACTAGTTCCCAGTACATAGGACATAGCCAGCTGTCTGTAAGGGACAAAGAGAATATGTCATAGAAAGAGGACTTGAAGAACATATCAAGTTAATGGGACATTTTACATAAATCACTACACACGAAACGCACACGACAAACTCAATACGATCAGAAATGACAACGAGCATTTCAATGAAATAAGACTAGAAAGAAAATGTTAAATTGTATTAAAGATAAAAGGAATGACTAAATCTATCAAAAATTGTACTAGCCCATGTTGATACCATTGTGCCTGATCACCTCATTACCTGTCTGAGACATCACTCCCGGCCTTGTTTGTGTAGTTTACCACTGAGTTATAGGACTGGTTCATCCACTGCCAAAATATTATCGCCGGAGTAGTCCTGGAAATCAAATCCAGTATTTGTATGCGATTCAACGATATATCCTTGAGGTAGCTTAGCACACGGACTTTCTCAGTAACCGAAGAGATGACAGATTTGAAAAATCATGCTAGATTACCATGTGTGTAATTTTTATTTTGACATAACATGTACACTGACTATTTGCTGTATACCGCGACGTTTTCTACTACATATAAGGTAGTAAATTTTAAAAGGTAGCGTAGCCATACTTGTGGAATGCCAGCATACATCCAGTTATAGTCATATTCATTGGAACTTGTGATGACATGCGACCCACCAGGATCATCTTCTCGTTTGTCACCGGGTGGAAGGCAGAATCATACAAGTGTTTGGCACGCCAAAGTTCATTCTCGGTAAGGCCGGCGATGTGTTCACCATTTCTATAAAAACAAAAACAAAACAAAAAAACTGGTAAGGGTAAGACTGTCATTACAGAAGAAATGTGATTAACTTGTTAACAGGATAACAAGGCGGGTGAATAAGCCTGTGGGACACTAAGTTTTGATATAAAATTTACTATTCAAAGGAACGCGAGACAGGATATACTATCCACGGCTAAAGAGTTTGGGCCAGGTCGACACTAGGGACACACTTTTCTTGTCGTCCAAACCTATACGTTAATTGTATGTTCATTTATTATCTTTTGACAATGGCAATGCAAAGATAGAGTAGCTTTTTCGTTAAAAAAGATTTTGGAAATAGTGTGAAAATATATTGTACCGAAAGCAAATTTGAAAGTTCTGCGTTATCATTAAGATTTCATGAAAATAGGAGAATAAAACCAGAAAGGCGTATCGAAGGAAAGCGTTTTCTGGTTCATCGACGACACCCACCATGTCAATCTAGGTCAATTCAAATACAGAATGTCACGTTCATAAATTCAAGGTAAACAATGGAACTACTAGACGTACTAACAAGCATCTAGAATATTTCACGATGATATCATTATGACGACAGTAAAGCTTCCCCCATCGTTTTCATCGTCCTGCATCGCTTGAAACCCTGTGTTGTGATCTTCTCATATATATCATACAGCAAAAAAGATGTTGTTGGTTTGTAAAGGTGTTTTAACAATGGACAGTGAGGACATACAGATTCTAATCAAGTATGTGTTTTGTGAACTATTCAATCTTATTCAATAACCGTTATATAATACCGTTAGGTCTTTTTTAAGATGCTTTTAGGATTTCGTACTTTTAGTTCTATACAAATAATATGTTTGTACCATTATCTGGAAAATTCGTAGTTGGTTTTGCCGGGGAATTGTCCATTTCTACCAAATACCCCGTTTGAAAAGTTGGCAAAAACATTCATGTGACGACGATGTTGAATATCAACCCCAGAAAGCAAATAGGCAGATCATGTATTCAGCCCTGTCACAGTAACATAACCAACTTTATAACCAGGTATTCATGTGAACAGTGTCAAAGGAAACTAATTAACTTGGGAAATAGGTACGTATATATAACATTAACCGAACCTTTACATCTTTACTTAGGTAATCAGGTATCCAGGTATGTCACTGTGATCTAACTAGTAGTTAACTTTATAAAAAGGTGTTCCTATGAATTGTGTCTGGTCTGTTTAACGTTATGACGAAGTGTTCAGGTTTAAAACGTCACCATAAGTCACAAATCCAACTTCAGCTTCAATAATCTCAAGAAACCTGTACTCCAGACCGCAGAAAAAGACCCTCAGAGTGGTCGGGTGGCGCAGTGTTAACGCACTCGCTTTTCACATTGCCGTCCGGGGTTCGACTCCTGGAACGGACGTGATAAAGGTAAGAGTCATCTGCCCGACCACGTTGGTTTTCCCCGGGTGCTCCGGTTTCCTTCCACAATAAGACCCCTTGCGCCCTTACATTCTGGCCAACAAGAGTGATTAGTATATAGTTTATAGTAACCTCAGAGGTCTTCTTCAAACATACTAATGTGTATTGGGAAGTTTGTGAGTCTTTATAAAACACGAGTCCACAAATGGCTTTGTTTTGTACAATATGGCTGTTATATTTGTACCTACCTGAATGACTTACCTATATCGGACTACGACGGATTTAGCGTGGTCCAGTTGTTGACTGGTGGCCAGCAGATTGAGGGGGTTGGTTGTGAGGAAGAAATGTTTGGCTCGTCCTCCATAAGTGTTTTGGTCATACCTGGGCTCGTTGATGTTTACTCTGTGCTGGTCTATACTCATCCTGTGCCTTGTACCTGTTTCTACACCTACGTTGAATATTTATTCTTGACACGTGCACCACTGAAGTAATACAATCAAATCTACAGGCATAACACTTAATTTTGACTGTTGTAGATAACCATTGGAATATACACAAATGTATGATCTATATTACTGAATTTGCTGTGTATAACTGTAATGCATGTGTGTACACAAAACACCTGTCGATCGTTTACGCTGTGGCTCGTTACCAGTGTATATTTATCGTAATAACCCCTTCCGAGAACTCAACCGTGTAGGATATATGTATACAGTTACACCAACGAACGATAACTCTTTTAGCTTTCGCTTGACTAATTTGTATGAATTTATTTAGATAAAACAGTATTTTTATTTACTAGATATATTAATAAGATGAATACTTAATTAGCATAAAGAATGTGTATTGTAGTCGGCATATTTTACGACATTGTGTAGATTAGTAATTATATATTTTGTCTATGTACAACGAATAATTTCTTTATACTCAATACGGTTCACATGTAAACCAGCACATGATACTACAATGCCTTAATTATTGATAAAACCACATAAGGATCAGGTGCTACTATTTCTGATATATGTCTGCCGTCATCATTCCGATAATAGACCATTGGATGTTTAATCTTATAACACCGTGACAGATTAGGACAACGAAGCATAATTCAAATACAAACAATTCACTGTTTATAATTTTCATATAATATTTGTAACACAAGATATGCAAAAAGTATTGAAGCAAACACTATAATTTAAACAAAACAAGTTTTCAATAACAACAACTGGAAAATGGAAACTAACTATAGGGAAAGTGTAGTTTATGGATTTTAGTCAACATTTATACATTATATTTCAAGTATGACAACATATGATATGAAAAGTTTTCAACGTAAACTATAAGTATCTTCATTTAGGATAAACTTGATTACAAAATGTCAACACTATGATGAAAAGTGATCACTTACCCCAAAATTATTTACGAGTTGTGTAAGGATAATACCGTTCTTGTAACTCCACAGAAACCCTAAGCTACAGCTAAGCACACGGAAGTATTGCGTCTACCTAAATAAAGCGCGAGGAAATTCCTGGAAGATGAACGTTGACGTAAGATGACCTATTTAAATGAAGTGTATAATCATCAGTATATTTTTACTGACTGGTTGTTTCTGCAATACATGAAACAAATCAACTTTTGTGTTTCACAAGATCAATGTCATATTACGTTACATCGTCAGCATTAATGTTAATTATGCACCTACACCAAACATCATCATCATCATCATCATCATCATCATCATCATCATCATCATCATTCATCATCATCATCATCATCATCATCATCATCATCATCATCATCATCATCATCATCATCATCATCATCATCATCATCATCATCATCAAAATAATATGTCACAATGTCAACACATCAGAGAACGAGTAAACATTTAGGTACAAGTCCTTATGTTATGGTGGTTTACCCGAAACTGTCCATGTATGTTTCCTTCACATCTCGCATATTCCTGTCAGGATGTCTTCCATTCAACACAGAAATACAAAACTGTCACAAACAATCTACAACGAAGTAAAATCACGTAGTAAATACAAGCAGTCACAATATGGCGAACTGTGAACACAATACCATTCCTAGAGACCAATGATGAGAAAACTTACAATGTACGAATCCGACTTTTCATCTTTACGCCATTTCTACAACAAAGTTTACAAGTCCTTTCTACCATATATCGAGTAAAGGGATAATCCGGAAAATACACGAAATGAATTTAATTAATGGTCATCATAATGACCTCCTTGAGAAATAATTTATTTCTTTGTGAGATATGAAGCTGGATTTTTTAGATGCTCATCAATTTGCAAGATGGTTCGGTTGTGAATATGTTGACGTGTGGATATTTCTTGTTTTTTGTTTTATACCCTGTTTTCTACTCTGAGAACGTGAGATGGATGACCTGGATTGCATAGGATTTTCATGCTTGGTGTCGTCAATGAAGCAAACAACGCTTACCCTCCCGGTACTCCTGGTCCTATTCTTGTTTTTTTTCATGAGTCACAATGTAAATCTTTCTTTTGTTCGTATTTTGCCCCAGTTTTATTAAATTTGAATCTGGATCATGATTATGTTCACATCTTGGTATTTTCTTGGTGTTCTCAAAACGGCAACATTGGTCCGCAATTGCCTCATTGAAGCTGGAATTCAAGCTACACCAATATCTTAATCTCTCTTCGTGTGCTCTTTTTCACTGTCTCAATAGTAGACAAAGGGTACTTTGTGACCAGGCATGATATGAACTCAACAGAAACTGATTAAGAACGACAATGATCTCATTTAATCAGAGAAAAACTTATATGAAACCAGAAGTAGCTCAAAGGCAGATTAGCATTTCCAGTACCTTACCTATTTGTTTGGAGTACAGATGTACCCATAAATCGTTGTGTTGGACAATTTAAAGTTGTGATTGGGTTCGTTGGCCAGATTATTGACTTTCAGTGGGCACAGATACATGTCATTTTATGATATGCGATAATCAGTAAAATCAAAAGGTTATATAGAGATATGAAAATATTTCCTAAAAGAATGCTTTTGTCACCAGATTAGTTACTTACCTCGCGATTGTAGCGGCAATCATTTGATCTGTATGACTTTTACGGTATCTGAATTTGCAACAAAAACTAATGCAAATTTGTCATAGAGATAACTGTTGTGATTCACTGCCGGAAAGAAGGAAAAATAATTTTCCCTTTGCTCCATAAGCAAAGCTCCTCCTAGATTTCACCAACTTAAGCCATTAGAAGGACAAAATAGCGTTGCCATTCAATTTACCTCATTATTGGACTATACTGTATCACATTATCAGTGTGTATTAAAAGCTGTTATCAATTGGTGTGCTTTTGTATAATCTTAATCTTAATCTACTATGTTTCCATATACAACTTAAAGCATACTTGATTCTATATTTGCTTGCCGCAGGAACGCAATCAAAAAACAAATTTTGTTTTCAAAATTTCCCCGACCCTTTATCCAAGAAACGCCCTCTCTACAGTCATCTACTCAATATATTGACGGACAACTACTTATGTCACGCGTGCCATTTCCTATTTGACTATATTGCCAGTAGCCTGGCAACTAACGAAATTTAAGTCACCAATCTAAGTATATAACGCCTTCCAATAAAATTTAGAATCATGTTCAGCAGACCCAAATTATGAATCACACACAGCTGTTTCGTCTTGCCAGGACTCGTCAGTTTGAGATCTAAATTGAGAACATAGACTGAAAATAATATACAAGTAAATGAAAGAAATGTCAAAATCTAGACAGGGAGGTGCACTAGTACATAATGAAAGAGATTCATAATTAATAGAGTAAAACGTTACATAAAGGTTACCACAGGAACTTAAAAACTGCATTGTCTACCACCAGCCATCTGCTGTTTCGTCTTTTTGAGACTCGTCAGTGATGCCAAGGGTCTATCTTTTGAAACCTGGGAGGTGACTGCGGTAAATAAAAACTGATCGAAAGAAATTACAAAATCTAGATAGGGAGGTAAGCAAGTCCAATAATGCAATGAATTTCGCATATATATATATCTGCATATATCTGATAATTTCAGAAGAGTGTTAAGCGCATGTGTATTTTCTGAATTGAGCCACTATTCGAATAGATTGAAACGTGGAACAGAATACACTCCCTTATCTATATGCTTACCTATATTTCGGTTTATTTCGATTGCCATGACTCGTCGTGCCTTGTGCACTGTAGATGAAATCTTATCTAGACAGGAATTTCCTTATTCTAATAATACTCAAATAACAAACAATCACCTTATCAAACCAACATATTGTAATATTCGACTGAACATATGTATATTAGAGGTGAGATAGGAAAAAACGTACGGTTTAGGTCACCATTTCCGCAACAGTGCACCAATCGACTGTACTTATTGGCCCAGTAAGCGTCTTATCAGACAGAATTAAATATTAGTAGCGACATCTTCCTGCCAGAACGACTGTGAGTACTGCAGATTATAATGCGTTTTGCCGTGTTCTCTATGGTAATTGCGAGCGTGTACATGTTGGGTGTTCGTGCTGACCAGTTGCAGGAGCTAAGTGACAGTGTGCGCGTTCTCCGACTGCAATGTCAATCGCGGCTTGAAGACGACAGACAGATTATCAATTATCTGAAACAGCAGATTAATGATGTGCGACACGAAAATGAATTAACCAAGAAAGAAGTATTGGACGTGAGAAGACAAAACGAAATTCTTTTAGAAAAAATTCTTAATCTGGATAGACTGTACGAGAGTTTACAGATCAAATACCATGCACGAAGGTAAGTACGACTATGGTGTTCGTTACCAGTAGTAACGTGTGGTGCACATGGCGATTAGATAATCCAAGGTTCGTATCAAATTTAAGGAATTGAATTTCTTTGTTTGCTTGGGTTTATAACTCTGTCGAGAGCCAATGTCATTGAACAACACATGGGAGGTCTGTCGCATGCCATCCGGAGCAATAGGGTAAATATCTTGATATAAAACATAACAACAATAGTAGAGACTGGTTCGTGCTCTGATCGACAGAGCTATCGTCCCCCTCTTAATGGATCATTGGAGGATATGTAAGCTCATTCTTATTTGGTAATCAATGCAGCAAAAATAGAGTATGAAAGCCAACAAGTAGACAAAACAACGAGACAACAAAAGACGTTGTGATGGGAAAAACACCAAGATGACTGTGTGTACAAAGAAGAGTGTTTTGACCCTGGCTAGCCCTAATTAGATTATAGCAACCTCTTGACCTCTTGATTATATGACAATGAGAGGGAAGTTGTGCTATTTGACAGCATGGTAAAGATATTGATGATGCTGAATGTTCACAGTAAACACTATTGAAATACGTGTTGACATAACAGTTGCTCGAGACCTTCAATCAGATCTATAGTACCTTGTTATATACTACAAAGTGATAGTATTCTATAATATAACGAATTCGTGAATTAATATTATTAATTGCTTCGACAGAAAACGAGATACCAAGAACATCAGGCCTCTTGGTCAAGGCTCGAGCCGGAAAACTGTGCGTAAGTGAGACAATTAACCCTACACCAAACAGTGTTAATCAAGAACAACTACTGGTCACCTCAAAAATGTTTTTGTACTAACAAGTATCATTGCAATTCAAGCCATAATTATTTATATACTACTGTAATGCCGCCGTATCGACTAAAAGCTGATAATGTTCTTTTAAAGTACCGACGATAGGGTCTGTGAGGAATGATACAGTGTGCATTTAACATCTTTACAAAAACTGACAGACGATGGGCATTCAACAAAATACATTTCGGCAAGGAAACGCTGTACAATGTCCCAACGTGGTCAGATGATTTCATTTCGTCAAGATGTACTGTCAGTTGTTGTAGTCGTTACGGTAGAATAAAAGTTCTTTTAACACAACCGGTAGATTTCAGTAGGACGTTTCGATGGCTACAAGTTCATCCTCATCAGACACACGGTCAGTGCAGTGCGTACTAGAGCTGGCGTACGTGAACGAAATGTTAAGGAATCGACCAACTTTTTCGTCTTCACTAACATCCTATTTACACTCAGGTTGAAAATAGTGTGATGAAATGTTAAACATCTCGTGCGTTAGTGCAGATACACTCCACAATAGTCACTGGTTTGATGAAGAAGACAGTGTAGTCATCAAAACGTCATATTAAAAAATCTTGTGCTTGTTGTATTTTAAGAACTTTTATGCTATTGATATTACCAACCTGAAAAAGCTGTCGTTACGGTCATTTATATAAGATTGGGATTATTGAATAAATATACATTTAAGTATTACGTCGTGTTCAGACGGTTCAAAATTTCGCGGGTTTACTAAAAGTTTGAATAGTCTGTTTTTTAATCTATAAGGTTTTTGCAAAATTTTCTGTACTAAATTACGAAAACATTCCATAGTATAAACAAACGAGATATCTCATGTTATAATAAACAGAATCTACAGCAACTGTACCCGAGATGCTGGCTATCTATAGTATTTACGTCACAGGAACACGAAAATAGTATTCCGATGAAGAAAAAGTCATTATCTGTTGGAAAGTAATGTAACGTAGGGTAGATATTGAATTCTTTTTCAAGTTGGGAGTTAAAGGGTAAAGTTTTGATGAATACGTCTTAAATGATATATATATATATATATATATATATATATATATATATATATATACATACATTTTCAGAGTATAAGCCGACCTTCAACTTGAGTAATTACTGGCCTCCAAGTTCACCGTCTACACCGACGGTTACTTCTTCATCACCGATTTCATCATCTACGACATCGCCAACTACACCAATGATTACACCGTCAACGACACAGATTTCAGGTAATTTCAAAAGTGAACCACAAAATGAACATTCAAATGGTCCGTTAATTAAAAACACAGCCATGCAATATTCTCTTACCCTGAGATGGTGTTGGCATACCGTAAGATAAGGGGTATAGTTTCTTTACCATGACAATTATATGGCGTCACTGCAGTATTCAATGCGAAGTCAATAACATCCCAACAGTGACAAGCATTGAGATAACATCAACCTGACATGAATATATCATTGATATAGGCTAGAAGATTAAAGTATCTTACATACCAATTAAGGCGAGATATGCTAATTTTAATCCCAGGGAGAGCTTATCAAATCTACTATCACTTAGCGTGTTGAGTGTTTTTCAACTTGAAAGTCTTTCCCCTGGTTTACCCATCTCCAAGTGCATGAAAATAATCAGTTTGGAGTTTTTATTCTTTGCCATCGATGACATCGTCGCCAGGTTTTGGTATCATTGCCTTTGTTTTATAATTTCCTACCTGGTGCTAACCTAGGATGATTTATAACAATCTTTTTACTCAATATACATTCACCATGTATTTCTTAACATTTGTGAGACAAGAAAACGTAATGTCTCTATTCTGTCCATTCACACTTCAAGAAATTACGGGGACATTAATTGACTTCCGATTAAATTAAACAAGTTGAATTAATGATTACAATGGTCTTTTGAATAGCTACGACTGCAAGAACAACACCCTCATCAACACAACACTGGCTGGGATTCGGTGATACTGCAAGAGGTAATTATCCTCACTTCATTATTCTGAGAGACACACAATACTGTTAGGAGAACTTATTCTAATGATTTTGTTTCAATATTGGACGTTTTTGCATACAAACCCATATCAAATTGCCTGCTATGAGTATCATATTTTTCACGAAAGGTACGGAAAATGTAGCTAAACGTAACACACTTACAAGATTTTTGTAGATAATTGTTGAGTTCGTAGTCGCCATCAAGACCTCATTGGGAAATACTCTATTGTTTCCCTACTACGCTGGGTCTATTTAAAAAAGAAAGTTAAATTTGCTCAAACAATTCAATAGGTGTATTCCTAGAGTAATGAAGCAATCATCTGACAGAAGTTAATTCTCTCTCATATTGGACAACAATACATCCAATATTCATTGAAGAAGTGTCGCAGTTTCCGTTGAGGATACCTTATCTTAAGCTTGTTCCACGACAAATCTGATTCATTCCTGTGTCCGAATGTAATAATGTTATTTGTCCCGACCTAGCCACCATATTCATCAAATTTACGCCAAGATCTGCTTCGAGGATTTTATTTTACAAACGTTAGGTTTGCTAAGTCGCCAACACGGATTCAAACCTTGAGGCCTCGAACGGTTTAAATTCAAAGGTGTTGTTCACTTGTGTGTCTTTGGTAATACTTTGCCTTGATAGCGGTTGCTTCTTAGAGGGAACAATTTGTTGTCAACACAGGTGCATATTTTGATTAGAATAGGCCAGATGGACGACACTAGTAAAGTGATGTCAACTCAGATTTCTCCCTACCTGTAGTTTTGTGTGATATTACTGAATATTACATACATAAAAGGCTATGTGACAGGAACGTCTTTATATTTCGCATAAATCCATGACCATGTGCTAGGTACCAATGAATAAACATATTAAAAACGATTAATAAACAAATCGTGTGAATAGCATACATGTCTATTGTTTTCATTAGCTGCAACTTCAAGAACTACAACTCCAGCAGGGCTACACTGGCTCGGTTTCGGTAACCATGTCACAGGTGAGTATTACTTATCCTCTTGTTGTGTATGACAACTAGACATTTTAGGTTAAACTTCATGTTAAGATGTGAACGAAGAATCGATTCATACCCACTCTTCTTTGTTAATTGTATTTGCCACGTCAATATAACCCAACTTTATGGTCAATCTTTCAATTCAGAAGCATGATATTGACTTGCGGATCAAAAAAAACTTTAAAGAGTATCAAAAGAGTCGATCTTCATTTAGAACAAAGGAATAACACAAACCATTACCATTGTGATATTTGAAGCAAGTCTGTCAAAATCAACTTTACGACAGGTGATAACGTTAGGGATAAATTTGGTAAGGAATAGAGAAGTTATATACACATAGGTCTCTGAAATTGTACAAAGAGAATTAGGCCAGGCATTCCGGAAGGGCAAATTTATTCTGAAGTTTGGCAGCCAAGAAAAGTTGTAAGGTAGTGTAATATATCTTATTATTGCAAATTTGTTAATCAGCAGTGCACAAATACGACTACAGGGCAATTGTGTGAACGTGGGGTCTAATCAAATCTATATCGTTTTATGAGGTATGTAAAAAAAATGGCATCAGATAATCTGTCATATTTTACATACAAATGTTCTTTTCCTTGATGTATTGTTTGCATGAAAAGTGGGAACAACAGGAGCAACTGGAACACCATGCTGTACTACGTCACTACAGAGTACCAAGGGACAGAAAGGAGATGTTGGACCGCAAGGACCGCAGGGCGCCACTGGGCCACCTGGTCCAAAGGGTGACGCAGCATTCACACTCATATCAAGTATCTATGTATCTTTATGGCACTTCAATTTTTTGACGCCTTTCTTGACTATATGCAAAGTGTCGTCAACATATAGTTTCCATAGGCTACCTTATAGGTTTGCAATTTAGCAAAGATTGCAGAAAATAGGCAAAAAATGGGCTGTCCATGCTTGTGCCAAAACATTGCTGATAGACAGTAATGCGGAAACATTTACATGGTGGGTACTCTTCCGCAACACCTGGTCTTATTCTCCCTGTACTTTTTAGAAGTCTCTGTGTAGATCTGTCTTTTATTCATATTCTATCTCAATTTATAGAATTTAAATTACGATTATGATTATGTTGACATGTTGGTATTTAATTGTTGGTACGGCAATGCGGTAAGTGAATATTTTGATGCAAGTACAAATTCTTATAAATCCATGATGTTGTATATGGAATTTTTCCTTCTTTTGCCAATTCATTACACAGGAACGCTTAGAAAAGGATAATAATACTAATAACACCCGTTATGTATGTATTGGTCAAACCAAGTAAGTAAGGTCACGTTCTCAAGGTAAACAACAGGCTTATAACCAAGCATCAAACTACACAAGAAATTTGAATACTTCCCAATTAGATTATAACAGTTTTCCATAATCTCAATCAACATGCATCTCTGTTACTTATTATTTCAGTCGTGTTAAGTTTGTATCCTAAATGTAAATGTTATTTTCCAGACCGTGTTGCATTCTACGCAACTCTAAGAAACACCGTGAATGTGAATCTAGGTATGACCCTGATATTCCAAAATGTTGTGACCAATGAAGGCAATCGATACAATCCCACTACTGGAGTCTTCACATGCGGAGTGCCCGGGATATACGTCTTCTCTTGGTCCATATGTGTAGGAAAGGACGATTTTGTAAATACAGAGCTCGTGAAAAACGGCCAGATGGTGAATATGCAGTTTACATCTGGAACAGATAAATACGAAATCTCTACATCACACATGACTGTCCTGTCTCTTCAGACCAACGACCGCGTGAACGTGATGGTGTATAGGAATCCATCTCCGCAATCCTTCACCATAGGCGACGCTACCACATTCTCGGGATTTTTGTTGTTTAGTTTTTGAAATTAAATTATTCCTACAGGAGGATTTCAGAAAATTTTCTCTATTTCTCCTATTGGGTCCGGCTTCAGGAGTGAGACCAAGTTTTTATACAAAATCGATTATAAAAATTACATGGCAGGTTTCGTCGATAAAGAAGATGCTTACTCTTCCAGAACACCTGGTCTTATTATCGTTGTATTTTTTCTTGAGTCTCTGTGTAAATCTTTCTTTTGTTCATATTTGTTCTTGTTTTAAGAATTTGAGTTTGGATTATGATGATGCTGTCATACCAGTATTTTCTTGGTGTTTTTATTGAGAAGTTGTGAGCCTCCTATTTAAGGGTTGGACTTTTGTCGGACATGTTGCATTATTTTATCAACATAATCCCCTTAAGTATCGATACAGTTTCGCCAGCGATGTTTATTGAAGTTTCTAAACCGTTCAGAAAATCTGCCACTGTATGTGTAGCGTCATCATTTAACCGAAAGTGGGTACCGGAAATGACCTTTTTCAATTTTCGAAATTTTTCTGGTAGAACGAGATCAGGCGTATAAGGCAGATACTCAATCAATCCAAAGCTACAATCGTTAATAGCAGCCATGGCAAATGACAGAATTATTAACAGGAACATTGTCCTGGTGGAACAACACACTTTGACAGAGTTTTCCGCTTCGCTTGAGCTTAACATTTTCTCTTAACTGCCGAAGAATTGATGCATAATATGTGCCATAGATTGTTTGTCGCTTTTGCGGATATTCTACCATCATAATACAATCAGCATCCCAGAAAACCGAGAACATAACCTTTCCTGCTGATGGAACAGTTTGGCGGGGGTGAACCAGGATGCTTCTATTGTTTAAACTGTTTCTTAGCCTCTAAAGCGAAATGATTGACGCACGTTCCATCCATACTCACAAACCTCTGCAGAAAGTTAGCAGGGTCTACTTCTAAAAGGTTCAGATTAGCATGCAACAAAGTTTGTCTGGTGTGCTTCTGACCAAGTGCCACAAGTCTTGGGCCCCAACGGGCTGAGAGCATTCTCATTCCAAGATCTTTCTTTAGAATTAAATGTACTCTTTCCTGTGAAATCTCATATGTACTGGCTACATATCTTTCTGTTACTCGCCTGTCAGCCATAACAATATCATGGACTTTATAGACCATTTCTGGGGTTGCAACAGTAAAGGGCACTCCAGGATGGGCGTCATCCCCAAGGCTCTGCCTCCCATGCTTAAATTCTGCTATCCACCTTTTCACTGTAGCATATTCAGGGACACCATCCCTTAGTGTTGTTTACCACATCAGTATGGATATCCTTAGGTGCTATCACTTACGTTTAATCACCACCCCTTCACCAATTTTGACAATTTTGCGGAAGTCGCCCATTTTGTTTACTTTAGAGTGCTACCTCTTCGACATAAACTGACCGAATAAAACCAGTCTTCGGGAAGACAGGGAATAGTACAGTTGCTTACCTTCATCAATACAAGGCTCACATATTACCAATCAGCCCTCGCAAGAATGTTTCAGGCTAAATTTGGGCAAAATCCAATTATTCCTACTGGAGGTATAGGATTTTCACAGTATTAGTTCATTTTCTCCCTTTGAGCCCTGCCCCTCCCTCAGAAGGGGGCCCGGAGATCCATTTTCCCCCATTTATCTAAAATTGCTTCAGACCAAATTTGGATAAAATCCCTTCATTCCCACAAGAGAAGGACTTGCTTCTGACCAAATTTGGTTAAAATCCTATTGACGGACTGACGCTACACTCCGTGGTATGCCATGAGCCCCTTTGGGCCAAGTGAGCTCAAGACAGATACATTGAAATGATGAGGTTACCACGAAACTTCCCAAATTACTTCCAAACCTGCATTTCTCAAAACTGTTGCAAATTTAGTTGTCGGTGGCTGACATCTTATTTGAAAGTGTGATTATGGGAACAAGTCTTTGGATATCAAATGTCTTTGTTACCTGTTTGATCAGCTCTTTGTTAAATTCAGTCTCGTATGGAAACAAAAACAAGTCAGCCAAAGGAGATATAATTTTGGTCCCAGAGGTTACCACCAAATATTTTCAATATCTTCTGTTTTAGTCTTCAATTTACATGTTGTTCTTATACATGTATTTTAGGGGCAGATGTTAAAGATTGATTTTATATTACTGAAAATGGTAAGCGAAATCTTGGCTATATCTGATCAAGAAATGAAGTGTTTCTGAGTGTGGCACGTAGTATAACATATCTTGGTCAAGTCTGGTTTTTAACAAGACTGAGTCAAGGCACAGACTCTCTTGAAAGGAAATCATTACAGGAGCTGAAGGTAGAAACCAGAGATAAACCTTTATAACAAATGAAGTCCAGCCATAACCACTATAGGATGTCAATTGTCACACCCCTAAAGAATTGTATAAAAGACAGCATATTCCAATACATTAACTTTAAGATACCGTGGAAGGAAAATAATGAATTAAATAGCAACATATAGCTGTTTGCCCTCCCAGTTCGTACCAGACTGAAATTAAAGGGTTCATGTTACTTTTGTTGCATTTGTTTATGCTGATTTTCTTTTCATAACTTTCCCTCCAAATTTACACACTTTTGTCACTAGCCTCATCCTCCCAGGAAGACAACTGTATAATGAAGCATTTACACAAAAATATAATGTACCTAACATTTTTTAAATTGAGCAATGCTGAATTTATATTAATGGAATTTCTGGATTCGTGCATTTTTTGTGACATTTTATTTGGCCAATTTTTAGTTTCCTTAGTCACATCCTTAGTTTCATGATTTCAGGCCCTTAGCCATCATTGATGAGTCCTATTGGAGAATGAAACAGTTGTATGATGCTGTCTTAATTCATTATTTAGCCCAAACCGCATCTCAATCCAAATTTGACAGGTGCTATTCTCTTGTGAGTCTTCTTTGCAGTCTTCTATTCATTATTAGGTAAATGCAAGTACTGTATCTCCGGAATTTGTTTACGTATTATTTGCTTTCAACTCTTTTGAAGAATCCATCATTCTTGTGGGAATTTACTTATTATTAACTTTCATCTCTTCTGAAGAATATATTGCTCTTTCGAGCATATTAGTCCAAAGTCTTTTCTAGTGAAATGTTGTCAAAAAATGTCATTTGTCTATAGTGGGCAGAAGTAAAATGTAGGAACACCTAAGTTTATGTAAACAATGTAATACATGATCAATGAGTCATATAAAAGTGTTTGAAATTTCTTGTATATTTTTACCTGAACCACACCACACATTATTCTGTGAGGGATTTACCAAACACATATTGTCTATAGAATAAAACTGACTCCTTAAATAGCATAGCTAGAAACAAATGTTCACTTTCATGCACACTCCAAATTGATTCTCATATTTTCAGGAATACTATAATTATTAAATGTCTCAGAAAAGACAGCAAAATATTACTAACTCTTACACTGAGAATACTGCAGAGTAGTGAATCTCTCACAGAGAGAAATTAAAAAAATATGTAACACAGAATGATAAGATTAGCTAGAGTCTGGTATAAAAAGGAAAGACTAGTGACAACTACACATGCAGTTATCCATACTAATTAGTGTTGATACAGTCAGTGCTTTCTGACACAACGCTGGAGATGCTCTCAACATCTTATGTTATATCTAGCAAATATCCTACTCTGAAACATAGCTCTGAAGTACAAGCAATAAATTTCCAAGTGGACAGACGGCAAAAACTTATTTAAACATAGAAATTCACACTGACATAATGTAAACTACATGTAAGCTATGACTGAATATTTCTTGCTAAATTCTAAACAGATCTAGAGCGGTTCTGAGGTAAGTTTATGCTGGGTGTCTGAATTTCTAAAGTATTTATTTATTTATTTTTTTTCACCAAATCGAACGTAGCAGCATTTCACAATGACATATGAAATTGGTAAAAATTCAGACATATTCTAGGTTCTCTGACAATACCTATGTTTTTCTTTGAAATTGGGAGTTGTATCTATAACAAGATGAACATATATATGTAAAATATGAAAAAACAAAGTCAGTTTTATATCCAGCAATTTTGTGGATATTTTCAAACTACAAATTTGCATAACAAAGGAATGATAAAAATTCAAGGATAATTCCAGTACAGTTGATTTCCTGAGAATCATTCATCCATGAAATTCAGCACCAACCAAATATTTATTTATTGAAAACTATTAAATGCCCTGTGAAAACATCTTATTTTACAGTTCGGGTATTACAGCAACAGAGACTGGTATTCCAGCAACCGAATGAGAGAGGTGGTTTGACCACAGACAGTGGTGTGTTGTCTGACCACTGACAGGTGTGTAGTCTGGCTATGTGGTCTGACCACTGACAGGGGTGTGCCATCTGATCACTGACTGAGGTTTGTGGTGTGACCACCTACAGAGGTTGCTAACTGACCAATGAGAGGGGTGAGGTCTGACTTCTGACAGAGGGGTGAGGTCTAACCACTGAAGGAAGTTTATGAATTGACAGCTGACAGAGGGGTGAGGTCTGACCATTGACAGAGGTTTGCGGTCTGACCACTTACAGAGGTGTGCCATCTGGCCACTGTGAGAGGTTTGTGGTCTGACTACTTACTGAGGTGTGTCATCTGACCACTGAGAGGGGTGAGGTCTGACCACTGACAGAGGGGTGAGGTCTAACCACTGAAGGAAATTTATGATTTGACAGCTGACAGAGGGGTGAGGTCTGACCATTGACAGAGGTTTGTGGTCTGACCACTTACAGAGGTGTGCCATCTGGCCACTGAGAGAGGTTTGTGGCCTGACTACTTACTGAGGTGTGTCATCTGACCACTGAGCGGGGTGAGGTCTGATAAATGACAGAGGTTTGTGGTCTGACCACTAACAGATGGGTGAGGTCTGACCTTTGAGAGGTACATTTGTATAACAGAGTTGTCTTTCATGATCAAACATCAACAATCTGTAAAAGTAAGTGTATAATGGTAACAAAATATTGGCACACACAAAACAACTCATTCATCTTAACAATATTTTTCATAAAAAATACAATTGTTTCATGTCTCAGCAATGTTGAGCTAAACATTAAAAAATTCAAAAAAAAAAAAAAAAAAAAAATCAGTTAAACATGACACTATCATATTTTATGCCTTCAATATCAACCAACAGATCACTAATTAGATTAAGTATGTAACAAAATTGTATCTCAACATATCAACCTTTCTAATTGTTTAAATACCTTGAACATTACAAATTAAATAAAATTTGAAATTTCTTTAAAATTATTCAGTGTAATGGTTCAATTAGTTTTGTACTTTTTTAAAAACATGATATCACTTAAATATGTTTATGATAAAATATTGAGCTTTCAAAATTGGCAGCTTCAATCTTAAGTAAAATAATATCACACAATTATAACTATATAATTACAGAAGAAAAGGAGCATGCAACCAAAATCTGATAATTTTTCTGCTGTAAGGTGTCATTTGAGTATGCTACCTTAGTATAATGTGAATCTCCTTTTACAAAAGATTTCCTTGTTAGGAAAGCTGTACCTATTTTCATGATCAGTACATTTGTCTAAAACCAGTGATTATTTACCTAATTAGTACATAAACGATTCAATATCAAATTGTGTATCCTTGTATTAAACTAATTTTCCTTCTGAATACAATTTGGTATATCAAGAACAGGTGACATTTTATAATTGAAATAACTTGTTCTGTTGATCAGAACGAAAGAGATAAAAAAAGGTATAATAATTCATTTATTGAAGTGTGTCCTAAAAGTTAAGTATAAATGTTTTTCTTGTTATAACCACTTCTGGTCAGTTGATTACACTTTTAATTGTGAAATGTCACTTGTATTATTACAACCTGCTATTCAGTCTTCAGAAATATACTGTGTTAAAATTACCTGATCAAAGTCTTCTTATAAATATTATTATCTTTACAACTTGGTTCCTAAATACAGGATAAAAGGTACATTTCTTTACATGCTCTGAACATTTTCAGAATAAAAAAAAAGAGAATAAGTGTTACTACTAGAATCAGGCAATGGATTCTTTTATATTTTGATCACCCCTATATGAAAAGGAAATTATAAAAAAGAGGCCAAATGGGCCTGCATTACTCACCTTTTAAATGCTTCTCACAAAATACATTACCATTTCACATCATTAACATCTAAGTGTTTATGTAAGCTCACTTAGCCCTCCAGGCCATGTAAACTTATAATAACAGAAGCCTTCACCAGATCTGGTATAGTGTATGTGATATACAGATAGTACACTTAAGCAGTCTCTTTTGTGGGAGTTTCCAAGTTAAAGGTTTACACACCTTGACATTCAGGTTTAAGATTAATATCTTCAATGTGATTTAGTTTCATCACCAAGTGCAGATAGATATAGTTATAGGATATATTTGAAGACACCTCGGTGCCTCAGCAACTACACTGACTAGTTTCCACAGCCTGTTGTTGGAGTAGACACGCTGTGAAAGAGATACACCAGTGTGTCTCAGCAACTACACTGACAATTTCTCAGAGCCCCTTGTTAAAGTAGACACGCTGTGGGGGATTAGGTAGAGACTGTAGTTTTTCTTGTAAATCTTTCTCTAAGTGATTCACACCAATAGAACTGTAAAAAAGAATTATATGGACATGAAATGTTAATTAGTTTAGCTACCAGTGACAAAGCTACAAACATTCAAAATACAACTTATCATTATAATAATTTTTTATTAATAAATGATAGATAAAAGGAAAAAAATTCTAGGATAGAAGACCAACTTTATCCCCTATCTAGGGGGAAAAGTGAGACCCTGGAGTCATGAAATTGAGAATTTTGGTAAAGATCCTGAAAGCCTTTCATCGATGATGCGTATTAGATTCTACCATACCACTAAAGTCAAAATAAATTTGACCCTTTTTGGCCCCGCCCCTCAGGTCCCTGGAGGTTGGGGACCATATAATTTACAATTTTGGTGCACCTTTGCCATGGAAGGTTTTGGTTCAGGAGTTTTCCAGAAGTAAAAAATATCAAAGTTTATGATCCCGAATGACAGACAAAGTCTCAGGTGACCTAAAAAGACATAATCATACAAACCTTTTCTGCGGAAACATAGCACAGCATAAAGGTGTGGCGAATATCAGACTGAAAACACAGATCAAAGAACATTAATACACTGCTTCCATATTACTGTTTTTATAGCTACTTTCATGATCAGCAAAACAACACATATGTGGCAATCTATTTTATTGAATTCAAAGAAGTTAATGACCTTTATTTGAAAGTTATCAAATGCAGACTTCTTAGAATCAAACAGTCAAGGGAATAAATTGTCACTGACATCAACAACACATTTACAAAATAGACTCATTAAGTCTTAGTTGGATGTGCTGTGTATAGAGATTCTGGATAAACTGCACATCAAGTAAAAAGCCATGTACAAAACTAATAGCAAATTTCTGTGATGATTAATTATTGCAATTTTGTTTTGATCAGAAGATTCAATCGCACATGAAACAAATTCACAGTACTGTATCATTTGTATTATACAAAATTGATTTAGAATATTCATATTCGGAAGAAAAAGCATAATGGTAAATTATATTTTGTAAGTACTGATCAATCCCTACTCATGAATGATGACCAGACAGAAATATACTCACAAAAATCCAACAAGGGAAACCTGAATTGGGGCATTCAGCCATGGCATTTTCTATAAAACACAGAAAAAGCAACAAATGAAACAGACATGGTGATACATAACTTTTTCTTTAAATAAAAACAACAGAACCTGTCTATAATCACCTGGGCCCAAATAGACCAGGAACAATTCTTTGGTGGCATTGTAGCATTTGAGAAACTGACTTTGTTTCATCCTATCTGTTACATACTGGGATTTGGTATTGTTATCATTGATTGTGAATTGGTAAAAAGGAACAAAACTTACAGAGATAAAATTTTACAGTATAAAGTATGCCCTTTTTTATGCTATGGATCTATTATACATTTAGCTTTTCAAATGGGTTCATTACACTGATGGCTTACCCCAGGGGTCCAATATACCTTTAGCTTACCCGGGGTTTATTCTACCTTTAGTTTACCCCAGAGGTCCATACTACCTTTAGTTTACCCCAGAGGTCCATTCTACCTTTAGTTTACCCGAGGTTCATTCTACCTTTAGTTTACCCCAGAGGTCCATTCTACCTTCAGTTTACCCCTGGGGTATATTCTACCTTTAGTTTACCCCCGGGGTATATTCTACCTTTAGTTTACCCCAGAGGTCCATTCTACCTTTAGTTTACCCCAGAGATCCATTCTACCTTTAGCTTACCCCCAGGTCCATTCTACCTTTAGCTTACCCCCAGGTCCATTCTACCTTTAGTTTACCCCAGAGGTCCATTCTACTTTTACATTTACAAAGGAGCCCATTCCAACTTAAGATTGCACATATAGTCTATTCTACCTTTAGCTTTCCACATAAACAAAATTTGCTAAAAGTACTTTCCTCATCCTTTATGTTTTTAGCCAAGCCTGTGTGGTCCCCGTGGAAGATTTTTGTTAAATCAAGACTGAATTCTAATTTGAATCCCTATCAATAAGTGATGTTTCCACTTGCTTAAGAAGTTTACTTTCATTAAACTGAGAAGGTGTGAGTCTTGAGATTTTCAGACCATACTACATCACAATCAAATCAGCTGTTCAAATGTGTAGTTAACATTTTAAAAAAACAAGAGTATCACTGAAACTGATGAATGCTTCAGAAAACAACTTTATTAGATTAAAAATCTTAACATAATCCTGTTATGAAGGGGTTGCAGGCCCTCAATTTGGTGTACTGCACATTCTCTTAGTATGACCAATGAATATACTAAGTATCATGATCCTAGTTTTAAGGCAAGCAAAGCTATGCTCATGACACAAAGGCCAATAACTCTGTACTGAGGGGGTCATGGGCCCTAACTTTGTTACACTGGAATTAGCTCTTGTATGGCTGATGATTACGTCATTTTACAATATCCTGGTATAAATGCAAAAAAAGAAAAGCTCCAGACACAAAATTTTTAAAAAAGGGCAAAAAACTCTGTTATTATGGGGTTGAGAGCCATTGTCTTAGTATCATCACTGTATATAACAAGTTTCAGGATTGTTGCCTTATTGCTTAACTATCAACAAAGTTGTGCTACAGACATGAAATTTTCGGGAAGCATAAAAGACTTTAAAGAAAATAGGATTGTAGGTGGCTGATGCCAGTTGCATTTGTTTGAACCGACAAATTTGAAAACTCTGAAGAGGATTAACATGATTTAAAATTTCTCCAAGTAGGAAATATGTACATTTTAAGACTTACCTTCATAAAACTTTTCTTCTCTAAATGGTTCATGATGAATGGGGGTATAGCTGAAAAATAAAACTGATTGTTAAACAATTTTCTGTACAAAAATACAAAATGAGATGATAACTTTTCCATGATATTGCATTACCCAGGGATATAATATATCACAAGTAAAAATACTGAGTGTAATACAACCACCTTTACATGTAGTTAGTATCAATACAGGTTTAAAATCAACCATGCCTACATCACTATACAGATTTATACTTGTCCTTCTATTTCATTGTATCAAATTAAAAATGAAAGTTACAGGAAAAACTGCTTAATATCATGTGGCAGTTGACATGCTTTTTTCTATATCTAAACACAAACAACTTTCAGATGTGCCAAACTGACATCAACTGTTCATAGACAAAAGTTTCAATTCAATTTGTTTTTTCCCCATGTGATTGTGATATAGAAAAATAAAAAAAAAACTTTTGTCTGTTCATTCTGTGAGGTATGCAACCTGCTATCTTGAATTATCCTGAATGATCATGTCAGTAAGTTTACACATGGTCAGATTCATACAAACAAACTCAGTTTGTAGATATTGTATCACAGACTGGTACATACTCATTCCTGGAAGGGCCATCATTATCCTTGAGAGCACCACCTGACCAATGGCACTTTTGGCAGCTATTTTTGACTCCCCTAACTTGTTACCCTCCTCATCAGTCACAGTTATGCCTTCCATAAGCTCCCTGGAACAAGTCAGTATGTATTTCTTAACCTCCAATGTACTGGTACTTTTTTATATCTTTACACAAATGTGATGTAATGAGCCTCTTGTTATGATGATGTGAACCTGTAGTTACCATGTGTTCAACCCTGTAATTATGATGTGATGAACCTGTAGTTACCGTGTGTTCAACCCTGTAATTATGATGTGATGAACCTGTAGTTACCGTGTGTTCAACCCTGTAATTATGATGTGATGAACCTGTAGTTACCGTGTGTTCAACCCTGTAATTATGATGTGATGAACCTGTAGTTACCGTGTGTTCAACCCTGTAATTATGATGTGATGAACCTGTAGTTACCGTGTGTTCAACCCTGTAATTATGATGTGATGAACCTGTAGTTACCGTGTGTTCAACCCTGTAATTATGATGAACCTGTAGTTACCGTGTGTTCAACCCTGTAATTATGATGTGATGAACCTGTAGTTACCATGTGTTCAACCCTGTAATTATGATGTGATGAACCTGTAGTTACTGTGTGTTCAACCCTGTAATTATGATGTGATGAACCTGTAGTTACCGTGTGTTCAACCCTGTAATTATGATGTGATGAACCTGTAGTTACCATGTGTTCAACCCTGTAATTATGATGTGATGAATCGTAGTTGTGGTATGATGAATCTGTTGTTATGATGTTATAATCTGTTGTTATGTTATAATCTGTAGTTATGTTATAATCTGTTGTTATGATGTTATAATCTGTAGTTATGTATAATCTGTTGTTATGATGTGATGAATCTGTAGTTATGATATATAATCTGTAGTTATGATATATAATCTGTTGTAATGATGTTATAATCTGTAGTTATGTTATAATCTGTAGTTATGTTATAATCTGTTGTAATGATGTTATAATCTGTAGTTATGTTATAATCTGTGGTTATGTTATAATCTGTTGTTATGATGTTATAATCTGTTGTTATGATGTTAAAATCTGTTGTTATGATGTTAAATCTGTTGTTATAATGTTATAATCTGTTGTTATGATGTTACAATCTGTTGTTATGATATTATAATCTGTAGTTATTAAGTTATAATCTGTAGTTATGATGTTATAATCTGTTGTTATGATGTTATAATCTGTTGTTATGATGTGATGAATCTGTAGATATGATATGATGAATCTGTAGTTATGATGTTATAATCTGTTGTTATGTTATAATCTGTAGTTATGATGTTACAATCTGTAGTTATGATGTTATAATCTGTAGTTATGATGTTATAATCTGTTGTTATGATGTTGCAATCTGTTGTAATGATGTTATAATCTGTAGTTATGTTATAATCTGTTGTTATGATGTTATAATCTGTTGTTATGATGTTACAATCTGTAGTTATGATGTGATGAATCTGTTGTTATGATGTTACAATCTGTAGTTATGATGTGATGAATCTGTAGTTATGATGTTATAATCTGTTGTTATGATGTTATAATCTGTAGTTATGATGTGATGAATCTGTTGTTATGATGTTATAATCTGTAGTTATAATGTTATAATCTGTTGTTATGATGTTACAATCTGTTGTTATGATGTTATAATCTGTTGTTATGATGTTACAATCTGTTGTTATGATGTTATAATCTGTTGTTATAATGTTATAATCTGTTGTTATGATATTATAATCTGTAGTTATTAAGTTATAATCTGTAGTTATGATGTTATAATCTGTTGTTATGATGTTATAATCTGTTGTTATGATGTGATGAATCTGTAGATATGATATGATGAATCTGTAGTTATGATGTTATAATCTGTTGTTATGTTATAATCTGTTGTTATGTTATAATCTGTAGTTATGTTACAATCTGTAGTTATGATGTTATAATCTGTAGTTATGATGTTATAATCTGTTGTTATGATGTTGCAATCTGTTGTAATGATGTTATAATCTGTTGTTATGATGTTATAATCTGTTGTTATGATGTGATGAATCTGTAGATATGATATGATGAATCTGTAGTTATGATGTTATAATCTGTTGTTATGTTATAATCTGTTGTTATGTTATAATCTGTTGTTATGTTATAATCTGTAGTTATGTTACAATCTGTAGTTATGATGTTATAATCTGTTGTTATGATGTTATAATCTGTTGTTATGATGTTATAATCTGTAGTTATGATGTGATGAATCTGTAGTAATGATGTTATAATCTGTAGTTATGATGTGATGAATCTGTAGTAATGATGTTATAATATGTAGTAATGATGTGATGATCTGTAGTTATGATGTGATGATCTGTAGTTATGATGTTACAATCTGTAGTTATGATGTGATGAATCTGTTGTTATGATGTTACAATCTGTAGTTATGATGTGATGAATCTGTAGTAATGATGTTATAATCTGTAGTTATGATGTGATGAATCTGTAGTAATGATGTTATAATCTGTTGTTATGATGTTATAATCTGTAGTTATGATGTGATGAATCTGTAGATATGATATGATGAATCTGTAGTTATGATGTGATGAATCTGTTGTTATGATGTTACAATCTGTAGTTATGATGTGATGAATCTGTTGTTATGATGTTACAATCTGTAGTTATGATGTGATGAATCTGTTGTTATGATGTTACAATCTGTAGTTATGATGTGATGAATCTGTAGTAATGATGTTATAATCTGTAGTTATGATGTGATGAATCTGTAGTAATGATGTTATAATCTGTTGTTATGATGTTACAATCTGTTGTTATGATGGTATAATCTGTTGTTATAATCTGTTGTTATGATATTATAATCTGTAGTTATTAAGTTATAATCTGTAGTTATGATGTTATAATCTGTTGTTATGATGTTATAATCTGTTGTTATGATGTGATGAATCTGTAGATATGATATGATGAATCTGTAGTTATGATGTTATAATCTGTTGTTATGTTATAATCTGTTGTTATGTTATAATCTGTAGTTATGTTACAATCTGTAGTTATGATGTTATAATCTGTAGTTATGATGTTATAATCTGTTGTTATGATGTTGCAATCTGTTGTAATGATGTTATAATCTGTTGTTATGATGTTATAATCTGTTGTTATGATGTGATGAATCTGTAGATATGATATGATGAATCTGTAGTTATGATGTTATAATCTGTTGTTATGTTATAATCTGTTGTTATGTTATAATCTGTAGTTATGTTACAATCTGTAGTTATGATGTTATAATCTGTTGTTATGATGTTATAATCTGTTGTTATGATGTTATAATCTGTAGTTATGATGTGATGAATCTGTAGTAATGATGTTATAATCTGTAGTTATGATGTGATGAATCTGTAGTAATGATGTTATAATATGTAGTAATGATGTGATGAATCTGTAGTAATGATGTTACAATCTGTAGTTATGATGTTATAATCTGTTGTTATGATGTTATAATCTGTTGTTATGATGTTACAATCTGTAGTTATGATGTGATGAATCTGTTGTTATGATGTTACAATCTGTAGTTATGATGTGATGAATCTGTAGTTATGATGTTATAATCTGTTGTTATGATGTTATAATCTGTAGTTATGATGTGATGAATCTGTTGTTATGATGTTATAATCTGTAGTTATAATGTTATAATCTGTTGTTATGATGTTACAATCTGTTGTTATGATGTTATAATCTGTTGTTATGATGTTACAATCTGTTGTTATGATGTTATAATCTGTTGTTATAATGTTATAATCTGTTGTTATGATATTATAATCTGTAGTTATTAAGTTAAAATCTGTAGTTATGATGTTATAATCTGTTGTTATGATGTTATAATCTGTTGTTATGATGTGATGAATCTGTAGATATGATATGATGAATCTGTAGTTATGATGTTATAATCTGTTGTTATGTTATAATCTGTTGTTATGTTATAATCTGTAGTTATGTTACAATCTGTAGTTATGATGTTATAATCTGTTGTTATGATGTTATAATCTGTAGTTATGATGCGATGATCTGTAGTAATGATGTGATGATCTGTAGTTATGATGTGATGATCTGTAGTAATGATGTGATGATCTGTAGTTATGATGCGATGATCTGTAGTTATGATGTGATGATCTGTAGTAATGATGTTATAATCTGTTGTTATGATGTGATGATCTGTAGTTATGATGTTATAATCTGTAGTTATGATGCGATGAATCTGTAGTTATGATGTGATGATCTGTTGTTATGATGTTATAATCTGTTGTTATGATGTTATAATCTGTTGTTATGATGTTATAATCTGTAGTAATGATGTTATAATCTGTAGTTATGATGTGATAATCTGTAGTAATGATGTTATAATCTGTAGTTATGATGTGATAATCTGTAGTTATGATGTTACAATCTGTAGTAATGATGTGATGATCTGTAGTTATGATGTTATAATCTGTAGTAATGATGTGATGAATCTGTAGTAATGATGTTATAATCTGTTGTTATGATGTTATAATCTGTAGTTATGATGTGATGAATCTGTAGTAATGATGTTATAATCTGTTGTTATGATGTTATAATCTGTAGTAATGATGTGATGAATCTGTAGTAATGATGTTATAATCTGTTGTTATGATGTTATGAATCTGTAGTAATGATGTGATGATCTGTAGTTATGATGTGATGATCTGTTGTTATGATGTTATAATCTGTTGTTATGATGTTATAATCTGTAGTAATGATGTGATGATCTGTAGTTATGATGTTATAATCTGTAGTAATGATGTGATGAATCTGTAGTAATGATGTTATAATCTGTTGTTATGATGTTATAATCTGTAGTTATGATGTGATGAATCTGTAGTAATGATGTTATAATCTGTTGTTATGATGTTATAATCTGTAGTAATGATGTGATAATCTGTAGTTATGATGTTACAATCTGTAGTTATGATGTGATGATCTGTAGTTATGATGTGATGATCTGTAGTTATGATGCGATGATCTGTAGTTATGATGTGATAATCTGTTGTTATGATGTGATAATCTGTAGTTATGATGTGATAATCTGTTGTTATGATGTTATAATCTGTTGTTATGATGTGATAATCTGTAGTTATGATGCGATGATCTGTAGTTATGATGCGATGATCTGTATTTATGATGTTATAATCTGTTGTTATGATGTGATAATCTGTAGTTATGATGTGATGATCTGTAGTTATGATGTGATAATCTGTAGTAATGATGTGATGATCTGTAGTTATGATGTGATGATCTGTAGTTATGATGTGATAATCTGTAGTAATGATGTGATGATCTGTAGTTATGATGTGATGATCTGTAGTTATGATGTGATAATCTGTAGTTATGATGTGATGAATCTGTAGTTATGATGTGATGAATCTGTAGTTATGATGTGATAATCTGTTGTTATGATGTGATGATCTGTAGTTATGATGTGATAATCTGTAGTAATGATGTAATGATGTCAATAGCTACTGTACCTGCTCCTCATACAGGGGATATTGATACAATTGGCTGATGCAACAGCTGTAAATGGTACGAGACGGGCAACAACAGGTGGAAAAGTCTGGAAATAGGTGAAAATGATGTCATTAATAGCCCTACTATACTTATATTGCTGGACATGTCTTATTAATTTGCAATACACATAAACTGATCATTAGATAAGAGTGGCACACACAATAATAATATGTTGATTCAGAAGTTTGGATATTCAATCATCATTTATCCATCTCCATGGTAACAAATCTAGTTCTGCATGAGTGTACTGACCTTGATGATGGGTTTGGGATATTCAAACAAATCTAGTTCTATGTAAGTGTACTGACCTTGACAAGGCTCTTGATACCCATAGCTGTTCCTACAGCGCCTCCTGATGCTAGTACGTATGATAGACCCAGCTGACTGACAAAGAAAAGTGTTCAAGGGAGATAATCACTTGCTGTTATCATTTACTGGCATTCTGTATACTAGTATGTATGCTTCAGTGAGTTAAACATTTAACAAAAGCCTGATTTCAGGTACACATGTGGGTATGAACATCAAAATGTTTTCAGTCCATTTCAAACAATAAGCATAATTGGAGCTCTATTTCAACATTTTCAATGAAATTTTTATGCATATGTGAAAGAACAGGGAAAATACACATTCCTGTTGAGTGCCCTGAGCAGGAATCTAGCACAGGTCTCTGTCACGATAATCGGCTGTCTCTATCAACTGAACAAAAAAGCATGTTCCTTCAGCTGATTGACAGAGACCATATTTAATGCTATATACAAGTCACACCAACCCGCTCCTGTTACACATACATCTAGATAGTTAACTTTACCAATCAAACATTAAAGTGAAAAGATATTACAGTTTATAGATGATACAAGGGCTGATTGATAAGTTGTTAGCCTCATATTTAAGGGTTTGACTTTTGGCGGACATATTGCATTTATTTTCAACATAATCCCCTTCAGTTTCTAAACACTTTCGCAACAAAGTTTAAGGGCCTCAATACCACATTTAAAGAAGTCCTTTTCTTCACTGTTCAGAAAGTCCTCCACATCATCATCAGACTGAAAGTGGGTATCGGATATGGTCTTCCACAATTTCGGAAATAGATGAGTGTAATGGAGCAATATCAGGTGAATAAGGTGGATGCTCAATCAATTTAAAGCCACACTCGTTAATGGCAGTCATGGCAATAACAGACTTGTGAACAGGAGCAATTTCCGTTGGAACAACACACCTTTACTGAGTTTCCTGCAATGCTGGAGTTTAACAATGCATAATATGTGGCATTGATTAATTTTACCTTTTGCAGTTAACCTACCATCAGAACACCATCAGTATTCCTGAAAACTGAGGCCTTTCCAGCTGAAGAAACAGTTTTTGTCTTCTTTGGCAGAATCAAACCAGAGTACTTCCATTGCTTAGACTGTTGTTTGGCCTCTGGGGTGAAAAGATGGACCCAGGTTTCATCGATAGTCACAACCTAATCAGAAAGTTAGCAGGATCTGCTTCTAAAAACAGATGAGAACTTTCTCATTGCATGATCTTTTGAAAAAATTGAATGTACTGTTTCGTGTCAAATCTCATATGTACGGGCTATATATCTCTCTGTAACTCGCCTGTCAGCCATAACAATATCAAGGACTTATTGGCCATTTCTGGGGTTGCAGCAGTGACAGGCCTTCCAAGATGGGCATCACCTCCAAGGCACTGCCTGCCACACTTAAATTCCGCCACCCACCTTTTCACTGTAGCATCATTCCCTAGTGTTGCTACCATATCAGTATGGATATCCTTAGATGTAAAGACCTTTCTTATGCAAATATTGAATCACTGCTCTTTCAGCAATTTTGTCCATTATTAAAAAATCGCTTGCCTCATATGGTTAAGAGTGCTATCTCTTCTACATAAACTAATCAAATGACACCAATCTCTGTGTACACAGCCTTAAATAGTCAGGGAATAGTAGAGCTGAAAAAGGACATCTCTGTTTAACTTCTTCAATACGAGCCTCACAACTTAGCAATCAGTCATTGTATTTTAAATGTAACTAAAAGTGTTATAACATGTACCTAGATATTTGTATATACTGTACACAGGAGAAAGTGATGGAGACTTGGATTAACACATTCGTATCTTGTACCAAATAAAATACAGCATACATACATCTATGAATGTTATATGACATATATAACATACTAATTTTGATTTGATTTGTTTTGATTTGAATAGTGGACTTCATCCATCTGAGACACATAAAGAGATTAATACAAGTTGGTAAATAAAATAGAAGTTCTTATATAACAACCAGCAGTTAATTTGAGTGTGACATTTTAATTACTACATGGTCAACTTCATCAAACAAATGACCAGTATGAAGCATACTAGCACTATTGTGTGTAGTGTATGAGATGTGTAGAATCAACCAACAGCTGCACTATAATTCGATGTACACTGAGGTTGCAAATAGTGTGGCAACCTGGTAAACAGATTAGAGAGAAATAATGTACAAGATGGTAACAATGTTCTGTAGTCCATTTGGTTTCACTTTGTTTAACACTCTGTCATAGCCTCTGCCCTCATCTTTATTTAGTATTGGCCAACTGTGGCATGTCCAGATCGCTTCCTCAACCAGCTGCCAAAAAAGGTTGTTTTCCTTGCCAAATATTTAGGAATTTTCTGAGTCAATGATTTTGCTGGAAATTTTGTGGAATGGTTTGTAAGTGCCAATTTATTGATCTGGGACTGATCTAGTGAATTTATTTTGCCTTCTTGGAATTCTTTGTCTTTCTGATGTTCATGAAGTCGTGTCCCAATCTCCTGTCTGTTTCTCCAATATATGATGCATCACAGTTCTTGCATTGCCTTGTTTTTTTTTTTTTTTTTTATTTTTTTTATTTTTCATAACAATTACATCAACAAAACATCATCAAACATACAACATACAATATGCTCACTCACACATCACCATAATCTCAATTAAGTTGTATCATCATCATCATCATCATCATCACCACCACCATAATCATCATCATCATCATCATCATCGTCATCATCATCATCATCATCATCATAAACATTACCATCATCATTATCTTCTTCATTATAAACATTACCTCATCATCATTATCCTCCTCATTATAAACATTACCTCCTCATCATAATCATCAGTCATCATGATCTCAATCAAGTAATCATGTCAATACATTCTTCATCATTGTCATATTCAATATGCCTTTGTCACCACCTTCATGTCAATAGATTCATCCTCAGCATTCATTATCACATATGTACCTCATCATCAACCTAACTATCAACACAATTTGTCATTATAACTTGAAATCCATCCATACATCATCGCCTGGCATTTTCATCAACACCCTTATTAACATCACAACACTACCCTTACACACCCACTCCTACACCTACATCAATACTACACATAAAGATAAAGAGGAGAGAAAAAGAGAGAGAGGGGAGAGAGAGAGAGAGAGAGAGAGAGAGAGAGAGAGAGAGAGAGAGAGAGAGAGAGAGAGAGGGGGAGAGAGAGGTGATCTGGGTTAGTAAAAATTGCAATAATCAGCGAAACAATAGGGACTCAAGTATAAAGAAAAATACCTGGTAAATAAATAAATAAATAAATACTATAAGGGTAAGCAAGGGGCCTGCTATACTGTAAAGACAGAGAATACTAAAATACGGTAAAACATACTACATGACAGTAAATGTATTTAAAGTTAAGAATTGGCCAATTCCAATAATTTTCTCCATTTTCTCCATTCCTCATTAAAACTTAACTGTGCCTGTTCACCTTTACTATTGGCAATATATTTCTGAAAGGTATAAAATTCCCTGACTGAATAAATAAGACTATATACACTTAAGGCTTTGTGTTGACATCTTGCCTTATATATGTAATATTTAATGATAATTAAGATTTCATTGTCAAGTTTGCTACTGATTAACTGATTTTTATTAGCAATGAAACCAAACAGAAAACTTATTTTATTGAAGGAAAATGGAATAAAAAGAGCATCCAGCAAAACTTCTACACTTTCTAAAAATTTTTTAACTTCTGGACATTCCCACATAATATGAATAATTGTCTCCTTTTCTAAGTTACAGAATGTACAGTGTGGGTTATTCAGTAGTCGAATTTTAAACATATATAAATTTGTTGTTAAGATGTGTTGAACCACTCTGTACTGAAACTATTGAAGTTTTGTATTTTTTGTTGCACGAAAACAATTTTTATAAATATCCCTCCAATTTAGAACATCAAATTCTAATATTTCTTCCCATCTTTTCCTCCCAGTAGAAATTATATCGTTTTTTACTAAAAGATTATATATATCTTTTGACCCATTTCCTTTTTTTAAAAAACACTCAATACTACTTGGAATGGTTGGAAAAACTTGAGAGGTACATGTTCTTACAAAGTCAGATCTAGCTAAATATGACTTAACCACAGAGACTACACCATGGTATTCAAGGAAATTTGAATTTACATTATAAATTTGCTTAAAATCTTGAAAAGTGTAGAAAGTGCCAGTAGAAAAATCTTTGAATAAATCATTAACTATCATCACTCCCTTATCATACCATGTCTTGTAGAATATACTTGTCTTCCCTATCAACAAATCTTTATTATACCATAAAGGAGTTTTCCAAATATTTTTCTTAACATATTCTACCCCCACCCTTTCACTGAACCTCAACAGGGCTTTGAAAACATCACTCAAGAAATTATTTCTACAGATATTACAACATTTCTGATTGTAATCACTTCCACAGGAAGATAGCATATGTAGGTCAATATATGTTTGAAGAATTGCTTGCCATTTAGCAGATTTCTGGTGTAATCTTCTAATCCAGCCTAATTTCAGACTATCTATAAACAACTTTATATCTACCATTTTAAGTCCACCGTTATCAAAATTCTGGGTAACAATATCTCTCTTTACCTTGTCAGTTTTACTGTTCCATAAAAAGCTAAAAAGGATGGAATTGAGCTTATTCAAGAACTGGTTGTCTGGGTTTGGCAAAGACATAAATAAATGGTTAAACTGTGATATCATTAAAGATTTAATAAGATGAATTTTCCCAATTGGAGTCAGTGATCTGCATTGCCTTGTTTTGCATCAGGATAGTATAGGATGTTTCAGACAGTCTTGTGAGTTTTCAAGGCTGTTGCAATCCCATGATCATGGTAAATCCTAAGAGTAGTTTTTGACTGGCCTTTGATGAAAGGGATGACTACTAGGCCTTTCGTTTTATTTTTTTCCTTGGTGTTTCATCTCTTAGTCATTTTGTTTCCATTAACTTTGTTGTAAACTTTTGTATTGCCCAATCAAGGTATCCACATGTTTTCATGGAATAAAAGATGTTATTTTTTCAATGCTTCTTGTCTTATTCTTCTGTGACAATGGTTTCACATCTGTTTAGCAAGGTTCACACAATACTTGTGATATAAGGGATGGTGCAATCAGGAGTCGAGGTATTGGTCTGTGTGTGTCTTTTACCTACAGACTACCTTGATAGTAACCTCATCTTCGTTATTAGGAGGGTTTCAAGGAATGGCATAGTGCCATTGATTTCTTCCTGACAGTTGTTGCAAGAATTTCAATTCTATTGACATTACCAACCTCAAGAAAATGTTCCGAAATAAGTTGAAACATAGATGTTCTTTGTGTATAAAGTTAGCTTTCCTTGAATACCGGGAAATTTATATCAAATATGGATGTAAGGTCCTCTCGGTTAAATGAGAATATGGACACTTTTTCTAAGGTTCTGTAGTGGCTAATTTATATTTCACACGAAGCCTACAATTACAATATAAATACTGTCGTAGACAGATAAAAATAAATATTATCACATAAACATCCAACAGAAAGTATTACCACATTACATAAATGGATTTAAACTATATATACTAACACAAAAAAGAAACGCCAGGTACACTAAATATACTACAAATGATTTATTGCTTGGCCTAGAATAATGACACTCGGTCAGGTTGATGTGTTGTTCGCAGTCAATAGGTACACATGTTTAAAATCACACAATACCTGACCTCCGCGCTCCGTGCGAGGCACGTGCTAAAATACAAGTATCCCGTGCAGGGGAAGGTCATTGAGTTCGCCAATGGAAATTTTCAGTCTATTTGATACTGTTCAAGTATTCAGATTGATTTTTCAAAGTTTGATTCGAATTAAGCAATTTACATCCATGCCACGATTGACGGAAGTCCAGCGGGGACAGGCTATAGAAATGCTTTTGCAGGGTCAGGGCAAACTTCAGGTTGCTGCACATGTTGGTGTGCATATTCGGACAATTCAACGTCTTGTCCAACGTGTGCGAGTGACGGGGAGGGTCATCGACCGACCGCGAAGTGGACGTCCGCGCGTCACGATGCCACATCAGGATCGGTTTATAAGACTTTCTCACTTACATAATCGCCATCTCACAGCTACCGAAACTGCAAATAACACTATAGGCAGTCATAACCGCCATATTCATCCTGATAAGGTTCGAAACCGATTACGCTTCAATGGCCTAAGAGCCCGACGTCCCTACGTTGGTCTGCCCCTAACTCATGCGCGTCGCCAACGCCGATTGGCTTGGTTACAAGCATACTCGCCCAGAAATTTTCCTACGAGGCAATGGAGACGGGTATTCTTCACTGACGAATCCCGGTTCACTCTCTACCGTTCGGACGGGCGACGTCGAGGGGAACGTTACACCGACGCGTGCGTCGCTGAGCGGGATAGGTTTGGCAGTGGTTCAGTATGTGTTTGGGGCGGTATTTCCTATGGGTTTAAATCACCCCTGATCGTGATTGACGGTAATTTAACCGGCGTAAAGTATAGAGACGAAATCCTTCGCCCAGTTGCTGTGCCGTGTGTGCATGCACGGAACCTGATATTCCAGCAAGACAATGCCCGGCCCCATGTCGTTAGAGTTTGTCAGCAATTTCTTGCCAACAATAACGTAATCCCAATCGATTGGCCAGCATTCAGTCCAGATTTGTCTCCAATTGAGCATTTGTGGGACGAATTGGATAGGAGAGTTAAATATGTGGTCCAGCTCACACGTGCCTTGCATGAAGAATGGAATAACATCCCCATTGCAAGGGTTAACACCCTGATGAATTCCATGCATAGAAGAATCTGGGCTGCGCATGGAGGACACACAAGATACTGAAATGTCCGGCTGTGTTGCGCAATACAAGTAGGGTCATCGCTAAAAGGGGGATATTTATGGCATAATTAGCATTGATAATCGATAGAATGAACCTTCAACAAATGGTTCCAAACAGATGAAATTGTATACAAAAATGAATGAAATAATGTAACATTAAATTATATCATTTAAAAGAATCTTTTTAGGTTACACAGCGTTTCTTTTTCGTTTTCGTATACAATAATATGACACTGGTCAGTCTGTCTTACCAGGTCTCAGTAGGAGCTGTATGACTCTCCTGTGCCCTTGCTGCAAGTGATAGGATGAGGGGTTGTGGTGTGTGAGGAAATGTGGCTGCGCATGCGCCTACGAGATTACTCCAGAGGCATGCATAGTCACAGGTACTCAATGTCCATACACTCCATTCTCTCACTCAGGTATGACATAAACAGACACAAATGGACAGACAAGGTCAGGTCTATGTATTGAGTAATACTCATAATGTGCTACTATGTACACACAGTCTACATGGATACTTAAAAACTTACCTTACAGGGACTGGATTCTCTCCACTCCTATTAGTGTAGTTCACTACAGCATTGAAGGACTGATTAAACCATTGCCAGAATATCACTGCTGGAGTTGTTCTAGAAGTTAACAAAACAATTATCTATAACAGCTTGTTCTACAAGGCAACAAAACCATTCAAAATAACAGCTGGAGTTGTTCTACAAGAAATAAACAAGCGGTGTAGAAATTATGGCATATTTCAACTACAAGGGCGAAAGAAAAATACAAAAGAATCATTGTTTTATACATGCAGGTGGATTGATGAAAGAGGGTTCATGCTTTTCAACTGATGTGTTGTGGAGTACACATTCATGTCATTATTACCTTTATTCATCAATTTTAAATGTTAATTTATTAACTTACATAAGTAACTGTTCTAGTGAAATTATCAGATATTAGAAAACAGGAAAAAGCACATGTTCATTTACAGCGCTCTACAGTAATCAGGAAGATGTGATCATTATGTCAGTTTTACTGAAATGCTGATATTCTGTATTAATAGTGGATGAAAAACCTGTGAAATAAAGATTATTATGTTACTTAATGTACATGTATATAGATGTCACTGATTTGATTACCCCTTAACTACTCTCAATTACTGCCTACCTATAAAATGTCATCATACATCCTGTTATACACATATTCATTGGTACTTGGGCTGACATTCGACCGATCAGCATCATCTTCTCTTTGGTATCTGGATGGAAGGCAGAGTCATAAAGCTGTTTCGCTCTCCAAAGATCATCTTCTGATGTTCCAGGTAAGTCCTCTCCCTTTCTGAAAAACCATCTAATCTTGTAACTATTGTGTTGATTTAAATTCTAAAAACATTGCTTCAGAATTATAAACAAGCAGCACACCACATCTGAATCAATTTGATCACCTTGGCCTGACATCCTCAATCATTCTATATACACTATTTACATTACTTGTAAATGTGCGTTGTGCACACAAATAATCGACAAAGAATTGAACTCTGCAAGAAATCAGGCTAAATCAATGAATTACTTTTCCTTTTTCCTTGCCAGAGTCTCAATATCAATCAAATTATTTCTCATATTTTATCACAAAAAAAAAAAAAAAACAACCAAAAAACAATGAAATTATCTTTAAGAATCATCAATACTGCATGAGGTTTAAATTTCATCAGCTATTAGTATTGAAGGTGGTTACCGATATTTTTCCACAATGGACTTGGCCTTCTCTAGCTGTGCATTAGTAGCTAGGACATTGAGTGGATTTGTTGTGATGACAAAGTGTTTAGCCCGGCCGATATATGTGTTCTGATCATACCGCGGCTCCTCTATATTCACTCTGGCCTTGTCACCACTCATGTCTGCCTTCTGAAACATAACACAATTAACTGTCAACATTCATGTCTGTTGTCAGTCTGTTTATTTCTGCTGAAACAAATATTTACAAAACTATCCGACCTTGGCGGATTAAATAGAGAGCAATATGACAATTGAATTTAGAGGCTATTTATATAGTTATTGTGCATATATTAGTCTGTAAAACTATTTCAGTTTAGAGTACCATAGATTTCATAATGTAATATCAATTCTACTAGTTTATTGAAGCAAAATTTAGTTCTATTCTGGCTTAGTCTGCATTTGTTTTTTTTATGTACCATTTATTGATGTTAGTTAAATAGTTATATGCACCTGGTAAGTCAATGCAGAATGAACCATCTTATAAAATCCTGAGACTTAATTCCAAATGCACAAAAACAACTCATGTAGTCATCTTAGTTAATCTACATCTAGGTCTAGCCCAGTAATGCCTATAGCTAGTGACCTATATACAAATATTGTAAGTTTACAATACATTGTTTACAAACAGTTACACCAGTCATCAACACCAGTCATGCTTATTTTATTCAGTCGCAAGAGTACGGAAAGTACAGTCATTCATCAAAGGAAAACTAAATTATTGTACACGATGTATAGTTGATCCACGATTTCTATGACACGTGAAAATGTTTGAATCGTACACATGTTATCATTGCGATGGTCATGTACTATTGTAGTAGTCGGTGTAAACAAAAGTGCGCTGTAAACATAAATTTATACTCACTAGTCGGCACACGACAATTACTCAATTCTGTGCGTTAGCAATGGACACTTAAACTCCCCTAAATCACAGAAGCCAACCTCGATACCGATCCGACCTCTACAAGAGCACTTATACTTCACAGCTAAGTAAAGGAGGTGTGTCCAGTTCAAGCTATTTGATTGGCTCTTCGGTATGTTACTAAACACAAGATTGTCAAAGTTCCACACTGAATGTACAAATAATGTCCATCGTAAAGTAACGATTAAGAATAACAAAATCAGATATTATAGCATCAGTAATAAAAGAAATGTTTTAGTGAAATTATTAAAAGTATATTCTCTCCCTATTCACTCCTATTACTTTGAAGACTAGCAGTAGCATCAACATTAATAATTCAGTATTGCTAACATTCTATTTCCGTTTATATCATAACCATATGTTTGTCACGAAAATCATGTTAACACTTAATGTTAAAATTGACGTAGTATTTCATCTTAATGATTAATATGCATCACAAAAGTCATAAGAGAGCTGATTTTACAAGGATGTTCAAACATGGAGCGGGAAAAAACTCCTACCGGAAGTTTATAAAATAGAAGGGAGGTAACTAAATTAGGCATTGAAAAAATTATCGTCTGCACCACAAGCTTTGGATATTTCTTAATCTTATCCTTGCCATCGAGGATGTGAGTTTTGCAAAATGGTTACATGTTGTTTTCTATGTGAAACTGAAGTAATGAGAAAAAAATATGAAGCTGTGGATAATTTCTGTTAATATCTGTTAATGTCACTGATCAATGTCAGTTTTGGAATAGAAAAAACATGATCATTTTGTTCGAAGATAAACATTGTCCCGTTTCAAGTAGTCTTCTGCACTGTAGGCCTAATTTAAAGGAATTTAACAATTGGTCATTCATGCAACTAGGACTGTACCAAATTGTATAATTATCTTATTACATCAACAGCAGATTTACACCATATAGTGGAAATATCTTTCATTACAACAGATTATATTATACTGCGATGTGTCCAGTTTGGAGGCCAGTCACAGCTCCTCCACAGGTGAAGCACTTCTGTCACTTGTCAGATGATGCACAAACTGTGATGGCAGGTATATACAAACAATGCAATGACCAGAAGAAACATCTTGCTGCTCGCATTCAAGAGAACCAAGGTGATGCATATGCTGGAGCCAAAATAAAATAGTCTACATTTAGTAACAAATAAATAAATGCTAAGAAAATCAATTCCTATTGTGACTGACAACATTAATTTACTGTAATTTCTAGATAATTTTAAAAGCAATTTTTACAGGCAATAACACCTCAGAGTTTCACTAACCTGACAGAAATAATATGAATTTTGTTCCAACTTATCTGCAAACTTACTTTAGAAAATCAGTAGTCAATTTGGCTTTGGTCATTAGAGAAGGTTACTGGAATAGTCAGAGAAAGTTATTGCTTCATCTGTGGTAAAACATTCATTAATAGAAAAAATTGAATTTGTTTAAATGTAGGGACCTACTATCAACAAATGTATGAGAGGAGATTCGGAGCTCCACCCTGTGTGACTCTCAGTTTGCAACAACCTACACCGACTGCCAGTATAATACCAGAACTGTTGCCACCTACCTTAGAGTTTAGAGATGATAATCCTGACCTGCTACCTAATAATTTGGAAAGGGCAGTATGTGAAAAGTCAGATGTGCATTCTGTAAGCTGTGGATCTTTCAATGAAAGTAGACAGGCATCAACCATGTTAGTAACTGAGTCGTCCAGAGATGGTAGTGTTAAAGAGGTAAAAATGAAACAGCCATGTAGCACATTTCTAGATACAACTTTTGAGGGTGCAAATGCTGACATGTCACTTGAACAAGGCAAATATGCTTTCAAAAGTACACCTTTACAAGGGAATAATGGAAAATCTGAAATGACATATTCTACAAGTGCTGGAAAGAGGCACATCATCAAAACTCATCCTTATAACATAAACTCTAATAGTACACTCGGGAGCACCTCTATGTATCTTCCATCAACAAGAGATGTGAGACCAGATGAACAATTTAAGTTGACAAACACAGCCCAAATCCATAGAACATCTATATCTGCTAGACTAAAACAGCACATGACAATCAGGTATGTTAACAAAGTTTGTGTTAATATCATAATACATATATGTGATAAAAGGATTCATAACACTATGCAAGGATATCAGTAAGTTGTAAAAAAGTGGAAAAGAGATAAAGATGCATAGTTCATTTAGGGATTATGCAATGTTAGGGCCACAGATGCCAAGTTTGACTGTAAAAGATGGAGGTTTTTTATTCTCAAATACATAATACTGACAATGGAAATCTAAGGAAAAATGAGTTGATTGATTGCAGGTTTTTTTTATTATTCTCACTCTCTTCACATTGATGCATTTTTAGGAAAGACATGCAGGTGAAACAAGACAAAAGAGAACATTGTAAGAGTAAGTATTGTAAACTGCATTGAAATGATGAGCACATATCTTAAATTGTGTTCATGTTGCTGAAACACTGATCATCCTAATATTGGCATTTATCATTAACTGTTCACTGATCACTTATGTTTATCAATCAAATTTTGTAGAAAAACAATTCAAAAATAAAAAATCAAATGTTTAGATAATACCAAATGATGTCCTTTTAATCAGCATAATTTTGATTACTACATAACTAACCTTTGAAGTACACATTCAACCTGTATTTGAAATGGCTTTGACTAGATGTTTAACTACTACTACAGGTTGATGACACTGGCTAAGTTCATTTTTTTGATTGTCTGGTTTTAGGACAAGCTGGAGCAATCCCTCCATCAGAGAAACTGATATTGGCTAATAGTCCTGATAGTAACAGGAAAAGTTTGTCTTCACATTTCGCTACTCCTTACAAAAAGCAGAAGAGCGATAGGAATGACCAGGTCAAATAATTTTATGAATAAAGGAACTACAAGTAATTACAATAACATTTTGACAAAATTGGTTGTGATAATAAATGCTGACATAACCTGTTTTGTCAAAATAAGATAGCATTTATTAGACTGCACTTATCTTCCAATAATCCCAGGGAGCCATCCAATATATAAACTCTGACTTAATGTCAGACATTTGGATGATTCATTACAGGACAGTAAAATAACACTTGTTTGTAATTATACTGAGTAGTAATAAGCATGAGTGGGTTTATTGCTTGATATGTAGGGCACAACTGAATTTGTTTTTACATGCTTTGGTGTTTGATGATATACTTTTCATATTTTTACATGCCCATCAAAAAAATTGTACAGACATATTATTGTATATGTCTTTAAGATTTTGTAGGCGTTAATCTATCATCAGGACATGCATCACCATTTTTTCCCTATCAGTATTTTGACTTATTTAAACCTTTCCATATTTTGTATTAATTTTTGATGCAATAATTCAGGAATTGTTTCTTTAATATGCGATGGGCATTGTTCTGACCTATGGTACACTTGTTCAAGATCTGTACCTTGTATTTGATTGGATCTTTTGTTCCTGGAGTCGATATGAAGTTTTTTCAAAGTTGTTTAGAAATACAAAGCAAAACATCTTACATTGTGGCACTAAATTATAGAACACTGTCAAGTATAAAGTTGCTCTTATTAAATACAAAGATTTTCTTATTGAAAAATATCAACTTCTAAAATATATTGTTTACTTTGTTAATACATTCTAAAATTTAGAGCAATATTGTAAATCAATAATTACATTTCAGAATTGAAATGATGCACACATACATATGATATACAGAAGATCATTTGTTATGTTGTATAAGGACAAGTATAAAGAGGAATGCAACATACTTGTCATATTTTAAAGATAGTTTCTGAATCTCTGCTGAAGACTACGGAAGCACAGGATATATCTGCAGTTAGCATGCAACATAAAGCAAGAATAGTGACAACTTTGAGTGATCAGGATCTAGGTGATGTCCTCCAGACATTACTCTCCTCTCCAGAAGTACTGATTACTCTTGTGTACAAAAATGGTTCTACACAGTTAAGGGACACCAGTACTGCTCAGAATAAGGTAAGGGTAGCTTAAAATTCATTGTTATCTCAAACTAAATTAAATGTCACTATGTGCGCATGCTTGCCACAGTCATGCACAAAAGCAGGAACAACAAGCTATATATAGTGTTTGCAAATGATTTTTCAATCTGCCTAAAAGTACTTCAACTTTTGGACATATTTCCGTTGTAGCTTTGGCATCAACATTGTCACAAAGTTAGGGCAGGTGGAGAAAAGTTCAGGTAATGCTGGGCTTTATTAATGTTAATTAAGATACAGATTAACCTGAGGATTATGTACCAGGTATTATCTCAGGCTTTATGTTGCTACTTCATACAAATTAAGTTGTGTCCTAATAACGGCCTACTTATAGGGCAGAACATATCAGCATCAAATAGAGGTATATTAGGACTTAGAGGCATATTAGTACTTAGAGATTAGGACTTATGCATGCTTTTAAACCTTGCTTCAGGATTTGGACATTTGATATGTATCTTAAATACTGAAGTCATTAAAACAAAAATGAGTGTAGGTGTGTCCTTAGATGCATTAGCTAGCCTGCTACCTCAATGATGCACACTAAGTATGTTGTCTTTTGCTCCTTTTAGAAATCAACTGGAAGCTTCAGACTTAAGCATTGGACATCTGAGGTAGTCAAATCTTACCAATCTTTTTTAACAAAAATTAAAATTAGGATAAAATTGTTGATGTGTCAAAGTTTATTAAGAGTTTATTATTTTGCAAAAGGTAGGTACCAGTAAATTGTGTTCAAATTGTGGTTTGTCACTTTGATTTGTTTCTTTTCCCAAACTTTACTTAAACTTCATGCTCAGAAACCTAGTCACCAGCTACAGGCTTAAAAAGCCCAAGATATGTTGCATTTTCCCACTTCCTCTGTTGCAATTGATATGAAGGCTACTTTACCAATTTGTTTTATAACAGACAAAAGTTGTTAGTACTGTGTGATGTGAATATATTAAAGTAAAGTGTTTGTTTTTTGAACAGTTACAGGCTGTAGCAGTATGTGGTTGTGTAGATGGTGCTGAACCCTGTCAGCCAGCCCAGGTTTGGCTATTTCCATTACCAGGCCATGGTAAAGAGTCATGTGACTCACAAATCAGGTATATCAATATAATAAAAATTAAATATGTGAAAAATTGTTCTTGTGATTGCTTTTGAACTGATTATGTTGTTAATGAAATTAGTGTATGCCCATAGTCAATGTTTGATATCTGAAACTCTGAATTTGATATCTGAGATGACCTGCAATTGAAGAAAAGAATAGCACCAGTAATCTTTATAGTACAATTTTTTATATATGGCTGATTTTATTGATTTATGCCAACCATGCAGTTTTGTCAAAATGTAAAAAAAATGTGTCTATGTGTGAAGACTTCAAACTTTACTTTTATTGATAATTAATGAGGGCTGTGTTATTTGAATTAAAACAAGTCTTGAAAACAATTACCGGTAATCAATCATTGAAAGCAGATGTCTCAAAAATCTACCAGACATATTTTAATGTTCCATTATGTTCCAGCTTACATATCAGACATGTATCTTGAATTCAAATCTTGATGAATTCCACACATAAATAATCAGTTCTGGCCTTCAATTAATGCCTGATACAATACACTTATATCCATTGAGCATATAATGTTTTGCAGTGAAGTGCTTGTTACTGATCTTTTCTTTAGAGAATTCTGGAAACACTTGTTGACAAACCAACATAGAAAAATTTGCTGTGATGCCAAGAGTTTATTGCTTATATTGCTAAGAGATTTTAGCATCAAAAACACTAAAGGTATTTTTTTATTTACACATTTTTTTGTTTTTGTCTTTTCTAAGGACTGTCAATGCTTCATAACTAGTAATTGATGCATATAAATGCTTCTTTTTATTGTTAACAACACAATATGTTGAATGAAAAACATCTAACATAATGATTTACATTTTTATTTCCAAAAATGCTGAATATTGATCATAAGATAAAGTCAAAGAATTATCTTGTGTACCACATGCATTGAGTATTAAATCATGAAAGCCCTTGTCTGATATTAAATTATCTGTAGTGTTGTTTGGTAGGATTACAAACCAGTATATCTTTTATTGTCCTGCAATAATCCAACCTCTGACTTTGAATCAGAATTTGTTTGTTGACTCCCTTGGCCTACTACTAAATAAATGTGTTATCATAATCAGGGAAATTCTACTCTGAGCCTGCTTCCTTGAGTTCCTGGGAACATCAGTGTCCTCCATATGTCATACAATCTGAGCTGGCAAGTTTCAGACACTTTATGTACCTCTTCTACACACTGTTATGACATGTTTACCTAGCATACAACTGTTTTGGATGTTTTGTCAACAATAGGTGATGGAATGTTTGAAGTTATTTTACAGATGTTGCAGTATTTGATCCTGTAGTGGCAGCCTGGCTGATTGATCCTGATTGTGAAAATGTGACATTTCAAAAAAGCCTGTCTCTTGTTAGTCTCACGTGGAAGGTAGGAAGCATTTCAGCACAACCTGTATGGTTTTAATCATTCATGAATATTTTGAAATATTTGACAGATTCTTTTTTCGATATTGATGGACAGAAAGACTATTCATATAGCCATTGATGAATATTGGAATTTCATTTTGTAGTTTAAAGCTATTTTGTTTAAACGAACATTTTGAAAAACACACATTTATATAAAGGGAAGGTTGTTGTAAATATAGGACTGTTTGCATAATTTCTAATAGGATCATGAGTTGAACAAGGCTACGGATGTATTGAGGGAGGATATGATTCAGCTGTCGGAACTGATGAGGCGTTTGTACCAGAAACTAATAGCAAGAGATTTGTGGGACTTATACTGCTGTGTTGAAATGAAGCTACTACCCCTCCTAGCAGCCATGGAACTCCGGCCACTCAGAGTGGATAGAGACGCCATGCTCAGGTTCTCTGGCATCCTCAAGGTTCATGTCTTAATTTTACAAATTTTTGACTTGTTTTTGGTATCACTTGGTTAGACATGTTGGTCAAGTCTTTTTTCCTAAGGCTAATTCTTTTGTCAGTAAGATACTAAGGCACTTGTTTCTATTTGTCAAACACATTTTCTGGGTAATCCTCATATCAAGCTTTTTCTGATCAATGAAGATGCATATAATAATCAAAACTTCCACAGACAAATAATACATTTCTATGGCATTTAGCTTCCTGTAGTCAGTGTGAAGTTTGGCCTTGTCTATGTTGTTATAATAAGCTTAACCTTCAAGTCATCAGTATTATAAACAAATCTTGTATTGTCAAGGTCAGCCTTCATAATGAGTTCCTTGCAACCAATCTTCCCATGGTTAAGATCAGTCCCCACTAAATTAGTAGCTATAACTATGTTTTTCTGTTGTCAAGGTCAATCCTAGGAAATCAACAATGCTGTAACTAAGTCTGGTTATGTCAAAGTCATTTCCCTGTCAATCAACACCTTGATATATAACTATAACTTGATAAAGTGCAGTCTATACCGATATTTTTCTGACCACCAGAAAAAGCTAAAGAAGTTGGAAAAGAATGCCTATGAGGCTGCTGGTCATCCATTCCTTATGAACAGCCCAGCCCAGCTAAGACAGGTAACCCAAAAGAAGAAGTGTTTCATCTGTCTTTCCTTCCCAAAGACACCTCAATTGTATCGAAGACATGTTGAAAAGAGCTTACCAGAACTACTTTTTTCATTCACAGCTTAAAAATTCTCAGTACCAGTGCATCATAAACTATCAAAGATTGGAAGGGGTTAAGACAAGGCCTTTGTTACAACATCACAGTACATCTGTTTCACTATTTCCAGATAATATCTTAAATTCCTTCTGACAGATCAAACTCAAACTTGAAAAACTGCTTTCTTATCAAGAGTGATTGCATGGGATTGCTTGTGTGGTAAAAAGGCCAAACCCTAAAGTCACTGTTATCATAACTAGAGAATTGGTACAGCTAGAAGTGTTTCTTGGAATTACTTTTAGGTCAAAAAGTAAAATGCTGAGGTTACTATTACTATAAATAGAAAATTGGTTTCCGCCCAATATTATAACTTGAGTTCTTTTGGACCAATCAAACTTTACACATTCACTGCTTTCTTAAACGTTAGATCAAGGTTACATGCATCAAAAATTCATTTTGACGCAATGACTTGTCTCAAGTTCTCCTGAACTGATCAATCTCAAAAATCACAAAACAATCTCTGGACAATCAACTGATCAAAGGAATAAGTAACATCCAGCAATGCCTTGTTTCAATTAAAAGAAATCACTAAACTAAAGTTTCACAATAGAATATTTTCCTAGACCAGTTTAGAATTGTTATAAAAAGATTTAAATTCACAATTTGTTTTTCAGGTGTTATTTGAGGAGCTAAAACTTGATAAGAAATTACAAGGATCAAAGAAACTGGCTAAAACAAACACTGGACATCAAATATCTACATCAGAGACTGTTTTGAACCAATTGGTTGGCACACATTGCCTTCCAGCCATTATATTGGAGTATCGTCAGGTATTGTTATTCAAATTGTTGGTGAGCTGGTACAGAATTACAGACTGCATGAGACAGTGAGTGCAGAATATGAATGTTTTGAAATACTTCATTGTGTCACTAATGATGTATCTTGAGCCTCTGAGGGAAATTTGATGTGTCAGAGTGATATGAATGCCAGTAACCACAGAGGGAGAATTTGGAACTTTTTATTGGTGTTACTGGTTTTGTTCAGGGATGTATTCATGACGTTTGAAATAAAATTGAAGTCATGCTTGCAGAATCAATGGTGAAGAATCTGCCTGTAGAATTGTGTTTTTGAATTCTCACTAATATCATGCAAGGCTCTCCAATATTGTTCTTACAGTTTTGGTTCATGGCTTTAAAAAAAACACTTCATTGACCATTACCAAATCAGAACCTGATCTCCGTATTATTATACAACAATACAGGATACAATTGAAATATTGAATACAATTGAGACAGACTGCCCCAAAAATCAAACAAAGACTGAAGGGGAACTTAATTGTTCTCAACTTCGTGACACAAAATACATGTACTTCATATTGTATATAATCCCTAATCTAATTGAAATATAAGAGCATTTTTTAAAATTGATATTTCAGTTAAGGTAAATTTTTGTGTAACAGGTGCAGAAGCTGAAATCTACCTATATAGATGGGATGATGTCATGTGTTCAGGAAGGGTACATATCAACTCACTGGAATCAGACATCAGCAGCCACAGGCCGTCTTTCTTCCTATCAACCCAACATACAGGCCATCCCTAAAACTTCCTCTCTGATATCCGACTATACTGACAACTACATAGTAGGTAGGTGTTGCTTAACACTCATTTCAGAAATGGGTTAAGAATCTGATAACAACACATCAGAAGCCATGTTATGGAAGTGGACACATTTCATCAATTCTGTATGTGAATATTTTCATTTTCTAAATATTGATTATCTCTTTCACAACAAATCGTGAATTTTGCAGGAAAGGAGAGTGGTGACACAGTGGAGATATTTGCTCGGGATTCCTTTGTCAGTCATGACGACTGGTCTTTCCTTTCAGCAGGTCAGTGATTACAAAATCCAGGAATCCATGATGGCTTGCTCTTCCTTTCAGTGAGTCAGTAATTACAATTCTAGGATTCCTACACCAGAAATAATGGTTGGGCCTTCCTTGCAGCAGGTTAATAATTACAAAGTCTAGGGTCCTTTCATCAGCAAGTCAGTAATCACAAAGTCCAGGATTCCTTCTTTTTAGTAATTACAAAATACAGGACATTTTTATCATCCATGATAGCTCGCCCATCCTCTCAACAGGTCAGTAATTAAATTACAGGACTTCTTCATCAGTTATGATGGCTCATTCATCCTCTCCACAGGTCTGTAATTAAATTACAGGACTTCTTCATCAGCTATGATAGCTCATCCATCCTCTCAGCAGGTCAATAATTAAATTACAGGACTTCTTCATCAGTTATGATAGCTCCTCCATCCTCTGAGCAGGTCAGTAATTAAATTACAGGACTTCTTCATCAGCCATGATAGCTCATCCATCCTCTCAGCAGGTCAGTAATTAATTTACAGGACTTCTTCATCAGTCATGATAGTAGATCTTTCCTTCTCAACAGGTCAGTAAATAAATTACATGACTTCTTCATCAGTCATGATGGCAGATCTTTCCTTCTCAGCAGGTCAGTAATTAAATTACAGGACTTCTTCATCAGTTATGATAGCTCATCCATCCTCTGAGCAGGTCAGTAATTAAATTACAGGACTTCTTCATCAGCCATGATACCTCATCCATCCTCTGAGCAGGTCAGTAATTAAATTACAGGACTTTTTCATCAGTCATGATAGTAGATCTTTCCTTCTCAACAGGTCAGTAATTAAATTACAGGACTTCTTCATCAGTTATGATAGCTCATCCATCCTCTCATTAGGTCAGTAATTAAATTACAGGACTTCTTCACCAGTCATGATGGCAGATCTTTCCTTCTCAACAGGTCAGTAATTAAATTACAGGACTTCTTCATCAGTCATGATGGTAGATCTTTCCTTCTCAGCAGGTCAGTAATTAAATTACAGGACTTCTTCATCAGTCATGATGGTAGATCTTTCCTTCTCAGCAGGTCAGTAATTAAATAACAGGACTTCTTCATCAGTTATGATAGCTCATCCATCCTCTCATTTGGTCAGTAATTAATTTACAGGACTTCTTCATCAGTCATGATGGTAGATCTTTCCTTCTCAGCAGGTCAGTAATTAAATTACAGGACTTCTTCATCAGTCATGATGGTAGATCTTTCCTTCTCAGCAGGTCAGTAATTAAATTACAGGACTTCTTCATCAGTCATGATGGTAGATCTTTCCTTCTCAGCAGGTCAGTAATTAAATTACAGGACTTCTTCATCAGTCATGATGGTAGATCTTTCCTTCTCAGCAGGTCAGTAATTAAATAACAGGACTTCTTCATCAGTTATGATAGCTCATCCATCCTCTCATTTGGTCAGTAATTAAATTACAGGACTTCTTCATCAGTCATGATGGTAGATCTTTCCTTCTCAGCAGGTCAGTAATTAAATTACAGGACTTCTTCATCAGTCATGATGGTAGATCTTTCCTTCTCAGCAGGTCAGTAATTAAATTACAGGACTTCTTCATCAGTTATGATAGCTCATCCATCTTCTCAGCAGGTCAGTAATTAAATTACAGGACTTCTTCATCAGTCATGATGGTAGATCTTTCCTTCTCAGCAGGTCAGTAATTGCAAAGTTCCTTCATTAGCCATGTACACTAATAGTAATAAAAAATGTATACTTGATTTGATAAAAAAAATCAACTTAATATGATTTTTAAATGTAATTTGATCAGATATAGAATGTAACTTGATCTAATATAGAAATCTACTTTTGTTGTCATATAGAAATGTACACTTATTGTCCTAAAGAAATGTAACTTGATCTGATATAGAAATGTACACTTATTGTCCTAAAGAAATGTAACTTGATCTGATATAGAAATGTACACTTTATGTCCTAAAGAAATGTAACTTGATCTGATATAGAAATGTACACTTATTGTCCTAAAGAAATGTAACTTGATCTGATATAGAAATGTACACTTTATGTCCTAAAGAAATGTAACTTGATCTGATATAGAAATGTACACGTTATGTCCTATGGAAATGTAATTTTTTGTGATATTTCATACACTTTATGTGATATAGAAATGTACACTTATTGTCCTAAAGAAATGTAACTTGATCTGATATAGAAATGTACACTTATTGTCCTAAAGAAATGTAACTTGATCTGATATAGAAATGTACACTTATTGTCCTAAAGAAATGTAACTTGATCTGATATAGAAATGTACACGTTATGTCCTATGGAAATGTAATTTTTTGTGATATTTCATACACTTTATGTGATATAGAAATGTACACTTATTGTCCTAAAGAAATGTAACTTGATCTGATATAGAAATGTACACTTATTGTCCTAAAGAAATGTAACTTGATCTGATATAGAAATGTACACTTTATGTCCTAAAGAAATGTAACTTGATCTGATATAGAAATGTACACGTTATGTCCTATGGAAATGTAATTTTTTGTGATATTTCATACACTTTATGTGATATAGAAATGTACACTTATTGTCCTAAAGAAATGTAACTTGATCTGATATAGAAATGTACACTTATTGTCCTAAAGAAATGTAACTTGATCTGATATAGAAATGTACACTTTATGTCCTAAAGAAATGTAACTTGATCTGATATAGAAATGTACACTTATTGTCCTAAAGAAATGTAACTTGATCTGATATAGAAATGTACACTTTATGTCCTAAAGAAATGTAACTTGATCTGATATAGAAATGTACACTTATTGTCCTAAAGAAATGTAACACTGATATAGAAATGTACACTTTATGTCCTAAAGAAATGTAACTTGATCTGATATAGAAATGTACACTTATTGTCCTAAAGAAATGTAACTTGATCTGATATAGAAATGTACACTTATTGTCCTAAAGAAATGTAACTTGATCTGATATAGAAATGTACACGTTATGTCCTATGGAAATGTAATTTTTTGTGATATTTCATACACTTTATGTGATATAGAAATGTACACTTATTGTCCTAAAGAAATGTAACTTGATCTGATATAGAAATGTACACTTATTGTCCTAAAGAAATGTAACTTGATCTGATATAGAAATGTACACTTTATGTCCTAAAGAAATGTAACTTGATCTGATATAGAAATGTACACTTATTGTTAAAGAAATGTCCTGATATAGAAATGAAATGTAAAGAAATTTTTTGATATAGAAATGTATATGTCCTATGGAAATGTAATTTTTTGTGATATTTCATACACTTTATGTGATATAGAAATGTACACTTATTGTCCTAAAGAAATGTAACTTAATCTGATATAGAAATGTACACTTATTGTCCTAAAGAAATGTAACTTGATCTGATATAGAAATGTACACTTTATGTCCTAAAGAAATGTAACTTGATCTGATATAGAAATGTACACTTATTGTCCTAAAGAAATGTAACTTGATCTGATATAGAAATGTACACTTTATGTCCTAAAGAAATGTAACTTGATCTGATATAGAAATGTACACGTTATGTCCTATGGAAATGTAATTTTTTGTGATATTTCATACACTTTATGTGATATAGAAATGTACACTTATTGTCCTAAAGAAATGTAACTTGATCTGATATAGAAATGTACACTTATTGTCCTAAAGAAATGTAACTTGATCTGATATAGAAATGTACACTTATTGTCCTAAAGAAATGTAACTTGATCTGATATAGAAATGTAACTTTGTCTGATATAGAAATGTAACTTGATCTGATATAGAAATGTAACTTTGTCTGATAAAAAAATGTAACCAGGCCCCACTTGTATAAAACATCTCAATTTGAGATTTCCTCAAGTCGAGATTTTCCTCAGCTGATATCTCCTCAAAAACGGCTTGTATAAGATTTTCTCAAGGAACAGGAGGAAGGCATCGGCTAGGATGTCCTGAAATTCCTTGAGGAATTTTCATACAAGATATTTTCAGGGAGATATTAGCTGAGGAAAATCTGGGCTTGAGGAAATCTGAAATTGAGATGTTTTATACAAGTGGGGCCTGATCTGATAAAAAAATGTAACTTGATTTGATATTGAAATTTTAAATTTTCTGGTGTACATGTATGAAGAATATCAAGCATTTTCACTGAAACTGCAGAGTTATTTATTTCAAGTTTGCTTTTACAGATTTTCAGCAGATCGAATTACGTCTTCTAGCTCATTTAGCAGATGACCCCAATTTGTTGAAAATATTCACAGATTCCGAATCTGGAAACAAAGACATCTTTGTAGAGCTTACATCACAATGGTAAATTATTTTGCATGTGTGGTGAATAATGCAATTTATCTAGATTACACTTAATGAACATGTTTTAGATGTAGACCATAATTTGATTTTTTTCTTTTAATTCATTAAATGTTAAGGTAAATCCTTCATTGACTGCAGTTTATGTATCAGTGTATCACCACATCAAAGCGGTGATTACATTATTGTGGTTATAGTTTAAGTCAAAGATCAAAGGTCACCTTTCATTACTTTTGAAATAAAAGCTTGTGTGCAAATTATGGGCAAATTTAAATCATAATCACAACATAGTGTCACTGTAACCAAATTGACTCCTGATTTGATTTTAGTGGTCATCAGTCAAGGTAAAAGATCAAATGTAATCCTTTACCCCTTTTGAAATAGAAAGCTTCTGTACAAGAATTCTCATGAACACATAACTGTTTTAGCTCATATTCACAACACACCATCACACTACCATGTTCTATACCAGATAAGATAATGATGGTCCTGATTCAAGGGTAAAGGTCATAGTTGACAACTATTGGGTAGGTGGTTTGAACACAGTGGTAACACACTCACCTTTCACCTTAGTCATCAAGAGTTATATTCCCCAAATGAACATGAAAAGGTATAGCCTCGGGGTTTTGCATGGGAACTGACACAGTAAGACCTCTCCTTGCTGTTATCTGAGCCAACAAGACTGATTAAATATAAGCTTATAGCTTGCTGTGCAAATGCTTTAAGATAAATAAAACTTATTTTACGACAGTTCTTGTTATTTCTAGTCTTACCTTCCACAACTTTCATCGATATCCAAGGCTGAGCTGGTAGCTGAATTGGTTATAAGCATTGGCCTAGAGTTTGGAGGTTTATGGTTTGAGACCTGGTGTTGTCTTTCCATTTTCTTTTACCTGTTTTCATGTTGTTGTAATATTGAATTGCTTCCCTTTACATATCAGGTTGTGTAAGCCTGTTAACCTTGTGACGACACAGGAAAGAGAGCAGACAAAGAGAGTGGTCTACTCAGTCATGTATGGTGCAGGTAAGTATACAGCATTATCTGTCATAAAGTCTGTCATAGAGTTAGAAATTGCATCACATAAAATTGATATTTTTTTCTTTTCTAACACTGTCAAGTTTGGATGGGATTACATATTACACATTTCATATAATTTGATGGGCTAATGCCAATATTAGTAAACGTTGTATTAACATAATCATCATTATAGGAAAGGAACGGCTTGCAGAGTACCTAAAGATGTCTCCCCATGATGCTAAATCTATCATAGATAGCTTTTTGAGTAAGTTTGATCTTGTTTTTCATTCATTTAAACGTCCCAGTTGTATTATGTTTGTACCTACATCACTAAAACACTTGCAATGTTTCCATTTGTTTGTCTGTTTATCTTTGTATTCTATACCTAAAACAAAAACTACATGAGAATATGAAAGTATTGATAATGAAGATGTTCATTCCTTGAAAGTTTTATTTAAAAGAAGTTACTTTTGTTTCAGTTAAGTTTCCTGCTATTTGCCAGTTCTCAAAGAAATGTGTGGATTTTTGTCAGAAAAATGGTAAGCTCAATTTCTTCACAAGCTCAAATTCTTCACAATTTTATTTCCCTTCCACCTTTTTCATTTTGAGAAATTTCTAAGCTAGAATACATGAAAGGATTTTAAACACAGCAAAAACACTAGCTATTCTGACAAAACTAAATGCTCATACTTCTCACTAACCTGGCCTGAAGAGCCAAAAATGCCTTGTGAGCATATGTGGTGTTGCAGCATCATCATCTGTCAATCATGCATAAGCTTTTTCTATTAACTATCACATTTGAATTGTTTGAAGGCTTTGTGTAATGAATTTTGTACTACAGTATTATGCTTAGATCAACAGATATTAAGAGTGTCTAAATTAAGGACTAAAGTAATTTTTTTAAGGTGTGTAATCATGATAGCATGCTAGTCTAGACTATCAAATCAAATCTTATTAAGATACAAGAAATTTCTGAAAGATCTTAACACCTGCCGTTAATATTTTTCATATTTGTTCTTATAAAGACTACCCGTACCTTTATAACTATTTCCTATTTTTTCCTCCAAATTTTTTGCAGCATGTTCAAGTACAAAGTAGCAATTGAAGCAAGTGGTAACTAAATAATTACTGCAAATTGTTTAATAACGTTCCTCGACTTTCTTTCCTCTTTTTCCTTTTTCATGAAATTGTTTCTTTATGAATACAAGGTTCTCCTTTCCTTTGATATTTTTTCACAGGCTTTACAACAACAATTTTCAAACGGCGACGACTTTTTCCAAACATCAAATCTTCATCACCAGTACTACGAGCACAGGCAGAGAGGCAAGCTGTCAACTTCTGTGTTCAAGGTTATTCTATAACTTCTCCAGTTTCCATTTTTAATACAATAGGATGGACCAGAGACCTACCGGGTAATAGTATGTAGCATGTAGGTTGGTCTCAGGATGGCCGCAATTTCACTTTTGGTCCCATTATATGACTTCATGATTTTCACAACATATACCAGGTACTGCACATACAAGCATAAATACTGTATTAGACAGTATCTGCCTGTTAAACTTTACAAGTATATCAAGGATTAATTACTCTTATTAAGTAGGTACAATGTAAAATAACATGTATCGTCAATAAACATTTCTAGACTCAAACGTTCAATAAATGTTTGTAAACACAGAAAATTTTGAATACAAGATATTTGTTATATATAATACTTTATGTAACAGAGGTCATTTTCCATCTCAATGCCTCCGATAGGAATCGAACCCGTGGCCCCTGGCTTACTAGTCTGACGCTCAACCAATCAAGCTAAAGAGAAGTTCTCTCTAGCCGAGTGGTATATTGCAGCTAGTATTTTACCAGGGATAACAATGTTTTCATATACCAGGTACATGTTACATGCTGATTTAGATAACAATTTCGTACTAAATTTTGTCAAGTGTAGTAACTAATAAAAAAGATACAAATTGTGGCCAAAATCATGAAGAGATCATCAATTTGCCGTTTGTATCTGGCCAAACCATGGAAGTAAGGAACAGATGTTGAATTTGCTCTTTAGAAGCTGGAAAAAACAATGAGATTAAGATCATTGTTTAATTGCCCAAACACACTTTCAGGTAACAATTGGGACAGACCTGTAATTAATTAATACAGGCTTAATCGAGGATCATAAAAAAGCAAAATACAATGCATGTTCAAATAAGTCCATCCTTATATCAAAAACCAGCAACCTAGGTCCAACTGGTCTGGCATTTTTTTGTTGACTTCATATTTGCACTGTATACATAAAATATGCTGTACAAATATAGGTTCAGCTGCAGACTTGTGTAAAGCAGCCATGATACAAGTGGAGCACACTCTACAGAGTCATTCCCATCTAAATGCCAAGTAAGAATTGTCATAAAATGTTTTTAAATTCAGTAAAACCTTTTTCATATTTGGTATGGAAAATCTCTTTTTATCAGTGGTTATTGTATCTTAAAGGTTTCAGCCATAAGCTCCATAACATCAAGAGGGTAGAACAATTTTTAGATAACTTGTCAATGACAAATTGATTCAATTCAAGAGGTTGCAAACATTCATTTTTCCTACCTGGTAATTAGAACAGTGTGAGGATTTTCCAGTGAGTAGTGTATAAGATGTGTCCAATCTATAATGTTAATGCTAGTCATGTGATTGTAAATTGTAATGAAGTCTAAAGAAAAGACAACTAACCTTTTTTTCCATCAAGACTGGTGGTCCAGATTCACGACGAACTTCTGCTAGAAGTATCAGATGAGGATTTGAATGCCGTTAGAAGTAAGTAGTTTAGGGTTGGACTATAGGAAATCTTCTAGGATCTATCTGGGATATATCTTAACTTGATCTTTGGTATTTCCATTTCCAGAAATGGTCATTGGTTCTGTCATACAGATGCCACTTCAGCTTGATAGCATTAAAGTATATGTACTTTTTTCAGATAAAGGGCTTGTTTCGAATTGTACTTTTCATGTGCCAAGGCCAACTCTCCAGGCCATTATTACAGTAAATAGGAAATTGGTCCACACAAAATACTTGTATTGAGTACTATTTGTGATTATAACATTTCAAAATAGATATGGAAGATGCAATGTGTACAGTATATGAACAATGACTGTTAATGCATTTAAGACATATTACTTATATTCAGCTCCAATAGTTTTGATACTTTAGTTATACCAATAATACCAATTATAAAAGAATTATTTCCTGGATATCAATAAGGATCCTTACTTCATAATATAGAGGTTCAGATTTTGGTTTTTATATACATGTTATATTCAACCTATATTCAGGCAACACTTAAGTTTGTGCCAAACCCCTAAGCTTTTTAGTATCCTTCAAAGAGAACAAGGGATCATATGCTTTGATGATTTTCAATACTCAGCAAAATCTTAAGTACTGACACAACTTAACATTGTATTGTTGACATTTTTTCTAGGCCTGGTACAATCTGTGATGGAGGATGAAGCGTCACTTTGTGGTAAAATGGTGTCGCTTAAAGTTCCTATCAAAGTTTCTTTGAGTGCTGGGAAGACCTGGGGACATTTGACACCACTTGATTCAGGAAAAGTTACATGAAATGCTGGGACAGGAAATTATTGTTTACTTCTGTGGAACAGACACAATAATGTTATAGTGGTGAAACAAAGAAGCCCTTAAACAATTCTTAAAAAGCAAAAGAAGTGTCATTAATACTGTTAATGGGATAAATTAGGCCTCTAAATAATCTCTTTTGGAAAAGGGAGGCTTGCCAATAATTATAAAAGAGAAAGAACATTTCTAACAATTCTGATAAATCATACATATGTAGACTTGAAATAATGGGATGAACTGTGAAAGAACAAGAGAACAGTTGGTAATAAAACTGGGGTCTTGTTTATAATATACAATACTGGTTGTGAAATTGAGACCGTCACAGTACTTTTAAGATTAAAAAATATAATGAGATTGCTGCATTTATTACTGTCAATTCACTGTTGCCATATTTTTACATGCTATTACAAGTATATCGAGATGTTTTTGATAAAATCATCTAGTAAATATCACAGTTGTACAGATTATGTTTTGTTGTCACATTGGAAACATTTAACAACTGACAAATATCCAAGATGATGTTTCAAGAATGACAAGGAAAATAATTTTTCATCATTATCTGCTAACAATTTTCAATAATGTGATCAAAATGTGAGAAAATGCACTACTAGGGACCAAGGAGAATCTACATCAGAAATTTGAGAAGATCCATCAGTACTTTTTAAGAATTAGCAATAACGACCTTTCATTGTCAAAACAGGCACAGCTAGGGACCAAGGAATCCTGACATATGGAACTTGAAAAGATCCATCAAATACTTCTTCTGAAATAGTTGTAATAACCTAATATTGTCAAAATCCAAGATGACCACCTTTCAGCCATGTTGCTTTTAGGATCAGTCTGAAAATGGTACAATGCACAACTAGGACCAAGATAAACCTACACATGAAATTTTGCAAGATACATTCCCAAGAAATATAATAACAAAAATTGTTTCAGGACGGACAAATGAATGATGGACCTCAGCTAAATATGATTTTTTTTCACTTAAGACGTCAGAGACAGGCTTGAATGAATAACAAGAGATCCCAGAGGGATCTTGGCGCCCACCATTTGAGGATCTGTTTTCAGTTCTTGAAGATTTTTTTTTGTTTGTTACAGGTGTTGTAAATGTTCATGAACTGGTCTTCATTGAATGTACTCAATGATGGCACAAGATATTTTTACTAAGCACCTATTAGCAAATATCATTTGAAAAAGATCCCAAAGTATTATTAGATAGCAGTCAGTTACAGGTGGATAATGGACAATATGCTTGTGCTGTATTACTGTCGACATCCAAAATGGCTGCCTGTGGGCCACCTTGATTTCAAATCAGTCCAAAAAAGGTACAATGCACAACTAGGGACCAAGGGAAACCAATATCTATGAAATATCAGAAGGATCCATCCTGGACTTCCTCAGATATAGCAGTAACAAGATTTTACTCTCAAAATCCAAGATGGCTGCCTGTCAGCCATCTTGATTTCGGATCAGTCCAAAAAGGTATAATGCACAACTTGGAACCAAAGGGAACCTGCATATGAAATTTGAGAAAGATCCATCCAGTACTTTCCAAGAAATAGCAGTAACAAACTTTTACATTCAAAATCCAAGATGGCCACCTGTCTGCCATCTTGAATTCGAATCAGTCCAAAAAAGGTACAATGCACAACTAGGGACCAAGGGGAAACTGCATATGAAATTTGAGAAAGATCCATCCAGTACTTTCCAAGAAATAGCAGTAACAAACTTTTACTTCCAAAATCCAAGATGGCTGCCTGTCGGCCATCTTGAATTCGAATCAGTCCAAAAAAGGTACAATGCACAACTAGGGACCAAGGGGAACCTGCATATGAAATTTGAGAAAGAGCCATCCAGTACTTTCCAAGAAATAGCGGTAACAAACTTTTACATCCAAAATCCAAGATGGCCACCTGTCGGCCATCTTGAATTCGAATCAGTCCAAAAAAGGTACAATGCACAACTAGGGACCAAGGGGAACCTGCATATGAAATTTGAGGAAGATCCATCTAGTACTTTCTCAGAAATAGCAGTAACAAACTTTTACTTCCAAAATCCAAGATGGCCACCTGTCGGCCATCTTGAATTCGAATCAGTCCAAAAAAGGTACAATGCACAACTAGGGACCAAGGGGAAACTGCATATGAAATTTGAGAAAGATCCATCCAGCACTTTTCCAGTAATAGCGGTAACAAACTTTTACTTCCAAAATTCAAGATGGCCACCTGTCGGCCATCTTGAATGCGAATCAGTTCAAAAAAGGTACAATGCACAACTAGGGACCAAGGGGAACCTGCATATGAAATTTGAGAAAGATCCATCCAGTACTTTTCCAGAAATAGCGGTAACAAGAATTGTTTACGGACGGACGGACGGACCACGGATGCAGGGTGATTTGAATAACCCACCATCTATTTGAATAGATGGTGGGCTAAAAAAAAGCCCTCAAATTGGGCTGGATAGCTAGGAGAGCAGTCTAACATTTCACTAAAGAAGATACAATAGCATAAATATTACAAAAAAAATTTATTGAAATCAAACAGTTGCCTTATATTCCAATAAAAATTGTACATGTATATACTGATTATTTTTCGTTAAAAAATGAAGCCACAATCAGACCAAACGTTAAGTAACAGCTTTAGAAATGTAATGTCAGAAAATAATAAAAATCTTGAGGAAACATCATACATCCATAACATACATTCATATATGGTAAAACACCTTGGATTTCTTCAATGTCTAAATAAAGCCTAAAATCATCTGATGGTAGTATATATAATTCTTTCACGACACTTTTCAATTTTGAATCTTTAAGTTCAAGTATAAAACTCATGTTCACTTAAAAATCAAAGCATCAGATAATAGCAAGTTCTTTGGTCCCACATATTTCTGTTAAGTTTATACTTTATTGTTATATATTTACAAACCACCAACACTATATATCAATTGTAATGAAATTATAGGTTACCATCTCCTACCTGTGAATGGAAAGTGCAGAAAATTTAAATTGAATAAGAAATGAGAAAAAAAAAGAAAAGTTGCCTAATATATAAGCAGTAAATTAATTTAAGTAAAGATGAATTTCCTTTAGTCCAGCTTCCAATCATAAACCAATGAATGCCAACAGAAAGCATTTTAATGCTTAAATATATAAAATCTTTGTTATGTTGATTTCTTTTATTTGAAGAGTGTACAAAATGATGTCCAGAAATAGTATGGAATGTACATGTAATGTCCATTTTATGTTTTCACAATGCTGCAGACATCAAGGACACAGAAAGTGGCCCGGCAAGTAGGACAGGGTGATTTACTGCTAAGCCAGGTCTCTGGATGTTGCTGATCCTGTCGACTTGCAAACCACTTGCCGAGGCATTCAAGGCACCACATAGGGCGACAGAAACACTGGACACAGTCTCCTTGAGTGGCATTGTCACATAGTTTCACTAGTTTTACATCTGCTTGCTTCTGCATACATCCAATACAAGTCTCTATTTCCTGAAAACACCATAAACAATCATCTGAGATCACTTTACACCCAATATTGTTATCCATATCTCCTGAAAACCCCACAAAAAAAAATCTGAGATTTTCTTTCACCCAATACAAGTCCCTATTTTCTAAAAACTACCCCCCTATTCCTGGCAAAGATGAAAAAGTGGTGTGTGGGGGGGGGCTTATTTGCGGGAGGGGGCTTATTTGCGGTGAAATACGGTACATAAATAATCATGTGAGATCAATGTTCGTCCAATACAGGTGTTTATCTCCTAAAAACATCACAAATAATCATGTCTCTATTTTGAGCTTTTAAATAGATAGAATGAAGTATGATGCTTATCAATGTTTTTTTAATTACTTTACATTTCTACGCCACTTGATAAAGACTTTCCTGAAAATAAAATATAATAGATAACAAAATGAAAAAACTTATTTCCAGTTTCCAGGTCTGTTTCTGTTTATTTATCCATTTGTTTCGTTTTCAGTCCACAGTAAGATACCACTACAGAGTAGTTTTCCACTATTTTCTAAGGACAGAATATACAAAATTCCAACTCCCCTTTAAAAAAGTACATGTACTGTGAAAATAAAATATCTTAAGAAAGTTGTGATATGTTCCATAATGTCCATGAAAAAATTTACACATATTCTTTTTGCAATAAACTTTAAGTTAACCTGTAAACCATTAACAAAACACTTGTACAGTAATACAATCATCAGTGATGTTTGGAATCAGTTCAAAATTGACCATCAATTACTATTATCACTAATTCTCAAACAGCTGATCAATTAGGGTAAAATGACAAATTATCAAATTAAATAAACAACAGAACACTTATTCTATGGCTGACACTGCCTTACCAAACTAGGAGGTGGACGGAAATCCACATTTTCTTTGATCTGATCTTTAAATGCATCCAAGAACTTGTCACTCAAAGACTGTTGTATCACAACATTTCTTGCATTCCGTACCGGAGCCTGTAACTTGTCCTTCAAGTCACGGTATTCCATGGAATTTAACCTGAAATTGCACATCAAATTCGTAATTATAACCATAATTTTTTTACATGACAAGTAGCAGTGTACAATGTTGGTGGTAAAATAATGTTCATTATGCATGAAAACTCTGAACAAAAAAGTAGAAGAATCTGACACAGCAATGAGATATTAACTTGGTTAGAAAAAACTTTCAGGAAATCATTCTTTATGAAGAGTCCATAGTCAAATAAGAATTAACATTTAATGAAGACAACTTGGTTTGAAGTAGGTATATGATATATGTGAATTCAGGTAATTATAACTACATTGGGGTTTTATAATGAATTTGAACAAGTATAACTGTAATTGATCACTTGTAAAAAAATGTTTCAATAGATATAACTGGAATTAATAGAGGCAGCAGTGCAATTTATAATTACCAACCTGTGGAAACAGGAGTCAAACATACTTACCTAATGGTAAAACGTTTTATTTTTGGATTCACACTTGACACTGAAAAATTTATATACTGCACACTTGACATGTTTTCATATGAAAGTGAATGTTCTTCAGAATTACACAGTGTCAGGTGGATGTCATTTTGATGAGCAATATTAAGGGAATAAGCCCCTGTTTTAATCACCCAAGAATCTGTAACAATAACTCGCTGACCATGGGGTCCTGTGGTAAATTTATCAAAACGACGAAACTCAATATTTATTGATGCTGCTACTGTTCTCCATGATTCACCATTCCCCTGTAGGTACCCTAGCTGTTTTGATATCGGGTGATTATTCCATTTCTGCCTTGACCAGTAAAAAGCCATGAGCAATGCCAGCAGAATAATGGCAACACTGACAGCTAAATATGTCCTCCAAAAATATGATAACCTCCAAATGTTAAATAAGTCTTTTTCAGGGGAAAACAATCCAGAACCGATATAGTAGCCTGCAAGTAACAAGTGCATGTATTAAACAGAACTGTTCCATGAATATGCTTTCATAGTAAAACTTGTTTATCTAACATGACATTAGTACTGATAATTAATATTTGCCTACAGTAATTTAATAAAAATTAGTAAAGAATGTCAAGAAATCACTGAAAGTATTTAGCATTTTTGGTTTTCACATAAACCAAACTGCGATAGCCATTGGTCCCTGGATCCCGGAGCCGTCTGCTAAGACAAGCATAATCAAACGTTCACCGCTTCAGACGGTTCCATCCCACTGAGGGGGATGCTGGTCATCCCCTCACGTCGCCAGAACATTGATATTAGTCGATGAGACGATACTCGGACACGGTAGGAGTCACGGAAACGGAAAACCTGTCAATCAATCAATCATTTATTATGTCAAGATGAAGCAAATAGAAATTCCAAAAGTCTTACCTAAAGGGAAAAATGAGTGGATCACGACTGTTACCGTGGTACGTTTAATATGATAATACATAAAATGCATGTCCTCGCTACCGAGGTAATTTGAGAGCATATTCTGGATGGTGATCCCTGCAGACACAAATTCTGTTGGCGGAGACATCAAACAGAATGAGAAAAATGCGTAAAAAATTGTGAAGAGGACGTCAAGTGTCGCCTGTGCCATATTTTTCCTTGTGACGATCGTTTCAATCACGATTAATCGGCTGTTTTTCTATCCCTTAGGAAATTTATAATGACTCGACATTGCTTTCGTGTTATTATTTTTCGTTTTGACGCTTCCTGTGAATGCTTATGGCGAAATGTAAATCAACCCTTTAAGGAAACGTTTTAGTAACTTAGCTTTCGTGTCGTTCGATTCTTTCTAGTTTTTACATCAAGTATTAGGAAAACCGAAAGTAGGGTTCCAAATTACAAAATGGCAGCCTTCATGACAAGCAACGTGGAAATTCGGCAAATTGACTTAAGTAAGGTATGTGGTTACTCTTGATACCTCGATAAAGCAAAAGATATGTAATGATTTACAATAATATCGAATGACAATACAATCAGCAGTAGGCGTGTCTCTTAACAAGTGAGACTGTTTTATATTGAGATGAACGAGATCTATATACGTATCAATGTAGCTGTAGTAATGGATAAATACAAAATACCTGATCAGTTCAGTTTTACACTATGCAAAATGGCTTTACAAAGGTTCGCCATTTCGTTTGTTTTTTAATAAAAACAGAACTGGAGTTATTCTGTATTACTGGTTCTTGATATAGTGTTTATAAATTTTGTTGATCATGATTAAAGCTGCCCATTAAAATTGAACTTCACAAAATCTAGCGTGTTAATAATTAAGCCCATCCTAATACTCTGCTGTTCAGTAAAAATCATGAACCTGGCTTTAAAGTGACCAAAACAAATGTCGTACACCTGAACTGCTAGAGTGTTTATATGTAAAAGGAGCGGGTCAGTGTGGCTTGTACATAGTGTTAAATACGGTCTCTGTCACTCAGCTGACGGAGCATGCTTCTTTGGCTCAGTTGGTAGAGCACTGGCTTATCATGCCGGAGACCCGGGTTCGATTCCTGGTCGGGGCACTCGACAGGAATGTGTATTTTCCCTGTTCTTCTTCATTGGCGCCCAACTACAAAACCCACGGTGGTGGTTGAAGAGTCTCGGGTTGAGATTTAGGAGAAAGCTCAAGTAAAAGGGGGGAGTAGTGTAAAAGGAGCAGGTCGGTGTGGCTTGTACATAGTGTTAAATACGGTCTTTGTCAGCTGACGGAGCATGCTTCTTTGGCTCAGTTGGTAGAGCACTGGCTTATCACGCCGGAAACCCGGCACTAGACAGGAATGTGTATTTTTCCTGTTCTTCTACATATATACTTCTACTTTGTGTGACCTGTGACACTATTTCAGTGTGATGGCATCAACTAATTTGGGCATTATCTTAATGACTCCAGCTTTTGCTACATGTATAATAACTTTATACACTAGCACAAAATCACAGCTATGAATAATAAATAACAATAAGTAAAGTGTGAAGCATATATTTCTTATTACCAGATTGTTGTTCTCTTCCATTAGCTATATAGCTTATTAAACAAGTGATAGTATGATTTACATCGGGGTAGAGGATGCCATTTTAGGGCATTAATTTTTTTTTGTATTTCATACAGCATCAAAAAGTACCAAAAATGAAACAGTTTTGACTGATATCAGTTATGAATAATTCAGTGATTGTATTAGTGTATTTTCATTCATTTTGCAATTGTTTTTAACAGGGAAAAGGCCTATTTGCCACTAAAGATTTCAAGAAAGGGGATGTACTATTTGAAGAAAGGCCCATTGTATCCTCTCAGTTTCTGTGGAATGAATTTTACAACTATACAGCATGTGAATACTGTCTGAAATCTTTAGAAACAGCTGAAACACAGTGTCAGCGATTGACAGAAAACCCAAGTCTATCCCTGCCATTCCCTGAGTGTTGTGAAGCTCAGCCAGCCCAGTATGTCATGTGTCCACAATGCCAGGCAAGTCATTGAAAATTCTAACCCCTATATACTGTTATCAAATTGCTCAGTTAGAAGTCCACCTACTTTTACAATGTGTATTTCTGCTAACAACATAAGGTATATGCTTCTGATTGAGGTGAAGAGCTATCATGAGCTACCTCAATAACATATAGGTATGTACATTTAAATTCACTGTGATCAGGTGAAACAGTTTTTTCAGATGCACAAATCAATCAAAAGATATTATTTGAAATACATGTAAATAATACTTGCATGTTCATATCAAAATTTTGAAGTTGTTAAGATAAAACACTGCACTGGTTGTGTTCTATGAGAGCTGTGTATGTGTCTAACCTTCTTTAACATTTATCCAGGTGGTTTACTGCTGTGATGGATGTCGTACTGCGGCATGGACAGAATATCACAGGACATTATGTATGGGGCCATCAAGACATGATGGACACCACCCTCTTGCACAACTTGGAGAGACATGGAGGTATGTCAAGGTCAAATGCTCACATCACCAGAATCAGTAATCTAACTAATGAGAAACAAACTTGTGTACATTAACATTTTGTGTTGGTGATAAGTGTATAACTGCATCAGTTATAGGTATTAAAGCAGTATATCATATTTCTCATCATAAAATTCTTGGTGTTTGAAGCCATTATGTTGAATAACACCTGATTTTTCATGATATCCAAGGACAACTTTTGAGAATCAATTTCCCCCCCCCCCCACCCCCACCCCTCCCCCCCCTACCCTTTTTTCAATTAGGACCACAGCTTTAGTTTATTTCATGCTATATTGTTCTTTTAGATGTACTGGATTTTGTATGTATGACTATCTGATCAACCTTTTTCCAGAAATATACACTTTCCTCCAGAGACATCTAGCATCATGCTGTTGGCTAAAATGATAGCCATTGTCAAGCAGGTGAGAAAACTTTTTATTGATAGCTTAATATCCATTTGTTAGTGAAGACTTTCAAATAACAATGCTTGTATTCCAAAATGAATGATTGAACAGATGGTATGTTGCATCTCATCTTATCGGTAATATGTTGCTTATTACTTATAATTTCTTATTCACTTCATATTTTTCCAATGTAAATTTTAGAGTGATGATGGGATATCCAAGTTTTCTCAGTTTGTGAACCTACCTGTAAACAAGGAAGAAGAGATAGCACATAAGCTGCTTGGGGAAGACTTCAAGGTGAGATTGTGGTATATTTGATTTCAAAAAGGAAAAATGTTACAAAACATGATTAAACATTTGATCGAAACATTATGCCATCTTTTATACTTTTTTGTCAAAAAAATTCAGATCAAATTACACTTAATTTGTGTAATTAGGCATACAAGCTTGGAAACATGCTCAGAATGTTTTAATTTTGTGTAACAATTTTCACGATTGTTATTTCAACAGTTCCATTCACAACTAAGATAAAAAGAAATAAAAAGAAAAGACTGAACAAGTTTTCAGATGCTGCAGTGCTTAACAAAGAATAGAACTACATATATTTGTTTTTCTTACCAGCAACCACTAGAACTGCTTAGACAGATGGTAACCGAGTGTCTGTTTGAAGAAACTATCCAGCAGGTACGATGTTCTGCACTCTTGATACTCCAGGTGTAACCATCACTTTCACTCTCTGCACCAATAGAACATGTCATGGCAAGACAGAAGGCACAAGTGAAGTAATATGATTGGTTTCAGGAGAAAAAAACTGACCAATCACAGGCTGATATGCTCCTGTTTAAGAGTACGAAGGAGTGATGTCCAACTTCAAAGCCATTACAATATACTGTTATCGACCTCAAGGTTGGTTTGATGTACATCAAAGGATCAAGATAGTCTTTTTGTCTTGTCCACAAGGTGTCTCACATGGAACCCTCAATTTTGTCATGACATGTTCCAGGGTTGCAGAAATTGAATGTGATTGTAACACCTGGAGTATCTAGGATGGATATTCTGGTGTATTCATTGATGGACAGTGTTACTTTTTATTTTATTTCAATAAAGACGGTAGAAGGATTTTGTAATATCATTTTATCTGTACAATGTATATGTAATTTCAAATAATGTTTGTGATTAAATATCTAGTGTGTCTTTGTCCTTATTACTGTACATTTGTCTTTAAAACATATTGTAAATTTTGACATTTTAACAAGCATATCTTCGAGCAATAAGATAACATTAGGGGATTGGAATATTTATACAGTTCTATGATATTAAGTAAACAATACATTAAATAAATAAATTGTGAAAAAATCAAGTGTGAAATTTAGTTTGGTAATAGTTTGCCAGTAGACTGAAAAAAAACTTATTTATTACAGTGGTACACTCCTGAAGGGTTTCGTTCTCTGTTTGCCCTCATTGGAATGAATGGTCAAGGAATAGGTTCCAGGTAAACCAGTATGTCTCTCTAGACAGTTACCACCATTCACTGTCTGTATCAGAGATATGACTTAATTTGTTTAGTAAATCCCATATATCCTTCTGCTTTGTACAAGACTTGGTTCTATCTTTACTTTATTTCCAATAGATGAAATGTGTGAAGTAATTTTTGTAAATTAAAAAAAAAAATTACTGTTTATAATTTATTGTTAGTTTTTCAATATTTTTTTCTTGTTTGGTATTACTCAGATAAACATTCCGTACCAGGAATAATAGTGCTATTTTTCTTATATTACTTACAGTGCAATAAGTGTATGGGTAAAAAACTGTGAGAAACTGCAGTTATCTGATGAGGATAAACAGAGACTTGATGGCTTAATAGACCAGATGTATGAGGATCTTGACCGAGGTTTGTAGTGATATTCATCAGTTTCCATTACATGTAAGATATAGATCATTTTAAGAATTCTTGTTTGTTTGTGCTACTTGTGATGGTAAATAAATTTCAGATGAATGGAAGATAATGCAGTCTTTTTTATCACATGATAATTTTTTGTAGATATTGCAGAAAATATGTCAGTCTTGAAGTTGTATTTGCTCTTATTATCTTTGGAAATTCCCACTAGTTTGAGACAAGAAAGGTGACTCTACACTACTCCTCCTTTTTCAAGTATTTACCACCAAAGACAACCACAGACCAGGTTCTATATTTCCAAAGAATTATCTTACAGTTTCTACCTTTGGAGTGGTCATAACCATCAAATATGTAATGAGAAGGAGTATTGACAAAATGTCCTTCTGCGCTTGGATTTGACCTTTCACTCTTTTTAGCCAGAAATTCTACCACATGACTAAAGAGAATGATCACTAGTTGAGACTAGTACAATGACCTATACTGACAACTTTACAAGAGATTGATTTATTGTAAAGAATGTAATTTGTTTTATAATAAGTAAATGAAGTATACTTCTAGTGAAATTTAGATGCCTACTGAAATGATATTGAAGTGTTGAAGTAAGTGACAGAAGTCTAATTATTGCACTGGAAAATATTTACCAAAGAAAGAAAGAAAGTGACTTTTAGATTCAGGTTTTAGAAGAAAATTGTTGCCTTTGTTTGCAACTTGTCGAAATGACTGATGTAGTCATGAACTGTTTCAGTATCTGGGACGTTTCTGAACTGTGAAGGATCTGGATTATACAGATTACAAAGTGCATGTAAGTATGAACTGTTTCAGTATCTGGGACGTTTCTGAACTGCGAAGGATCTGGATTATACAGGTTACAAAGTGCATGTAAGTATGAACTGTTTCAGTATCTGGGACGTTTCTGAACTGCGAAGGATCTGGACTATACAGGTTACAAAGTGCATGTAAGTATGAACTGTTTCAGTATCTGGGACGTTTCTGAACTGCGAAGGATCTGGACTATACAGGTTACAAAGTGCATGTAAGTATGAACTGTTTCAGTATCTGGGACGTTTCTGAACTGCGAAGGATCTGGACTATACAGGTTACAAAGTGCATGTAAGTATGAACTGTTTCAGTATCTGGGACGTTTCTGAACTGCGAAGGATCTGGACTATACAGGTTACAAAGTGCATGTAAGTATGAACTGTTTCAGTATCTGGGACGTTTCTGAACTGCAAAGGATCTGGACTATACAGGTTACAAAGTGCATGTAAGTATGAACTGTTTCAGTATCTGGGACGTTTCTGAACTGCGAAGGATCTGGACTATACAGGTTACAAAGTGCATGTAAGTATGAACTGTTTCAGTATCTGGGACGTTTCTGAACTGCGAAGGATCTGGACTATACAGGTTACAAAGTGCATGTAAGTATGAACTGTTTCAGTATCTGGGACGTTTCTGAACTGCGAAGGATCTGGACTATACAGGTTACAAAGTGCATGTAAGTATGAACTGTTTCAGTATCTGGGACGTTTCTGAACTGCGAAGGATCTGGACTATACAGGTTACAAAGTGCATGTAAGTATGAACTGTTTCAGTATCTGGGACGTTTCTGAACTGCGAAGGATCTGGACTATACAGGTTACAAAGTGCATGTAAGTATGAACTGTTTCAGTATCTGGGACGTTTCTGAACTGCGAAGGATCTGGATTATACAGGTTACAAAGTGCATGTAAGTATGAACTGTTTCAGTATCTGGGACGTTTCTGAACTGCGAAGGATCTGGACTATACAGATTACAAAGTGCATGTAAGTATGAACTAAATTTTTAGCAAGTAGATAAAGGTTGGAGCATCAACACCAGGGATTCAGTGACTTGGTAGATTTTAATGGTTGACGTGTTTTGGATGGCTTGGTCAATCATTATTAGAACCTTTTTGCGTGTAAATACCTTGGTACCCAAACCAAATTTTGTGATTTAGTTATTTTCATTTTCATTTATTAATTAGATCTTTCATGATAGAAAGAATCACTACTGGTGAGGTAAGAATATACATATCTCAATAAGGCAGAATTCCATTGTAAGTGGCCATGTTTTCCTGTGAAGTTCTCATTTGTGGCCACATTTTCCTGTGAAGCTCTCATTTGTTGAAAGTTCAAACATGGTGAGATTTTTTTATTCATACCATCCTGATCTGAATTACACTATGCAATGATATTTTACACCTGCATGACAATGCCATAATGTAAACTAACCAAAGATATCTTAGATTTGAGAGACTTTAAATGCAATTTAATGCATGCTCATTGTGACATCATTATTGTGGGCATAGAAACGATTGCTGTTCAATGTCAAAATGGATATTCCAGCTGAATTGCATTATAAATATTAATCATTTATCTTCGTTTAAATCAAATGAAAATCATCAGATGACAACAACATATACTAAAGGGATAAAGAACGCAGGGTGACATTATGTGCAATATCCTGCCAAGGCGTTGTTCAATGAAAATCGGTCAAGCAACTGTCTAGGTTACAGTGTACATGGTCCTGTATCGAATGGTGCATTATTGTATTGCATGATGATGTCTTCCGTGAAAGCACGAAATGGGAAAATCTTGTGCACAGCAGCGTTGTGACATTGAGTTACACTGCTTGTTATACCATTAGGTAGTCTGTATAGAGACATATCATTTTCTGATATTTTGATTAATTTCTGATAGCATTAAACAATGGCACGGTTGACGGAAGTTACGAGGGGTCAGGCCATTGCAGTGATAATGCAAGGTCAAAAGCAAATACAGGTTGCCAGACACTTTGGTGTCCATATTTGCACTAAGGAACGCTTTGCTAGACATCTAAGGGAAACTGGGCAAGTTTCTTACAGACCTAGGTCTGGGCGTGACGGCACAACATCAGGACAGGTTTATTCATGTCACACATTTGCGCAATCAGCACTTTATTCCCACTGAATATGCCCTTCATACCATAGGTTCTCATAACCGTCCTATCCATGCAAAAACCGTAAGGAAAGTTGTAGGAAATTGGTCTGCAGGGATGTCATCCATTTGTAGGTTTGCCCTTTACCCCTGCACGTCGCCCGCGTTGTATGGCTTGGGTGGTGGCACATGCCCCCAGAGCATTCCCATTGAGGCAGTGGAGGCAGTAAAACGATACTTTGTTCTTGTGTGGTGATGAGTGGAGATGAAGAAGTCCAAATGCTGTTTGAGTGTTGAAGGTTTATTGAGATGTAGGCTATGGAGAGATGGAACACTCACATGCCTTCAGGAACCGCACAAAATGGCTAGAAAAGTGGTCGTATTTATACTAGCCATGTTAATAAACTTATTAAGTACTATTACACATTAGCTAACAGGTAACCTAGGATTGAGTAATATTTGAGTTATGGACATGGTCTTACACACATAAATCGCAATAGTTAAGGTTACACTGACCTTCATACAAACTGCTTAGATAGGCTTCAGGTAATGACTTATACAATAAGGGAACAAATTAATACATGAACATGTGTAGTAGATCAGCAATGACAGAATACCTCTGGCCACTGGCCAATACATAATTGTTCACAGTAGATGTCAGTAATAAATTAACAAAGGCAGATACATTATGATGAAATACCTGACATATGTCTAGCACAATTTTTAATGATTTAATCTTACATATTAACTTTTAATAGTCCAGCAGGTCTTGTTTACTTATAAATCCCGGTTCATTCCATTTTTAGCAGACCTTTGACATCGTGTAAACCAACGCTTCTTTGACTGTTGCATAGTAGAGTCAGATAGGTTTGGGGTGGATCAGTCATGGTTTTGGGAGGAATCTTTCATAGAGTGAAATCACCACTGGGTGTGGTAGTGGGTAATTTAACTGTCTTAGGTATAGAGATGAGATACTCCGACACCATGTTGTCCCATTATTGCAGCAAAACAACCTCACATTCCAGCAGGATAATGCTTGGCCCATGTAGGGAGGATCTGTTGTGACTTTCTCATTAACAACAAAATCCACCCACTGGACTGACTGCCATACAGCCCCGTCTCATTTCCTTATTGAGCACATGTGGGACTAGACAGATTCGACAACACCAGCCTTCCCCTGTTATTCTTGCCCAACTGAGAGAGGCCTCTTGGAAGAATGGGCCAACATCTCAGTGAGGAGAATAACTCCATGCCTAGGATAACCAAGGCTGTGGAGAGAACGAATGGGGGACATACCTGGTATTGACTAGCCAACTCCCACAATCAGTCCATTTCAATTTCAGATCACAGAGTTCTCTTTCAATTCCCTTCAGTTACTCCTAAATCACTTCCCAGATACATATAATTGATTTTACAGTTTGTTCTGTATGTTTTAATCTTCATTCTTTCTGATTGTACTCGACATCTTGCCTAGAATCATCTCCAAAGTTTTCCCTGCGTTTCTTTATCTCTTGAGTATATATTGAGAATGAGCATTGAACTGTCGTCATGTCTTGACATTTCTGGTCATTATAAATGAAAGAGTTTTGGAGGCAAACATATCATATATGGCAGTAAGATGTTTGCCTACAAAGTTTTGTCATCTATAGCAGCCATGACTGCCATGGCTTGACAGTTCAATGCTTAATCATTTACTTAACAATTTCAATATTCCAGGTAATATAAAAGGGTCTCTGATGCTAATTCTGCTACTGCTGCAATATTGTATTGTACAAGTCTCAACTGAATTCACTTATATATCTTGTTTATCGTTGTGTTTGTTGATATTGTGGGTTTACTAGTATTACTAAGTCAGATGGAATGATAATCAGTCTAAATATTGAAATACATTATACATAGGTATCCTAAAAGTCTGCTATAGATTGGTTTCCAAGGAAATTGTGCAGCTGTTTAATTTACATTGGGTATTCTATAAACAACATTAGTGACAGGATTTCAAGGTAACCATAGCTGTTTAATTAGTGATTGGTTTTCAAAGTGACCATGCACATCTGTCTGTTTAAATTTGTATTCTGTAAATGTCGCTCTTCATGGTTTCTGAGGTGACTGAGCTTCCTATTTACTTTGGTAACCAAGGTAACCACATCTGTTTTACATTGGTATGCTATGAACATCTTTTATATTGGTTTCCAAGGCAACCACAGCTGTCTGCCCAATGCTGAGATTACCTTTCCACATAACAATCACTGCCTGGCATTAGTAGCAACTGAGGACATACAGACAGAAGAGGTTTGTACCATTATCATCATTAAATTTCAGTTATATCAGTAGAAATATTCATTACATTGGAAAATATTACATGTGTTTGCTCATTTATTCAATGGTTTACTGTTTTAAGTTTAAATGAACAGATAATGTTGATTTTAATGTTATCATAAGTAATGAGGTCATAAAGGCGTCTAGTATCTCCTATTTTATAAAATTAATCAAGATAAAAATGTTAAGTTCTTAGTTTACAACAGATGATAGATGATAATCTGGTAAATCTACAAATAATTGTTCTTTTATTAAACAATCTATAAAGATTGTATTTTTCATAAAAACTTACCTTTCATAGCATAACATCTATTTTCAGATAACATATCATTACATGTCATTAGTGTACAGCTTGTATTTAAGTTTTCCATTACTGCACAAGCATTTTCTTTCTTTCGTAGTGATTTTAAAAATCCATTTAATATGTAGAGATTAAGACATATTTTGAATATTATTATTATAGAAATCATTCCTTTGATATGTTGTGTTTGAATTTGTATTACTAATTGTTGTTGTTTTTATCTTCTAATATATTGGTTATGTTGTTTTTAAAGGAAATCTGTATAAGTTACCTCAATGAGTGTAACATTGGTCGTAGCAGACACAGTCGTCAGAAAATTCTCAGGTAGGTCATCTAATGATAAATTGCCAGATTGGTTGTAACTTACCTGTTGTTTGAATATCAGTCTAGTCATTGCAATGATTATTACAATTGTGAAAGATGTTTAAGTATTTCAATGCAAATGTTTGCCTTAGTTAAGAAAATACTTAAAAAAATTAACATCTGTCACTTCAGCTATCTTTCATATTGATTTATATATGAATTTTCCCTTCACGTATTCCTAAATTTCAATCACATGTATATTGTATTCACGAAAGCATTCCTCCTTTTAATCATTTGAGACCAGTTTAAAGCTAAGATTGAAGGACGTATGTCCATGGTCAGTTATGAAATTTTTTCTTTAGATTAATGGGAATATTTGTTCGTTCATGCAGAAATTTCTTTACCTGAAAAATGCATCATAATGATATTTTGGAACATTTTCTTCAGGTTAAAATAGAAGTTCTTATAACACAACCAGTAGAAGATTGGCGTGTGATGTTTCAATGATTACATGGTCACCATCATCAGACCAGTTTGGAGTGTACAAGCACTGACCTATGTTATGTATGAGATGATTCCTTACCATCTTTCCTTACACTACATACGTTAGTGCTAGTATGCTCCACACTGGTCATTTGTCTGATGAAGGTGACCATGTAGTCATTGAAACGTCACACTCCAATCTTTTACTGGTTGTGTTTTAAGACATTTACATCATATGAAAAATAACCATAGTGAGAGCATGATTATTATGTTTTGTATTAATAGAGAAAATTACCTGTTCCACTGTGGATGTACAAGATGTGCAGCAGAGGCAGATGATGAAGATGTTACGTCAGAGGAGGAGGAATATGATGAAGAGGATGAGGGGATGACTGAGTAGATGTTAACTGAAAGCAGGAGTTTAACAGAGTGTGAGACTCATTGTTCATCAGTGTGAGCCTGTTAGGTTCTAGAGCCAGAAGAACAATTGAGGGCAACAAATGGGATGTTAAACACATCACCTGTCAAGTCTTGGGCCAATATAGCAGTCTAGGGTGACAAGTTGGATGTTGGACACATAGTCTGTAAATGTGATTCTGATAAACTAGGCCAAAAGAGCCAGTTTTGAAACTTCTCCAATGGTAACCTGACAAAGGGGCATTGCATTGATAGAAGTATGGCTGCATCTGTGATGCATGGAGATGGGGAGACTGTTATGACACCAACGGCATCAAAAGAACAGAAGAGATCTTTATTCTTTATCTTTTTTATCTCCCTTTTTCATGTGTTCATCAACAGGACCAGTGATGATTTGAACAATAACTACAGTGATATCATCTGACAGAAAGAATATTTGGATCGTTCAGAAATTTGCATTTAGGACATGCAACAGAATAATGCGTGTCAGAATCATTGTAGTAAAACATTGTCAGTCTGGCTCATCCTTGCAGTCTCTGTGGTTAACTTCAGAGTTAAATTAAGGGTGTATGCTGCCAATAACTCTCCAGTGAAAGTCAAGGGTGTATGTTTGAAATAGCTTTCCATCTAAAGTTAAGGGTGTTTACAGGGAATAATTCTCCATGTAAAGTTGATGATGAATGCTGGCAAGAGATCGCTATGGAAAATTTAGGGTGTATATTGGCACTAGGTCTCCATGGAATGTTAAAGGTGTATACTGGCAATAAATTTTGATGTATAGTTAAGGGTGTATCCTGGCAATAAAACTACAAGCTTTATTATCTTAAAACAATTGTAAAGTCAAATTAAATAATATTTTTCATGCATGTTAGGCTCAATGGAAGCATTTGGCAGGTCTTTCTGTGGGAAGAGTTAGGTGGTTGGGTGGGTAAAGGCGAGTGCATTACCACTGCACCATCAGACTATTTTTCATTGATATTTTTCTGTCTTGATAGTTACATCTCAATTAAAGTCTGTTCTCTTAAACATGGTAGCTTTAGCATAGTCTTTGGTATTGATCCTGTCCTTGTGTGACCCAGGCCGTTTTATTTATGGGAACGAACCAGTTTGTCCGGTTTCAGATTTATGGTATTAATCCTGATGGACCAGATAATGTTAAGAAAGAAATTTGTCAAGACTGGCTGGGAATCAAAAAGTAAGGTCACAGATTCAGTCTGTATATCATAAAGAACAACTTATATCAAAGCAGTGAAACTGTTTGGGAGATCACAATAGCTGAAATTGCCCTGTAATATTTGTTCCACAAGTGTTTGGAGAGTTTGATTTTCTTTGTACATTTTTTCAGCTGTGATACATAGTTGTGTATCATCTATAAGCTCACTGCTTATAGTGGCCTTTCATGTAAGTTCATTCTATCCAAGCTGTAACATATGTATACTGTATGCTTCACTAGTATGCACCATTTTAATATACTTTTTATCATGTAATTGGCCAGTTATCTAGTGAATTTGCCGATATATTTTTGCATGTATGTTACAAGTGTAATATACCCTGAATCATTTTTCATTGGCTGCACCAGTACGAAATTGATAGTGATTCATGATATTGTGATATTGACAATGAAATTACGTAATGAATTGAATATGATGCAACAAGATGGCTGCCTCGTCCTTTATTTTGTCCCCCACACTTTTACTTTGAAACCTGTCAACTTTTCTGAGTTCTGTGATAAAATGTATCTGAAATGTTTTTTCATTCCATTTCATTTTATTAAACTCATTTCGAAATTTTATTTTTGCTTGCCAATTAAGGTAAAAATAAGACTTTCAAAGACTCACTTCATAAAACGTGATATGAAATGAAAATTCTTTAATATTATGTGAATTTTCTATATTGTTGTTACTATGAGAGGTCAAAGGGTATGTTCTTATACATGTGTTCATCCTAACTACAATGTATATGGGTATAAGGTAGAATTGTATATAATGTATTTCAACATTTGTCTCCGAGTTTATTGTTGCTTTATCTCCTATTAACATCCAAGGTCATTTAAAGACGTTCCAGGTTTGGTGGTGGAGGAACGCCAGAGTTTCTGGAGAAAAACCACTGACATGTACCTGGCAATGGCCCCATGTAGGCCTTGAACCTGCAACCCAGAGGTGGAGGGCTAGAGATAAAGATGGTCAGACACCTTGACCACTCTGCCACTGCCCCCCTAGAATGTAATTCAGGTACGATTGTTAAGTTAGAATTAGGACAGTGACAGTACAGTCAATAATTGGTCTTTATTACAGATTTGAAATAGAAATGTATCAAACATAAGATGTTTATCAGTGTTTATGTGTGATAATTATACCATGTTATAAATTGGTACATTGTTATATTGTATCAAATAAATACTTCAGTATCATTTAGGGTTTTTTTACAGCTTTCTTTGAAAACGTTTTTGCTTTGCATGAATTCTTTTACTAAGCCCACCATATAGATAATAATTGTAAGATTTGCTTTATTTTATAACTTCAAATCGAGGTGAAGTAACTTTTCTTGTAAATAGCTCCATGAATACACATCAATTTGAATTTGCCCACTGATATGAAAAAGTTTGAAGTGTAGATCATGCTTTTTTATAAAATCATTAGAGTGGTGCCAGTTTTTTCAGTAGTATGGGTCATTACTCAATTTCTACTTTTATTTGGTTGTTTTTAATGGTCTCCTAGAATTTTGCCAAATTTTGCGAAACATTTTGGTCGCTACTCACACGGAAAATGTTTCATGTACAACATTGTTTTCTTGACTTCATTTTTCATTACTTACCAAAGTCATGGTAAAATAAGATGGTTTTACTAAGTGATAATCTAAGTGTAATAGAATCCTTTGTAACAGTTATGTTATGATTAGTCTAAACAATCAGTACTGGTGGGTATGGAAAAGGCACCTGAGGAAATTTTGTCTACGTACTTATGACTGTGAGCACCAGCTCCCTATATTGCTATGATGTTACATTTGGTCATTGTTATGAACTGTTACTATGACTTGTGGTGTTTGTCATAATACAGAACATTTCCATAGTACAAGAAGAAAAATGATTCCAGTTGTTTGTGTGACAGGAAAAATGACTTTGTCATATAATACAGAATATTACATTGTATTGTCGCAATACCATAAATATTTACGAGTAGAAAAATGAAGTGGTCATTCAAGTATGAGTATATGGGGCATTAATTAAGTATTATAGTGACATCCTATTACAGTGAGTTGTCCCATAAATGTTGATGACTCCAGTTCTGCAGATATTTATCATCAATAAATTTTTAAGAATAAGTCAGTTTAGTTTTTTTTTTTTTGTATTTTATTGGAAGCTTCAGCAACAGATTTACATATCAACAGTAACATAACAGCAGGTTTTGTCTAAAACTGACACAAAGTACCATTGTTGACAACAATTGGGCCCTTTCTTCCAAATTAAGCCTGCAATGTTCCCAACTTTGTTGAGTTTCGTGGGAACATGGTTGGTGTTCATAATTAATCCCCTCCCAACTGTTGGTCAGTCTTGAGGAGGGTTATCTGCAGTCAAATCTGGCCATAGATGTGAAATCACAGTACAAATTTATGTTTCTTTACATTGATTCCTGTGACCTCCTAATATCAGGTGAGAGAAGATATAACAAAAACAAGACAATCAATTTTCAATATCTTATTACAAAATACAATGTATGTTAATATCAGAGTAACCAATATAGGAAAGTTAATTATTATCAGCTATAAAATAATAATATAAGTCATGTGTGTAGACTACTCCTTAACTAGAAACATGTCCTTACTGAGATTCTTTTCTGTACCGCCTTTAGACACGATTATGCTAACTTATATATCAATTTTATATATAAATCTAACATCTTTCATCTAAACATCAATGAAATGTTCATTGCTTGGAGATAATCATACTATATTCTGGGAATTCTATGATCACTTATTCTGGACATTTATTATGTATGTATGTATGTTTTTTATATTAATCATAACACAGAATATTGTATGGAGGTTCAAGGTAAATGGCAAAGACATAACTAGAAAAAAAGACATACATGACAGGACAATTTTAACATTCTCCTAAAGAGAAGCGTATATTGTGAATTGTTTTTAATTTTAAAAATCTTCTATCCTACATTGTTATATTTCCTGACAAGAACTAGTACGATTCAGCAGATTTAAACCTCACTAGTACCAGGTAGTATACATCACCCATGACTGTACACTAGCGGTGGAGGCGACCATAGAGGTGACTGGGCCCAAATCACCCCGGCATGACCCTCCGACCACCACTAGGACATAGACGCTAGGTGATGCAACCTGTATGAGTAGGGCGACCACTGTCTCTTTACAGTCTTATCAAGTACTAAGAGTGAAACATTGAAATTCAATGCCTTATTGGTCTTGGAAAAACTCGGCATGTTTGAAAAGTAGGTATGTGATCTTGATAAGCTAGTTGAGTGGAGAATGTTTGAATTTGAAATATTACTGGGAAACTTCAGAGTTGAAACTAGGTGAATCATTGTGAAATTGGTCTTTTATTCAGCAATTATGTTCATGTAAAAATTGAAGTGGACAGTCAAACTAAATAAAAATTGTTTGAAAATATCCAGGGTGAAAAACAAAGGTAAAAACAAAAGACATCACATGGTCCCCATCCTAATATCTAAGCACACAAATATATATATGATACACAGATACTAAATAAACATAAACTTTATTCATTTTACAACAATTGCGAAACAAGTTATGTCAACTTATACTAATCACTCTTGTTGGCCCGGATGTAAGCGCGCGAGGGGTCTTATTGTGGGAGGAAACTGTAGTACCCAGTGGATAACACACATGGCCAGGCAAGTGACCCTTACCTTTTCTCATCCCTTCCAGGAGTCGAACCCCTCACGGCTAGGTGAAAGGTGAGTGCATTACCACTTGCCATAGATACTGTCAATGTTACTCAGTAATAATTGCCCTAGTCTATGCTTACTGTGTCAGTCTAGTACAGTGGTTTACTGAACAGTTCAGTTTATGGAGATATTTTGTGGTTGTCCCGTTTTGGCCATTAGTTGATGAGGACTAAATTTTACATATGTCTATACACTGGTATCCATGTATACAGATAAACAACATACATCTCCACAGATTTGTCACACTGTAAGTGTTTGCTGTGTATTTGATTTGTGTTATCTTTATGACTGAAAATAAAAAGGAAGTAAATATCCCACAAATATAAAGAACTAAATAGTATTTTTATTTATCCTGTATCTAATACCTTGTGTATCATACTATCTAATAACACACAGATATCAAGATTCCTGTCATAGGTTTATTCACTATGAAACCTTATTTCTCTCTAGTATATGTTAAGTTATGAGATCACCCTGATAAATGGCTTTTCAGAACTGATGGTGATTGAAAATATCCGTTCTTACAAATTAACTCCCTTGAATTTATGTACTAATACTACAAATGCTTATAAATCATAACAGGTCTGTTGTTTGTTAGACATGATCAATGTATTAGTCACACTAGTAAATGGTGACTCTGATCACAAATAGGATGATTTCATCTTTATTCACTTTCCTATCTTTTCTCATCCACAGCCAAAGGCAATGATAGTGGACATTAAACAGTATGATGTAAAACCTGTTAAATAAATAAATAAATAAATGAAAAAATAAATAGTATATAGTATGTTTGTGATCATCATCAAACAAGAAACAGTCCCAATAAACAGCTATATTCTAACAATGAATTCTGATTACAGTTTCTGGTTGGGAATTAGGTAAGCTACAGGTGTGCATGGCTTTAGTGTCCATCAGAAAAATAAATAAAAAACAAAACATTAAAATTGAAAAAACCTGTTGTAAATATGATGAGTCCTAGACTGGCTACTTTGTTCTGTAGTTGTATTTGCCTGCTTTGTTTCCCTTTCACTTAACATATTCAAGAGATCAAAAATTTCAGTTTTATTTCCTTAAGATTATAGAAGCAGGCCAGTCTACAAGAGTCATATTAATAAAATCTAAACATACAATACATAACAATACAAATAATTAAAGGATGATTAAAGACCTATTGTGGAATTATATAGGGCATGATTTTATCAGCTATACAGCAGTAAAACTATGTAACAACAACAACAAATAAATTAACATGGATATATACATTATGTATACCAGTGCATAACAGGGATTAAAACATCCTGAACAAAGACATGCAGAAATAACTGTTTGAAGGAATCTGAGTGACAATGTTTCGATTATTCTGAGAATGTACTTTTTTAATGAAAGAGGTATATATTTGTTTTAGCGTTTCCATTGAAATTTCACCACTTTGTAAAGGGAGGCAATCCAATATAACATAACTACTGTAAACAAAACTCAAGTCTAATGGTATTTAGATATATCCATAAACACTACATGATGTAAAAGTGTTCCACTCTTACTAAGATGGCATATTTAAACACTTGTTCTTGAGGGATTCAGATGTAAGAAACAACCCACCTACTTTAATTATCTGTCTACATCCAGGCTTTGGCAGACCTAAAAAATAAAGACAAGAGATCGAAAAGGACCTTTATTCATTATTTTTAAATTGGCTCTTTTCCCTTCTATTCTCTTCTTTCCTTTATTTGCTCATAATTATATGAAATTTGAGAATATCAATAAAGAGATAGCAATAAATTATTTCTAACTGTTAAATCAAAATTCAGACCCAAAATCAAAACTCCAGAGAAAGTGGAACCTATACATGAAGATCCTTCAAGCATTTATCCAGAAATAGGTATAAACTTTTTTATTGATAAAAAAACAAGATGACTGCCTGTCAGCCATTTTGTTTTCTGATTAGTCCAAAAACCAAAGGGCACACCTAAGGACCAAGAGGCAACTTCATATAAAATTTGAGAAAGATCCATGGGAAAGATGATGGATAACACACTCATGACTGATCACTCATGACTGATCACAGATATGGAACAATTTGAAAAGCCCACCATCTGATGGTGGTTGGCTAAGTAAAGAAATTTGGCACTCTATGTACTATTAAATAAAGCATTAACGAGCCAAGGTTTCTACATACAGTCAATCTCTATCTAGCTCTTGTTAATTTGATATAGTATGCTCCTTTGAATATTAAAAATGAGACATTTTCAAACCACATCATGTGTTACAATTTACATATCAAGTGTTGGATTGCAATATCCTTTTATTGACAATCCAAACTTCCTGGTGTTGAATGTATACACTCTATTTAGGGCATTGTCACTAGATTTCATTTAAATGTACAACTAACTATGCATGACAGTGTATACTTGTACTTGCTGTTTAAACTGGCTGGTCTGGTGCAATCTGTTTGTGTTTAAGTTGTATTAAATACAAGGAGGAGTAAAAAAATCCTCTATTCTACCTACAAATCTGAACGGCATTGGCTTTATCACCAAAACCCTTCTAAATATAAGGATTTTTACAATATAGAGATGTTAAATGGTCTATAAATGTACATTGTCATACCACTACCGTACACAACAACATGTCCAAATCAACAAACCATAGGACATTTGTGTTATGTTGTGGTCAGCCTTACTATGAAAGATAAAATATTAAATTTTGATTAAGAAAATTTAAAGTGGAAAAAAATTGTTCAACTATATGGATTAAATTTAGATGGTACTGTAGAATATTGGAAATTATCTTAGATGGTTAAAAGTACTTAAGCATGAATTGCATATCAAATGTTGACTTTCTTTGGTCATACATAAATATTTAATAGAAAGAAATTTAATCATATTGTCAATAGAAAATTCGTACTACTACAACAGCACAACAAATATTTCACAAACTAGATGGTTCTGTGATAGTGCATGTTTAAAGTTGTAGCAGGAAGTGTTTTTCACACCAGTAATTTGATACTTTCAAAGTGTAACAAAAGTACGACAAATACAATACAGAGCAAGCGATGCACCAGACCGCACGGTCTTAGTCATTGTTGTTTCTTAGAGGTGATCCATTTTCTGGTGAGGGATCCCACGGGACAAGTTGTACTGCAATGTATAAACATCGAGAAATCAGTATTCCTGTGATATCTAAAAATAAACAGTCTAAACTGCAGAACTACAAATATTGTATGTATTGTATTAAATGCCCGGAGATATGTGGGAGCATTCAAAAAAAGCACAAAATTCTGATTACTATATGCCAAATTTTCTTTACTACTGGTTCCCTTTCCTCTGCTTTTGTTTTGTAACATTTATACAGGAGGCTCAAGGGCCTGAATGGTTACCTGAATTTCAATGCTTCTTGTAACTTGTCATAAAAATGATTTTGTTCAAAAAAGTGAGATAACTTAAACTACATTGTACACATGATGTTAATGCAAACTGTGCATAACATTAAGTGCTGTCCTATGGTAAGGCTTCTAACCAAGTTTGAACTGAAAGAAATTACACCCAAAAATTAAATTTTTCTATATAAAATCTTTTATCTCTAAGCAGTAGAACATCTTTGAAATTTCAGTCATTTTGACCCATTTTTGGTCCCTCCCATCAGCCCCTGGGTGTCAGCTGAGGTCAACATGTGTATCTCATCAAACTGTCAGCTATTTCTAAAAGAAAATAAACAAATTAATCACAAAAATGAAATTTTCCTATATTAACTATATTAAATTTTAATCCCTCCCCAAGGGGAAATATGAAACCCTCCCATCATGTAACTTCCAATTTTGGTTAAGCCTCTGAAGGCCTTTACATTAGTGATGATTATTTTGAAGTTTCAATAATTTTGACTGTTTTTGACCCTGGCACTTAGGCCCTGGGCTTCCGGAACCATATGATTTACAATATTTGTTTGTCATCAGCCATGGGAGGTTTTGTAAAATTTTGATAAATTGATTCAAGTGTTTTCCAGAAGAAGTCAAGGCTGGACAAAAGAGGATCACCTTTGTCTCAGATGACCAAATAAACTGGACAGGTCAATTTGGTCTTGTTTATCTTATACATAGATCAAAAATTCAGATATATCCTCTATCATGTCCACATAAAGGTGTTCATAGACAATATGATAATACTATTTTATTAGAAATTTCCTCCAATAAGTTATGTTATACCTGTAGATGAAATAACCAAGAGTACTTGTACATGTATGGTTTACTACATTTGTTTTGTATACTAATTTAAACAAAATAGTCCTCAGTAAGTACATGGTAACAGAAAGGTGCAACAGAGGTATTCAGATGTTTACTTTGACAATTTTCGACATCTGATGAGTAACACTGACTGGGACAAAGGTTTGTACTAACCATACCATTATTTTAAGATATTCTGTGAGACATCACCGGATATCCAATATATAAGCAATGCTATATGACAAGAAAATGATTACAACCAAGTACATGCTTACAAGTTATAAGGTTAGGAAGTTAGTAGGTTAGTATGGTCTTCAGAGTTTCTATGTGTATATACATGTATATACTTGAGCTACTTTTCTCCTATTATAGAGTTGATATATACATGTCTCTATTGCATCAGGGCTAGTTGGAATTTTCTTTTTTAGATATATTTTGTCTGTTGTAATACTGAAATGTTGTGGAGGCAATTACAGCAAGATATTTTTAATGCTTTTCAGAGACAGGGGCAAAAAAACCTAGAACAATGTCAAGGAAGGGCCCTCCCTATTGGCTATTGCACAGAAGGCTTTATATGTAAGTGCAGCATGAAAAGTAGCACTGCATGGTTGTGACCTAATAAGGATAATTTTGTACTATATTAGGAATCGATTACACCATCCTTTCTTGATGCGGGGGCCCTTACTAGGGATTACAACTGAAGTTAATCCTTGAAAACAAAGGAACATTTAACCTGTACAAGTAGTCCCTTGTAAACAATAGTGCATTTCAATTTAACAAGTTGACTTTTGTAAACAAATGTACATTTGGCATCTAACAGCTGACCATTTGAAGACAAAAGTACATTTGGCATCTAACAGCTGACCATTTGAAGACAAATGTATATTTGACCTTTTTTTTTTCACCCTTCAAGACAAAAAAGGACGCTTGACTTACATGAGTTGGCCCTCAAAGATAAATTTTCCTTTTTTGCCATTTTGATAAGAATTCAATCTAAAAGAATTTACATCAGATGGAGAACAGTCTACTTTTGAAAGATAATGGTTGCATGACCTTTGCAGAAGGCAATTGCACTTGACTTACAAGAAAAATAGTTAACTTTTGAAAACAAATGAATATTTGATCTATAACAGCTGACCAAAATATGCACTTGATGTATAAGAGTGACAACATTTTCTTAAAACAAATGCATTTGTTTCTTAATTAACTCCAACTTCACCTTTATGAATTAAGATTGTGACATTTCACCAAAGGCATTGTCCCTGTGTTCTATGGACCCTTCACCACCCTTTGTCAGATCAGATGACCTTTATAAACAAGGACATTTCTTTCACCTGAAGTGGGTATTGTATATTTGGGTTGTGATATGACCCTTTCCCCAAAAGCACTGCAGATTGTTTTGGCATTTTTTTTTATTGTTTTGGAGAACACAGATTAACCAATGGTTAATACCTTGTGGTGATAATGCTGGGTCATTATGGTAGCTGACTAGACTTGTATTGAGCTTATAGAACAAAGTTTATGTAATGCAGTAGGGTGTGCAATACTTGTAATATGCAAAGATATAAAATTATGGCTTCCATTAATTATGAAGTGAGAACTTAAATAATTACTTTCTTTGGCATATTATAAAGACAAAATTCATAATTATCACTCGAGCTTAGGTACATGTACTTAACTGGGTAATTCTAAAACAACTTAATTACATAAAACAAGACTTCAGGCAGATGCTTGTATTAATGCCAATTGGTACTAATATGGTCATATCTATCTCCCTCTCTCTCTCTATATATATATATCAATATAGTAACAGTAACACAGATAAATACTTTGTAAATTAAATAATAACAATATTTTGTATTTGGGTTCATTACACTTTATATAAATATACTAAACTGAAAGTAAGATTTTATAGAGGATAAAATGACTAATGCATATATAAAGGTATCCACTTACTCAATGTACATCTGTATAACAAAGACATAGCTACCATATCTTACCGTTACTGAAGCAGAAACAACAGAGGAACCTGAAAACTGGACAACATATTCAACAGCAGTATCATGGAGGTTAATCACCTGGTAGAATTCCATAATCACTTAAAAATTTACTTCATACATTACCGAGTCTCAGAGGCACCTGTCTTTTGTCATAAATGTTAATTCATAAATCATAAAATGCTTAACTAGTAAATAAACAAACAATAATACTTGCAGGTAAATACATATATATGTTTATAACATTTCAGGAGAAAATTCATACTATACAGGTACATCCGTTATTTTTCCCATTTTTCAATGATTCATATATTTTCAAAATGCTTGTATGGTATAGTGTGCCCCCAGAAAAAAAATAAGAAAAAAAATGCTTTAAGAGGTAAAGATATACAAATGAGGTAGATAAAACATTTAAAAGATTGTGACAATACATAGATAATAAATTGTCTACCACTTTAACAGTAATTCATATAATCAAAACACAAAATTTAAAAGGAAAATTATGAAAAATAAAAACAGATATAAAATTAATCATATTTATAGAACATTTCTTTTTAAATGAGACAGGTTTAACCCCATTCAGCAGACAAAAGTTACAATATAAGTAAAAATTGATTTTGTGATTGATATTTTGTGCACAGTTTCTACAAATCAATATACATCTATATTTAGTACACCTTATTCAATAATAAGTTAATACAATGTTTTCATTTAATTAACTTACAAAACTGATTAAACATGTTCAAGAAAATGACAAATCTAGATCCTACATTCCTAATTAAATACACTGACTTGGTCTGTATACAACAAGACAAGTTTCGATCTGTAAGCACAGCATCAATAGTTTTGATATGTTTAGGATTTCTATGGTAATAATATAATGAGTAAAAGTAATACATATCTACAGCAGTATTTTTCTGATTTCTTTTTACTCAGCAGGTGATATGACAAACTTCCAACGTTATCACATACAAACATAGTATACTAATAATTTCTAGCACCACATAATGATATACACGTACTGTTTTCAGAACAGTTACATACTTAATGTGATTACAGCCAAAAAATCTTTCATCTTGTAAAACTTTCTAAAACAAAACTTATCCTTTAAATCAGCTTCTTTTCCAGTTCATTTTGCATTCTGCTTGCCATTTCAGTAACAAAACATAAAACAGATAAATAGTCTCCTAAGAAAAACTTCCAGTACAATCTTGCATCTTATTTCACTATCTTATACAGTTTTATTCAACCAGGCCCCCAAAAAACCATTCAAAGGTTTTCTTCTAGAGCATATAAATAGGATGGAAATCCCTGGATACAAATTTTTTTTCTTAAAATTTTTATTTCAAAATAAGTGAACGCTTGTTGATAAAGAAAGATAATACACCAATCAAGGGGCTAATGTGATTAAATTATCTATTTCTCACAAAATCAATTTTTCTAGCTCAACAAAATCATGAAGTCTACCAGTCATGGCTGAAAGAACTAAAACATATGTATGCAATGATAAAAAAGCGAGGATTTGTATAAACAAAGTAGCATATTGAACAGATGTGACAGAAAACATCTGTTAATCAGACAAAATCTTTTAAAAGTCAAGGACCTAAGGCAGTATTGAAAAAAGAAGCTCACAACAAATGCATGTGTTATCTAAACACCATAAAAAGGCAGGTGTGCAGGTAAGCCAGTGCAGGTACAGGTAATACCAATGTTTTTCAGTGCATTGATACATATGTTTAGGTACAGTTAAGGCTCACCATTGTGTGTAATGAAACGGGTATCATAATAATAAACATCAATGATTCCCTAGTAATTAATCCTATATGAATGGCAGATGAAGATTTGATAGTATCAGTGTATTTTCTAGGAATGTACAAGTAAATGATTCAAATCAAAATTCATTATCAGCAGAGAAGCTATAAAATATGCAGTATACCATACCTGTATCCTTGTCTATATATAACTACATTCGGCACTGGCTGACAATTGTGCTTTTTAATTCATTTTGACCAAACACTGACTACCAAAACTGGATGTTTGACCATTTGAATGTATGATTACCTTTACTGCTTAACCAGTCATATGATTTATGGTTTTTTTTCATGTTTAGCAGGTAACTATGCCATCATATAATGATTCTCATGTTCTTCCTGTGACTCCATGATTAACAGGCTTGTAAAACCAATGATCAAAGACATTTTCTCCATATGCAATGCTTGACCAATCAAATGCTTCAATACATATGATGTTGGACTGATGAGATTTGGATGACAAATCAATGGAGGACTTACAATCAATGTTACATGAGTATTATTGTATAGAACATTGACACAGGATATAACTATATATGATACAAAGCTACCAATCAGCCATGAATTATCTAGCTAACACATTCTATCTTGCTGTCCACTGATTAAACACCTTTAATGTGTTAATGAAATTGTGCTATAAAACCATGGCCAATATTGTTTTACCAGAAAGGAATAAAAAAAAAAAATACAAACAGAAATTAGGTAGATGTCTTATGCTGATTGTCCTACATTATCATAATGCCTCACAAGATGTGTGAAGACTGTCACTGATAAGGTAACCATACTCTTATTAAATTCATTGACACTTAGAAATCATAAATACTTCTAGACACTTTCAAGTTAAGCTTATAGTTCTTAATTTCTTTGATCTTGTGAGAAAGTTTACTTTCCATATGTCAGAAAATTATGATATGTACATATATGAATATCTGCCAACCTTAATAAAGGAGCTGGAGCTGTTGTGACACATTTTTACTATGATTAAAAGGAGATGACGACCAGTTGAACTTTTAATAAGTCTAATTACATGATGCTAATAACAAGAGTGTACTTGATGATTTCAAGTACCTTCATAATGATAAAAATACAGATTGATTTGAAGATATAATACTGTGAGGGATATTAAGGACCGAGAAATTCAATTCACAGCCTTCCAAAGTGTTATTTATATTCTACAGGATTTCTATATGATCATTTCCTTGTCTCTGTAAATCTCCTTACTAAACACTAATATCATATCTTGTGAAGGCACATGTAAATCAAAGGATTTCACAATAGACACACAAGAGAAGATCACCTTTCCTTACTCGTTTAGAATTAGATACAGCCTAACAATGAAGTAAATTGCATCTTACAGCTATTTTTTCCTGCCTTAATTTATTGTGATTTTGGGGGATGTTGACTCTTATAGTTATATTTAACCCAAATCTATTTTCATAAGCATAATTTTGCATAATTCAAATGGGTTCAACAATATTTACTCAATTTTGTTTGGACTACCTGAATACGATTTGGAAGTGCACTGTTGGTTTCCTATATTAATGATGGAGAAACATTGTAGGGAGCACTAAATTTGCTTGAATCAGCAATTTCTCTACAGAGACAAGAATACATTAATTGAATGCAATGTACGATTGTATAGAATAATGATCTTCCTTCACCTACACGTAGACAATGGGAAGCATGAGGTACCAGGTCCGGGAGAGAAGCAATGTCTTTGATTGCGGATCAGAACAAGGCTATCAGATTGAAACATCTTGTTCAGCGATGCTCGGACTGTATCATTATCTGGCATCCTGATTGTTTACATAGATAGGTAAACTGTATGATAACGTAATGTAACCTAAAATCAATTCCTACTAGACAGATCAAAGCGTGTGAAAGGTCTATGTACAGTTATATGGCTAGGTGGTATTTAGATTGGGAGAATGATAACTGAGAGGTTTAAAATGGATGTAACCCTGATTTTCACTTAAAGCCTATGACAAAAATGTTTCTGAAACACTTTTTATGAAGCTGGTCTTTGCATTTCAATGCTACATTGTAACTATTGACTTTTTTGAAACCTTAATAAAATAATGTAATTACTAATATGACATAAATTGATCCTTTCTCCATGTAAATTGGTAGTCAGGATTGGTCAAGCTGATGTCATAATGCAGGAAATGAATACGACGAAAATGCCAAAAAGCAGTCTGCACACGTAAACTGAAGTCACTGGAAGCACATCCAGGGTCATACAAGGGTTTCGGGTGCATACATATTATAAGCTATTCGTACATTTCTCACGCGTCGCACCAGAGTCCCTATGTCTGTCATACATGGCACATTGCGCGGCGACTTTGGAGATCTAGGACAATCGTCGTAGTGGTCTGAGCTCAGCTGGCGTTTTGGTGATCGTGGAGCATCACTGTCTTCCATATATGTCCGAGGGTTTGACACTGGTTGACGTGTCACATCAGGAAGGTCCACATGTAATGGAGCATCAACAAAGTCGGAGAAGATAGTTGGATCATCTGCAGGCGACTTTAGGAAATCATTGATATACTTACTGTATCCCAGGAAGCACAAGGAAAGAAAAAAAATTGTGAAATTGTTGTATTGAATTCGTGATACAACAGTACATTTTTTGTTAGAACAAATGAAATGAACCTGATTTTAATTTTTGACATCGTTTACAAGTTCAACAAACAACCTAAGACCTGTAGAGCTTTTATTTATAATAACACAACTAGAGGAACAACTGCTGTTTTGAGTTTTGGGAGAAAATCCAGGAGGGGTAATCCAACATGTAATAAACAGGTGTTTCAAATCCATGTTCTAGGGTAAATTTCCTGAAGATCATGACCGTCGTGCAATCCGAACATTCAAAATAAGTGATCATGGCTATGAAGGTAGCCTCTCTGTCGTTATTATATCTTAGTGAAAGAAATTACTGTAAAATACCCTGTTATTATCCTAAAAAAGTTCCAAGTGGCAAACACATTACCTCTGACTGAAAGGCTAGGTTTTACTTATTATTGGGCATTGAATTTATTGGTAAATCTACTAAACACTGATATATATTTGTAGGCTTATTATCAGGTAGGGCCTTATTGCAGGATATATATGGTAAATAACATTGTATATAAGGCTTACATCAGGTAGATTTCATTGTTAGGTATATATAGTAAAGTTTACACACAATACATAACTGCATTATGGTAATACTCATCCATTGTTTTACCTACATCAGGCTAAGGAATCATTCCTTATATATAAGTATTGTTTTGTTTTGTGAGCTAAATCATATCAATAGATGATTAGAAATTTCTTTGTATTCAGTTCCCATATTGATATCTGTAATAACTTGTAATTCAATGTGTAAATGCTCTTGAGCTGAGAGCCAACCATGCATAACAAATATTGTGGTATTTAATTTGTCTTGGATAACATATTTCATATTTGTGAGTTTTTCATTTCATGTGTTAATTGAAATTGGTAGAAGTGATGATAAGATAAAATTTTACAACAATAGAGAGAAAAGACAGTTATAGTAATGTTGGCACACCTTCTATAACACAACACAGTTATAGTAATGTTGACATCCCTTCTATAACACAACACAGTTATAGTAATGTTGATGCCCCTTCTATAACACAACACAGTTATAGTAATGTTGACACCCCTTCTATAACACAACACAGTTATAGTAATGTTGATGCCCCTTCTATAACACAACACAGTTATAGTAATGTTGATGCCCCTTCTATAACACAACACAGTTATAGTAATGTTGACACCCCTTCTATAACACAACACAGTTATAGTAATGTTGACACACCTTCTATAACACAACACAGTTATAGTAATGTTGACACCCCTTCTATAACACAACACAGTTATAGTAATGTTGACACCCCTTCTATAACACAACACAGTTATAGTAATGTTGACACCCCTTCTATAACACAACACAGTTATAGTAATGTTGACACCCCTTCTATAACACAACACAGTTATAGTAATGTTGACACCCCTTCTATAACACAACACAGTTATAGTTATGTTGACACCCCTTGTACGACACAACACAGTTAGAGTAATGTTGACACACCTTCCATGAAGCAACACACTTATAGTAATGTTGACACCTCTTCTAGAGCATACTACAATTACAGCAATATTGACACACCTGCTAGAACATACCACAATTAAAGCAATATTGACCCCCATTCTAGCACATATTGACATTCTTTTCAGATCATTGCTCTGTCATTTTTGTTTTCACTCACTTATGATCACAGAAAAGTTCAATTTGCCACCCTTTCTAGAAACCGAACATAAAATACAGAAGTATTTTACTCCCAATGTCAAAGCACAAATTCTTCATCATAAATGTCAACACCTTTTTAAACTTTGGATAGCACTAAAGTCGATATTGGAACTGTTAGAAAGTCAACAGAACCAACAGTGCCTACTATTAGAATGCAACTGTTAAAAGGACTCATGGGTCCTGAATGGTCAATCTGGGATATGCTAAGTGGATATTTCCAGTTCAATTCAATTCCATCTCAAGGGAAATCTAATAAATAGAACAGTGTGGAAACATTGTAAAGCCAACATTGTAAAATCAGAAACACAAGGTTTAAGGCCACTAGATTCAGGTATTGTGATATTGTACATTGATATCATAGAATGTAGACCTAATGTATCTCTGTAGTAATTTGATAAATTGACTGATGTGTTTATACAACGTATCATGACAACTGCTAGTTTTCAAATTAATTCATTATAGTATTGACTTCCTACTTGTGTGTCAGGGAAAATTAATACACATATATAAATCCAGGAACGAATTGTCATGCAATACCAGAAATTACATGTTTTTTTAACCCCTTGTGAAAATTGCATGAATACTATCTAAGGCATATGACATGAATGCCCTTGCTCCTACACAGACTAGAATATGATGTGTGGAAATTCATGTTAGAAATACTTTGGCGAAAATATATTAACCAAGTCTGTTCAGAAGTGCTGATGGTCATGTCATTGATGTTGCAATGAGATGAGACATGAGTAAAAATGACATGACTCAATCGATGAAGAGAAATAAGTAACACTTTATGCCCCCAACCTCCCCTCCCAATAAATTGATGGGGACATAACAAGTGTTGGTGCAATTTTCATTAAGGACAGAGGAAGGAAACTTTAAATCATTTTATCAACCACTTGCTAACTCCTTATAATTATCAAGACTACTTAGCAGGAAATGTTAATGGCAACCAATATTCTCATTTCATCAATTTCCCAAAGAACATGAAAACACATTTACTTTTATGGTTGTATTTGTTTCTTTACTTACGTACAGCCTATTACCAATTTAACAGTCCATTTAACATTGACCAAAGCCACAACCATGAAAAGCAGTGTAAAAGTCCATGTATAATAGTAGTTATCAAATAGAGCACATGTTGTAGTTAATTTGTATATATATTGTAGATTCAGTACCCAGTAGTTAGTTTTTGCTAGTGCAGGTGGTGTGTTTATAACAATGCTTTTGCCAGAAAATATAACTTCTCTGTGAAAAAAATGTTGTTTTTCTTTAAAAACTCTCAGTCTTTCTCCTTTAAAAAAAAAAAAAAAGAAAGCTATTATTTTAACAACATAATTTTCACTTTTTTTATGGTGGATAGGAAATCTTTAAAACTGGGGTACAGACTTATTCCTGAATGTTGGTCTTTGCATTGAAAATGTGGAAAATAGGGAGTGTGGCTGATTCCCATGAACCAGCAAAATTTGGTATGTTTAAGTATTGTAGTGTTAGTAGGGAGTATACATGTTGTAGTGTCTGTATACTGTAAAAATGGAATGTTTAAGTATTGTAGTGTTAGTAGGGAGTATACATGTTGTAGTGTCTGTATACTGTAAAAATGGAATGTTTAAGTATTGTAGTGTTAGTAGGGAGTATACATGTTGTAGTGTCTGTATACTGTAAAAATGGAATGTTTAAGTATTGTAGTGTTAGTAGGGAGTTTACATGTTGTAGTGTCTGTATATTGTGCACTAAATGAAACATTTAAGTAGTGTAGCATAATGTATTTTGGTTTCAGTACACAATTCCTGTAGATGAAATATGAAGTGTGTCACTGTCATGGAATGATAGCCACACTGAGTGATAGAAGGTAGTTCCCATGTCTGACAGCTATCTGTTGTGCCTATAACAGGTTATCAGCCGAATTTTTGCTGATGACTTTTCATTACCATATCCATTCAACAATAATCCTGTGGCTGATAATGAACCAGTCTACCATAAACTTATGTAGAAACCTAACACCTAATAATACATTACTTTCAGTCTGAGGTTGCTTGCTGCCTTACTCAGTGTATGTTACAAGACAGTAACTGGTAAAAAGCAGAAAGCTTGTTGTATATGATATCTATGGTAGCTTTTCTATTCAGGACGTATCATGACAAGACGTTAATATTAGGGGGTTAATCTTGATACATTATGAACTCTATACCATTTTATGTGTGTTTCCTCATGTAACCAATTTACAACATATTAATCATTTTGTATTCCTAGAATTTTTCTTTTGATAAATCAGTCAGTTCTTAAGCATATCATTTATTCACTGAACATATCAGTCAGCATCAGCACATATGACTAAGTTTTTGTGTATGTGAATAAGTTCTTCCTTATCAATATCATTCAGTTCTTGAAAATGAGCAAGCAAGTTCTTGAGCATGTTGGTCATTTCTTGAGCATGTCGGTCATTTCTTGAGCATGTCAATCATTTCTTGAGCAAGTCAGTCAGTTTGTGATCATGTCAGTCAGTTCTTGAGCATGTTGGTCATTTCTTAAGCATGTCTGTCAGTTCGTGTGCATGTTTGTCATTTCTCGAGCATGTTGGTCATTTCTTGAGCATTTAAGTTCTTGAGCATATAAGTCTTTTTTGAGCAGGTCAGTCAGGTCTCCAGCTTGTCAGTAAACTCTTGAGCATATCAGTAAGTTCTTTAGCCTATCCGTAAAATCTTGAGAATGTCAGTAGGTTCTCAAGCATGTCAGTAAGTTCTTGTCTTGAGCATGTCAGTCTGTTTTTGAGCATGTCATTACAAACAATCCCAGAGGACTGCCCACCATTTTTTGATCTTTATATGCTCTTTGAATGTTGAATCTTTTCCCTTCTTTTCTCTTCTCTGTTTCTGCTCTTAATGATAAGACATTCCTTTGCAAAAACAGTGATGATAATCTTTACCTGCCAGATCCAAAGTGTTTTTTTGGAAACAGATCAGTCCCAAAATCAAATGAGCACAAGGAGAGACCAAAAAGAACATATGTATGAAATTTGAGAGATATATATCCATTCAGCGCTTCTTAAGAAATAGCAATAACAATCTTTATTACGCAAAATCCCAAGATTGCTTCTTCTGCCATTCTGTTTTTCTGATAAGTCCCAAACTCAAACAAGCACAACTAGGGACCTAAAGGAACATATACAAGAAATTTGAGAAAGATCTATAAAGTGGTTCTCAAGAAACAGTGATAACAAACTTACAAAGTCAAAATCC